AAGGGAAATATCAGGGGGAATTTGTCCGGCTTGCTTTTAGTGTAGATCAAAAGCTTTTCAATGGCCGCCTTATCAACTGCAGGGTACAGCCGCCCGCCTGCCCGCCAGCCAGCCAGAACGGTGGGGGGCGGAAATGGCCGCCGGGCGGGAACAGGGACGCTGGCACTCACACGTAATTGGTACACTCGAGAGCTGCGCTCCTTGAATGTTATCAGTCCGTTGCAGACGTGCGTTGAAAAGGGACCCCAAGAACGCTTTCGGGTTTTCAGTTCATATTCAAAGTGCCCACAGCCCAACTCCCCCTTACTGACCCTGCCCTCGGGTCATTTAACTGGTCAAATAGAAATTCCGATTGGAATTGGGATTAGGACTCAGCTTCAGCTGGAGGCTATTATTTGTGTGTGTGTGTGTGGCATGCGCTCAGATCGGCTGGCTCAGATTTGATTTGAGCTCTTTGATAGATTTGGCTGCATTTGCAAATTGAATTGGCCATTTTGAGAAATGTTTCCTTGCAGGCCAGCCGCCTCCATTTATAACAATTTAATGAAATTTTCGAATGCGTTTTCATAACATTTTCACGGACAGTTTCCCTTCGTTGATATCATTAATCACTCGCCTGCTGTCCTAGACTAACGAAAATTAAGTTTTCTGTTGCAAATCAAAAAAGAAAGGAAAAACAAAAACAACAACAAAAACTCTTCCAATTGTTTTCTCTTTAACTAAAACACTTTTATGCGCCCTCACTTAAGTGCCACGCCTGCTTTTCTGGGCTTAACGTTGTGTCGGAAAAATCTGTTAAGTATTTAGTTTATATTTTTTACGATTTCCAAGTTGTTAAATCTCAAATTTCCCTCTTGAATATGCAAAAACACATTTAAAAATTTATTTAAATTAAAATTCTAATTTTTAGAATAATTATTGTGACCATAAAGAATAAGGGGATATTTTTGGGTACACTCTTTTCATAATTTCTTAAAATATAAATGCAAAAATAATCTAATGATTCAGCTCTGGCAAAAAAAAAACACGCAAAAAAAACACGATATTTAAAGTCTGGGTAGAAGAAGGGAAATTTTCTAGAGGCTTGGGAAATTCGCATGTTAACATTTTTGACATTTTTCACGCGTTTCTTGACAGAACAACTTTTAAGTTTTGGCCGACGGGAGGTAATTTTCTATGTACTAGGGAAATTTACATGTCAAATTTTGAATTATTTTTCAAATAGGGAAATTTTAGAGAAAAATTTGCCTAAATTGTCAAAAATTCCTTAATTTTAAATACAAAACTTATCTTGAGCTCAAATCATGTCCAAAATAGATTTGTAGACAAAGAAATGCGTAAGAAAATTTGTAATGAAGCTTTAACAAGTCAATATTTAAAGTCTTGAGAGCAAATTAACCACTGAAGCGATTGATTCTAATTTGTAAGGTTGGATAAGAGAAGAAGATGTCTTTGTCAACTGGGAAAGTGCTCGAAAATTATATGGATAGCATATGTTCAGTTTCTGGATGATTGCATTTGAATTTGATGCTTTGAATTTCAATTCGCAAATGTGTGTGAGAGAGGTGGAGGAGGGGGGAGGCGGGACATACCCCTTTTTTACCATCTCTCAAATAAATGTATGTCTGTGACGAGCTGCCTTTGTTGTCAAGTGAAGACAAACATTTAACCAAAGAAAAACAAGAGTGCAAGAGTCGGAATATGCACGACTACAAGATACCCTACACATACAGACAGGCACACGCGCATCTTCTATCCTCTTTTCTTCCTTTCTCAACACTAAGCATGAAAAAAAAAACATCCCTGCTTCTCAGATCAGAAATAGGGCATCAAAATGTGTGTAAATACCAAAGCCCAAGCTTGTAAGTTTTCAAATTTCCCAAAAGTGAAATCCTCTAGATTTGTATAAACTATAAAATATTCCACATAGCAAATTTGTTGCCTGTAGCTCTGAAAATTTCTGAGATATAAACAAAAACGCAAAAATCGATAACATTTGGTTATCGATTTATCGAGAATGGGGTGAGTTATCGATAATTTGATTTGAATAAACATAACAAGTTTCTTCCAGATCTTTTGGCTCTCTCTCTCAAGCCAAGCTACCCCATTTACCCGTTTACAGGGCATAAGACAAAGAAAAAGCTGCCAACACAATTGAATTACAATGAAAATATGAAATGAGCGACAAAAGCAAAGTTTTGTCTAGTTTTCTTCTACGTTTTTTTTTTTTTTTTGGTTTTTGTCCTTCGGGCGGCAAAAATTAAGCAAACAAATGCGAGAAGCGACAAAGAAACAAAGCGAAAATAAGTGGAAACACATGGAAAATTGAAAAAAAAAAACTCTAAAGTGTGAGCGCTGCAAACAAATATAACTAGAAGCTGGACCCGTAAAAAAATCCCAAATTCAATATTTGCGCATACAAACAAATGCGTGTCCCTAGACGAGGAGCCCGCCCCCCTGATGAGGTCAGTGCAAACAAGACGAACAAAATGTGGCAAAGTGCTCAACGCTGTGGGCTATAGGGAAAACGAAAGCAAGAGTCCGCACGACTAGCAGATACCCTGTAGCCAGTTTCGAGCTGTCAATTGAACTTTCTTCGCACTTCGAACTTCCTTCTACAACACACACACACACACACAGAAACAATTCCCAGTCCTGTTTATGCTTCTTCTTTCCCTCAGGTTCACTCTATGAAAAAGTTAATCTTTAATAACTTTGTTGCTCTTAGTCCGATTCTTATGAAATTTTCGGAGCTTTAAAATAACATTCAACTCTTGTTGCATACAAAAAATCAGCGCTATACTTTTTACATACTTCCAGTTATGCGGGAAGGGGTAAATAGGGTTTAAATTAGCACGATCTGTACCATGTACACAAATTGGAGATATCTTTCAAATGACAGATACTTCGTACTACTCGGAAATGTTGCTAAGTCTAGCTCGTAAAACTTAAGAGATTTGTTTAAAAACGGAAGATCGATATTGACTTTTATCGATTGCTTGGAAACGGGGCAAGTTATCGATTATCGGAAAAAGAAATACCTACATTGACAAGTCCCCAGCTCTTACAGGTTCTGAGATCCTTGCGTTCATACAGGCGGACTGACGGACAGACGAACATATCTAGATGAACTCGGCTGTTGATGCTGATCAAGAAGATATATAATTTATGGGCTGGGGCATGCTTCCTTCTGCTCATACATACGTCACATACATTTAGACAAAAACATTATACCCTTTTTACTCATTATCAATGGGTATATAAAGTGAGCTGCCTTTTGTGAGCTAATATATATGCTCGAAAATGGATATACGCGAAGAACTTCTATTCGATTTCACGGAAACGGGTGGAACTATCGCTATATTAAATCTTTTCTTAAAGAAGAAGACTGTGGAATAGGGGTATATTTACAATGTTGGGATATTTACAAATTGGGATATTTACCATAAAGGGGATATTTACAATGGAAATATTGCAATATTGGCAATGAGGGGTATTTATAATGGAGGGGATATTTATAATGGGAAATAGTTTTAAGTGCAGGGATATTAACAATGAGGGATATTTATAACGGGGCATTGTTACAATGAAGGGGATATTTATAATGGGGAATAGTTTTAAGTGGAGGGATATTAACAATGAGGGATATTTACAATGGAGAATAGTTACAATGAAGGAGATATTTATAATGGGGAATAGTTACAATGAAGGGGATATTTATAATGGGAAATGTTTAAAATTAAGGGAATTGAGAACTAAGGATTGGGAACATGGCCTACTACCGTAGGGATATTAGATCATTCGCCTCATAGGAGTGGAATCCTTGAAGGCGTCTCTCTGTGATGGAGTTAGCCAGGAACGGGAAAATCCAGCATATGGGCGTAGAATTGGATCTGAACTCCGACCTGTATCTGTATCTATGCATAACTTATACAAAATGTTGCTCTTATAGCTAGATCTGTTTATAAATATAAATACTCTTTGAATTTCAGACTCCTACAAAACCAGCATAGCCCATTTCGGCACATCTCTAAAGGGTATAAAAAGGGCAACCTTTTCTCATTCCCAGCAACCCTCAAAGTCCGCCCAAAAGTATGCCACAAATTACGTAAAGCCCATTCAAAAATGGTTGATTTTAAAAGATGGCTGAAACATGTGAAAATTTGCATGCAACCCCCTCGAATAAAAAACGAGAAGGTATCCAACCCCTCGCTGTGGCGCAAATGCCCAGCCAATTAGCTGGAAATGTTGATGTGCTCAAAAACCAAAGCAACAGGAACTCCCGCATGACCCAACCCCATTTGGGATATCCTTTTTTTTTTTTTTGAAACTGAAATCAACACCAGGCCGAAAGTTCAGGCCTTCCTTTTGGACATGTTTACACATTTAATTAACTAACACGCGCCCGAAAACTTCCGGGGATTCCCCGGCCCCGCGAAAAGTAAACGAACGGAAAATGAGACTCGGTTCGGGTTCAGTTTTTCTGCCTCTTGTCTCTGTTTTTATGTTTCCTTGACCATTTGAAACCATTTCAAGTGGTTTAATCATTTAACGCACATCATAAAAATCGCATCAAGTGACTTTTTTTTATTTACACGCATCAACAAAAGAAAGGAATTCCAGCCCAAAAAGGGGCGACAAAAACGTATGCGGGCGGGCAATGTGAACGAAAAGAGGGGGGGGGTCGATCCAAAAGGATGGCAAATCCTTTGAAATTTTAGCAGTGCCCGAAAAGGGGCGTGAACTAATCGCACAGCCCACAGATGAGCCGAAGGTGATAAAAATATTGGCGAGAAATTGAACGAAAAGTCGAAGATCTAATAACAATCATGTTCGCAAATTAATCGAATTAAGCGGCGTTGCGCGACCAAAATACGTCTCCTTTCAATGCCAAAAAGTCATGTGAATGCAAATTGAACTTTTGGCTATGCAACCTGGGATAAACATTAACTCAACCTCAACTTCCGCGACTATTTTGCGATTAGTTTCGATTTTGGGATGCGTCAGAAGTAGCTTTGTTCCACCCATTTTCCACTCTTGGAGAGAGCATAACATAAAACTGTTATCATATATTGGAATTCTGACAATGTCAAGTAGGCAATCGGACAAAATGTGAACATTAGTTCTTTATAAATGAGTTCCTTATTTAAACAATCTTAAAGATTAATTGATCTTCAATCATATATATATTCATATATACACATTGCCAACGCATACATATTCTTTATGTATGTAAATTAAATGCCTTGCATCATTTAAATAAATTCCTTTATTTATGCATGCTTTTTAGTAACAAGAAAATGACATATTTAAGTGCAGCGCAGGCGAAATTTGAATTTGCCGCCAAATGCCAAACGATTTGCCACACTTTCGCCAAAGGTGGCAACGCCAAAATCAAAATGCGTGCGCACGCCTGCGACTGGCAAATTCTAAAATGCGCGCAAATTTCAAAATGGCGCACAGCAAAAAAAAACTTAATATGCTGCACAATATTCAGTTGCTTGTTAATACAAAGCGAAATACATAGTTTTTTATTAAACGTTAAATAGTTATTACCTTGTGTGTTGTATTATAAGGTGAATTTAATTCAATTGGACGCGGCACAAAGCAGCCGCAATACGTTATGAGTGTGTGCGAGTGTGTGTGTGTTTGTGTGTGTTAAGGAGTTCTTTTTTTTTTTTTTTTTGATGTGGCTTATGAAAATGCAAATAAGTAAAGATCTTGCAGCACAGTAGGCGAACATGTTTAGCTCATGGTATTGATCTAGAAGAGAGAACATGGATTTATAAAAAGACTAAGAGTACAATTCCCGGCTACTCACAATATCATCGATCTTCAGTATGGAGCGTATGGTCTCGGTGGCCAGTGTGATGGCCGAGGTGCTGACCAGCAGCGGCTGGACAACGTTCTCCGCCAGTATATCGGTAATGGCGCCCTTGCGCACATTGATGCCCGCCGTCTTCTCGCCCTGGGCATGACGATTGCGCAGCTCCGTGACGGTGGCAATCGGATTGAGGCCCGCATTCTCGGCCAGAGTCGATGGAATGACCTCCAGGGCATCGGCAAAAGCGCGATAACAATAGGCATCGACACCCTCCACGGTTTGTGCCAAGGCGGCCAGCTGCAGCGCCATCTCGATTTCTGGCGCACCGCCGCCCACAATCTGGGCGCGCTTCTTCACCAGACAGCGCACCACGCAGAGCGCATCGTGCAGCGAACGGGCTGCCTCCTCAAGCACCAGCTTGTTGGAGCCACGGCAAATGATGGAAACGGTGCGTCCCTGATTCTGTATGCCCGTGATCTTGACAAATTTGTTGGTGCCGCTGGCCACCTCCTCGACGAGATCGGCGCTGGACAAGTTCTCGGCTGTGAAATGATCCAGCGAGGCGATGGGACGGCAGTGCAGAGACTTGCATACGAACTCAATATCCTCGCGCTCCACATCCTTGACAACCAGACACTTGATCTTGTCCAGGAAATGCTGAGCCAGATCCGAAACGGCATCGCTGCAGAATAACTTTTAGTATTACGAAATTCATATTAAGCAGAGATTAACTCACCGCAATATGGACTTCTGGACGAGCAGGACATTGCAGCCGGCCTTCTTGATCTGTTTGACAATATTGAGAATATAGGAACGTTCCTCCTTGAGCACACGATCCATGGCCGCATAATCGCTGACAATCACATTGTGATCCATATCGGTTTTCGGTGCCGAAATGCAGAACTGAATCAGCCCAATTTTTGCCTTCTCGATGCGCTTGGGCGCATTGGTGCCCGCCGAGCGGCTGGTAAAGACCAGGCCCTGCACCAGTTCCGTATCCTCGACGGTGCCGCCCAGGCTCTGGATAACCTTGATGTTCTTCAGATCCACAGACGACTCCTTGCCGGGCTCGGTGACCTTCAGCACCGCATCGACAGCAATCGGAGCCAACAGGCTGCTCTGCTGCGAGACCACCTTGGAGTTGAGCGATGTTGAGGCGCTCTTGATCAGGGTATCGCGATCATTGAGCTCAATGGGCGTGGACATTTGGGTGAGTATCTCGACCGCCTTGTTCGAGCAGCGCTGGAACGAGTCCGAAATGGCAGTCGGATGCAGGCCCTTCTGCAGCAGCTTCTCGCAGGCCTCAAGCAATGCGCCCGCAATAACCACCACAGATGTGGTGCCATCGCCGGCCTCCACATCCTGGGCACGGGACAGCTCGACCAACATCTTGGCAGCCGGATGCAACACGTTCATCTGCTTCAAAATGGTGGCGCCGTCGTTCGTGATGGACACCTCACCGTTGCCCGCCTGGATCATCTTGTCCATGCCGCGCGGGCCCAGACTGGTGCGAATCGCATCGGACACAGCTGCAAAAAGCAAATATGTATCAAAATTCTCCACCTCCTCCACACGCTTCGCCCGCAGCACATGAGTCATATGCGCGACAAAGTGTCATCACTAGGAAGCTTCGAGACGGCGGCGCAGCCGGCAACTGCTTTTGTTAAATGCATTTTTGCACAGCAATGCGTCTTAACAATAACTTTTGTGCAGCGCAATTTGTTGTTTGCAACATAAATGTGCCTGCTGCACACACTTTATGTGATAGCTGTGCTTATTTCTGCAAAAAAAATATGCATTTTCTTACCCTTGGCCGCCTGTATGTTGGACAGCCGCACATCGGTTGGCTTCGACTTGTCCTTGAAGGTCTGTGCTTTCGGTTTAATGCCAACTGTTCTTGCTTTCGGCGCCATTGTTGTCTTAGTTATGCGATTTTTAACAATTGGTAATTTTTAAGCACAATTTTCAACGCGATTAACACAGATTAAAAAGTGTCTAAAACTATGTTTTTCGCTGCCCCGTGACGTATAGTGACGGGAGAAACTCTGATAGTACTATCGATTGTTTTCGATTGTTCAAGCGATGTTTTTGGTATTATTTAGCACCATTTTCGGTGAATGGCAATTTGAATTTTAAAACAAGTGCTTTAGCCTAAATATTGCATTTATTTTTGATTTTCTGATTACAATTGTCTGCCTAATCATATTTAAGCGTTGGCGGCAGTTCGTCTGGCCCGATTTCCAACTTTTCCGGCACACCAGCCTTCAGCGTCTTATCCGAATTTATTTGAGCCGTGACCTCCGTAAAGAGTTTATCCCATTCCCAAAGCTCGTCCGGCTCGTCCAGACTTTCTTGATCGTGCAAGCAACGCGTCAATATGGACAAGTCGACGTCCTCAATAGCCGAGAACGCATTCTGCGAGAGCAGATCAGAGCTCAACTCCTTGAGCGCGACTTCATGGCTGTAAGGAACGCTGAAAAATTGAGATAGTATTCATATATCTTTCCAAATTATTAACACAAGGCACTCACGGCGGAGGATCGGCTATTTCGTTCAGCATGAGATCGTCCCTGACATCATCCAAGTCCGGTATAATGGGTATATCATCTGTGGGTATTGTGCTGGACGCCGATTTTGTCACCTGAAAACGCTCGCTAAATATTTGAGACTCGTTATTTATGTTTTAATTGAAGTGTTTCCGCTTACTCGTCAAACGAATTCTTCTTCGATCTGTGAACATGAAATGCCTATTAATAACAAACGGAAACAGTTACCGGATATAACTGACTTGAGGCCCTTCAATCCCGAGTCCGCCCAACCGCCCGAAACGCGTCTTATGGGCGGGCGACTCGAATCGAATTCATTATTATATGTTGTCGGCGTTGTGGCCGCTGTGGTCGTGGGACTGCTGCTCTCATTGTGTATATCCAGCGTTATATCGATGGATATATCCTTGTTCAGCTTCTGTGTAGACGCGGCACTCGCGGAGCCTCCCGCCTCGTTGAGCACATCGCGACTCTTGGAGCGGCGGCCCTTGCGCGCCGTCGTCTGCAAATGTGCCTAAATTAACTGCTTTTTTTTATTAGTAATTTGATATTACCTTTCTTATGGTCATTTTCAGCTCCTCAGCCCAATCCATCATTATAAAAATAATTGTTTATATTTCTGGCGTTGCCTAGGCAACAAGTTGTCGTTGCAGTGTTGCAAAATGTTGTATAATATAAAATCGATACTATTCGATAGCAGCTGTTTTTGTGCCGCAGCCAACTTCACGTCACGCAGTGCGGTGGCAGCTTCACAGACTGATTGATTCAAAACAAAATATTAAAACGCTGCCAAAATGCTGACAGACGACGATGACTTCTTCTACGAGGACAAAATGTGAGTAGGAAATACGTCAACCGTGTGTACAATCGCATGTTCATACAATTTCATAAAACGCCTGGCGGGCTTTAGCCAAACGAAAGCCTTCGCCCAGCGGCTTGTCACAAATCAATAATTGGGTCAACATATTGTTTTGATTTTGTTTTTGACCCAACATTTAAATACTTTAAATTGAAATTTGGTCAGTAAACGAGCAGGCGAACAGGCACCGCCAGTGCTCATACAATTTAATGCGGATTCCATGGCCGACTTTGAGGCGTAAGTATCGGGGCATATGGCAAGTACTTTTGCTGCTGCTTCTTCTTGTTCTTCGAGAAAAAAAAAAATAGTACTCTTATCTACGTCACAAATTGCCCAAATTTCCCCGAAAGTGAAAAACCCAAAACGGAGGATTCGAATACGTCTGATACGGAATGCGCGGTGCTCTGCACTGGCCTCGACTTGGCGCCCGAAAACTTTGGACTGTATTATAAACAGAAATATGAGTTAGATCGCTTGTAAGTCCATGTCTTGACTCAAAACCCATGTACTTTCATGTAGTGTCTCCAAAAGCTAACCAAATAGACGGAGACTGAGCAACAATATTATTGTGTGGGAATTCGATTAGATTATCGTAATATCTTAAGTTTTTATTGTATAACCCAAAAATGGAGACTGCTAGAACGTCCACCCCTAAACAGATAATGCCCCCATTGTAATGTAGGGTTTATCTATGGTAGATATATGATATTATTTTCGACTTTTTAGCAATCTTAGAAGCCTACAAAATCTCAGTTTTGATTAAGATCATTTGAAATAATATTAAGTTTTTTTTTTATATAATTTAATTCTTTAATGATTGCTCTATAAAAGCTATATGTTATAGTGCTTCGATCCAGCACAAAGACAATTTTATGCAGTCTTTAAAAATTAGTTTCTAGTTGAAATTAAACAAGAGTTCATATGAGATCGGACCTAACCTAGCTTATAGTACTCCCTTGAGGAATATTACAATAAATTATATTTCTTTTTTACCTACCTAGAACTAGTATTAGCCCGACTTATATCAAAAATTAACTTAGATATAGACTTTTTCAGTTTTTTTTTTTTTTTAATTTATCAGAAGCAACAGAAAGAAGCCTTAAGATTGTAAAGCTACAGATTATTAAGCGATCATGTATAAGTAGAGTTACAATAGGTTTTTCTTAGCTGAATTGCTAAATCGTATTGCTAGATTAAATACCTAGAAAATTGCACCCATTAATGTGAGTATGGCACGCTTCGATTTACTTTCGAAAAGCTTCCAATTTGTTCCAAACTCTATCCGATTTGAAGCTAATGCAATTGATCAATTTACAGGGGCATGACCGTGACGACCAGCTCCGTTGTGATAAACAAGGATCAGAGCAATCTAATTGGCATCAGCATCGGAGGCGGAGCCCCAATGTGTCCCTGTCTCTACATAGTTCAGGTGAGGATAAACAAACAAAAATAATAAAAATAGCTGAACAAAAGTTTTTAGTTTAAGATTAATATAAGCTACTAGCGCAGAAACAAAGCAGATTTATAGCTCAACAGACTTTGCTTTCGATTCTTCTTCTTTTTTTTCCATAGCTTAAACTTGTTGAGAATTACAAGCTGAACAACATTTGCAGCTAGTTTTTGAATTGAAACAATTTTGAATTAAATATGAAATTAACAAAATTGTTGATAAAACTAAAAAAAAAAGAAAAGACAAAACAATTAGCTGAACTACAAATATATGTTAATTAAAAAATAAATAAACTAAAGAAGCAAAGACAAAAACAATAATCCGAAAGGAAAAACGCATCTAAAAGCGAGGCATTGATTCAACCCCAAACAATATTTCAAAATGTATCGCGAGTATATTTGTAATTGTTTACAATTTAACTTTGGTGCGCTTCCAGGGATTCGGTCTGGCCTTGAAGTTGGTCAGCTGGCGCGCCTGCTGGTATTCCTTCTGCCAACGAAGCGATGCCGCAACCATGTTCGCCTGGCAGCGATCCTCCTGCTTGCGCTGATTCCACTTGTCGAACTGCTTGCGTTGCTCACCCCGTTTCTGTGAGTGCAATTTGAATGGCTTCGTCTTGACAATGCTCGACCAGATGCTGGGCACATATGGCGGCTTGCGCCAAGAATCGCCCGATGTTGCTAGCAAATTTGGCCGCAGCGTTAACTCCTTCATGCTGGACTCCTGTATGGACAACATTTCGGCCTCCCAGCGTTTGTTCGCCTTCATCGAGTTGATAAGCGTGCGGGGCGTTTGCGGCTCGGTGATCTTCTGCAGCGAATTCAGCTGACGCATCTTGTTGCGCATCTCCCAGCGCTTGTGATGGGCTCTGAAATTCGGCACCGGCAGACTGTGAAATTGTCGCTGCTGTTGTTGCGCCCGAATCACGCTGCGCGCCCTTTCTATGCGATTCCGATCGTACTCCTGCTGAAATTTGCAGACCTTTGGCACCACGGACGCCCTGCGGCACTTGCTCGCCTTCGATCTGGCGCTGTCCAGGCCCGCCTGCTGCCGCAGCAGCTTGTTGCTTCTAGAGCAGCGCTCCATTAAAATGGATCTCAGTCGTTGATCCAATTGACTGGCGCGCGACATGATTTTCGCTTTGGCAGCCGGCTTCGGTGCATTCTCTCCGTAATCTCTGTACCAATGCGAGAGCGTCATGGTGCTTGGCCAATTTTCCAAAAAAATGTCCTGAAATGGAAACCGAAAATATAAAATTTGTTCAACAGAATTTTGAAACTACTTTGAATGTGCCTAAACTCTACTTAACAGCTGCTCGGCTCCAGGCATCTCAGACATGGCTTCCATAGAATATATTCAATACGTGCCCTTCTTTTTTCAGGTATTCGATGGCACGCCGGCCGCTCGGGAGGGTTCGCTGCAGTCGGGTGACGAGCTGCTGGCCGTCAATTCGGTCAGCGTGAAGGGCAAGACCAAGGTGGAGGTGGCCAAGATGATACAAACAGCCAGCGAGCAGGTCATCGTGCACTTTAACAAGCTGCACGCGGATCCGGAGCAGGGCAAAAGCCTTGACATAATTCTCAAGAAGCTGAAACATCGCATTGTCGACAATTTGTCGAGCAACACGGCGGATACGTTGGGTCTGTCGCGGGCCATACTCTGCAACGATTCGCTGGTGAAGCGGCTGGAGGAGCTGGAGGGCACAGAACTGATGTACAAGGGCCTGGTGGAGCATGCCCGTCGCATGCTGAAGGCCTACTATGATCTGCTGCAGACATACAAATCGTTTGGCGATTGCTTCACACAGATCTCGGCGCATGAGCCGCAGCAGCGCGCCTCCGAGGCATTTCGCACCTTTGGCGAATTCCATAGATCGCTGGAGAAGGATGGCCTGGCCATCATCAAGCAGATCAAGCCCGTGCTGGCCGATCTGGGCACATATCTGAACAAGGCCATTCCGGACACCAAGCTGACGGTGCGACGCTATGCGGACGCCAAGTTCACGTATCTCTCCTACTGTCTGAAGGTCAAGGAGATGGATGATGAGGAGCACGGCTTTGCGGCGCTCCAGGAGCCGCTCTATCGCGTGGAGACGGGCAACTATGAGTACCGTTTGATCCTGCGCTGTCGCCAGGATGCGCGCAGCAAGTTTGCCAAGCTGCGCACCGATGTGCTCGAAAAGATGGAGCTGTTGGAGTGCAAGCATGCCATGGATCTGAACAAACAGCTGCGCAGCCTGCTCGAAAGTCTCGCGGAGCTGCACAAGAGTCTGGTGGAGCGTCTGGACACGCTGCCACCGCTGTTCCCCATTGAGGTGGACTTCAAGGAAACCGATTTTCAGTACAAATCCAGCACACTCAAGCCCCAGGAGCTGGACGAGGATGAGCTCGAAGCCAATGCGCAACGACGCAGCCACAATGTCATCTATGGTCGGGAAGCAGCAACCGTCGAGCAGCCGGCGCCCATTGTCAATGTGGCAACGTCCAGTTGTCCAGCAGCCGCTGCCGCCTCCAATGCCAACGAGAATGAGACGCTACTTAAGGAGCTGGGCCTGCACGATGTCGATTTGCTGTCCAATCCGCAGACGATTAGCAATCAAAAGGATTCCATATCCGCGCAAAACGATGGCTACGATTTCGATTTGTTCCTGAATCAGGCAAATGCCACAACCAGCCTCGAGCGGGACCTGATGTCGGCAAATGCTAGCGAAACTGATTTGCTGCTCCAATAAACTTTTTTTTTTTTTTAGTATTTTTGTGCAAATATAAAAAGTGTTGAAAAACCAATTAATTTTTAAAGCTGCGCTTAACGGCTAAGGCTGGTATGCTGTTCAAGCCAATTGCTGATAAATCGACTATGCAAACATTGTAAAAGACCTTTTGCTTATGCGTTATGTGTGTGTATATATATATTATCCTGTACTTACAATTAAATCAATACTTATTAGATAATTAAACTTGACATGAGATTACAAATTATCTTAAAGTATCGATACTTTAATTTAAAAGTCAGTTGCCGCGTACTCGTCTTAATAAGGCCTGTCTTTGTCTGCCTTAGCCATTCACAACGCGCGCTCACACATGCACAAGTGGTTTCTACTTACAATTAAATCAATACTTATTAGATAATTAAACTTCACATGAGATTACAAATTATCTTAAAGTATCGATACTTTAATTTAAGAGTCAGTTGCCGCGTACTCGTCTTAATAAGGCCTGTCTTAGCCATTCACAATGCGCGCTCACACATGCACAAGTGGTTTCTAAATCTCAGAGCACACACAATTGTCGCAGCTTCCTTGATTCCAAATTCGCTGTTATATGTATACTTAAAAAAAAGCAATTGCACTTACCAGCTTTTGCCATTCACAATGCCTGCGTTCCCCTGCAGATGACTTGGCGATGCGCAGGCAAACAAAAAAACACGATTAACCACATAAAACACAAAACAAAGATGTTTTTATATAACATCCAACTCCTGCCACGACGAGCTATTTTCTCTATTTTCATAATCCTTTCTTAATTCAAAACACATGAATATTGCGCACTTGTTTCAAATATGCAATGTCTGCCAACTTTTGCCATTCACAATGCACGTAAACACGCACAGCTGATTGGCATTGCAAAAGGTAATCAAAACCTGCTTCGTTTGCCGGCTGACATAAAACACAAAACAAAGAAATTTGTTTTATACAACATACAAATGCTGGCACGACAAGCTATTATCTATATTACCAAAGTTCAATTGTATCAGTTTCTTAATTAAATTCGAATATAAAAGAGAATATTGCGCACTATGTTTAAATGTGCCTCGCCAGCCAACTTTTGCCATTCACAATGCACGTACACACGCACAGCTGATTGGCATTGCAAAAGGTAAACAAAACGTGCTTCGTTTGCCGACATGCCGCCAAAATCGAGCAACAAAAAGAACCAAGCCACTTGGTATCATTGCGACAAATGCGGCGTGCACATAACATCCAAATCCCGAGACACACACGAGCGAATATGTCCCATTGATGAAGACAAAAGCGGCCCAGCGGTGGATGCAGAGTTTGTGCGCAGTGGAGCGCTCTACACGAGCAGCGCGCAGCAGCGCAGCTTTGAGGTGGAATCACTGAAGGATCTGCCGCCCAAATATGCCAACATGCTGATATTTGTATCCGAAGGCGCCATGCAGCTAGCGGAATGGCACATAGGACAGCAGCTGGTCATAAGCCCGGCGACTCAAGAGTCCGGGACGCTCGTGCGCCTGGCTTGGCCCGTGTCGGAGCAGTTTCTCACAACAGTGTTTGCCTCGACGGAGGGTAGGTTTGTGTGTGCCCAAGTGGAGACAACTCGCTAATCGATTTCCTATTTAAGATTACAAACAGAATTGGACGCCGCTGCGAGGCAAATCGCTGCGCATTTCGGCGCTGGACAGCAGCCAGCTCTACGTTGCTGCGAGCGTCTCCTTGAGGCAGCTGAACGGCAGTGAGTCCAGTCTGGAGCAGCAGCAGCTGCCGGATGTGGCTGCTGTGCTCAAGCAGGACCTAATCAATAACATCTACTGCAGGCACAGCGAGCTGCACTTGAATTTCTTTAACAAGCCCTTGACCTTTCGCTTGGAGAGCTGGCGGGGCGTCGAGGAGTGTGGCGTGGAGGATGCGCTGGCACGGCTGAGCTTGGCAAAGTCCCAGCAATTTGTGCAGATAACAAGCGCCACGCGCCTGGAGCTGCTGCTCAGCGAGGAGCAAGCCAAACCGGAGCCAGAGCAAAAGCTGACTAAAGCCAAAATAGGCGGATTGGACAAGGAAATCCAATTGGTGGAGGAGAGCATGGACTATGCGCTGGGCTACAGGCCGCTGCCCAAGGGTAAGCAGACAATTTGAACTTGGAAACCCTCTCAACATCTTCTCCCTGCAGGCATCAAGGTCTCACGTGGATTGCTGCTGTACGGCGCCAGCGGCTGCGGCAAATCCCTGGTCTGCGAGGCCATGTGCGCCGCCGCGCAGGCACGCGACAGCAAGGTGCAGCTCATTCGCATCAACAGCGGCGAGATCTACAGCAAGTTTCTGGGCGAAACGGAACAAAAGCTGGCGGCTCATTTCGAGCGCGCCTATGCGCATTATCCGCATCCGACGCTGCTGCTGCTGGAGGATGTGCACACGCTGTGTCCCAAGCAGGACGCCGGCAGCGATCTGGTCAAGCGTGTGTCGCTGGCAATGCTCTCGCTGCTCGATCAGCTCAGCAGCGGCAGCCGGCCCGAGTCGAGTCGCACATTTTTGCTGGCCACCAGCTCGCAAATCGATGCACTGCATCCGAGCATACGGCGTGCCGGGCGTCTGGACTGCGAACTGGAGCTAGGCGCACCCGCGCCAGCCGCACGCCAACAGATTCTGCACTGTCTGCTGCAGCCGCTGCAGCATAACATCCAGGAGTCGGAGCTGGAGCAGATTGCCAGCATAACGCACGGCTATGTGGGCGCCGATCTGGCCAATTTGGTGTATACCGCCACGCTGGCCACACTCAAGGCTGAGGCGCGCGCGCTGGAGCTGCGCGACTTGCAGTCGGCGCTCACACAGGTCAAGCCCTCGGCCATGCGCGAGGTGCTCATCGAGAGTCCCAATGTCCGCTGGTCGGACATTGGCGGCCAGGCGGAGCTGCGGCTGGCACTGCAGCAGGCCATCGAGTGGCCGCTGCTGCATGCGGATAAATTCCAGCGCCTGGGCATCAAGCCGCCGCGCGGCGTGCTCATGTTCGGCCCGCCCGGCTGCTCCAAGACAATGATTGCCAAGGCGCTGGCCACCGAAAGCCAACTGAACTTTCTGTCCATCAAGGGTCCCGAGCTGTTCTCCATGTGGGTGGGCGAATCGGAGCGTGCCGTGCGCGAGGTGTTCCGCAAGGCGCGTCAAGTGGCGCCCGCGATTGTCTTCTTCGACGAAATCGATGCCATTGGCGGCGAACGCGCCGAGGGCTCGACCAGCGGCTCGTCCGTCAAGGAGCGTGTGCTCACCCAGCTGCTGACCGAACTGGACGGCGTAGAGGCCTTGCATAATGTGACCATTGTGGCGGCCACCAATCGCCCGGACATGATTGACAAGGCGCTGTTGCGTCCCGGCCGCATCGATCGCGTCTGCTATGTGGGCCTGCCCGAGCCGGAGGCACGCCGCGAAATCCTTCACATCAAGCTGCGCGCCATGCCCCTGGCCGAGAATGTTGTGGACATTGTGGACAGGCTGGTCACGCTCACGGCGGGCTATTCGGGCGCCGAAATACAGGCTGTCTGCCATGAGGCAGCGCTCAGCGCTCTGGAGCAGAGCTTCGAGGCGGAGGCCGTGCACTGGCGGCACTTTGAGGCCGCACTCCAAATGGTTCAGCCACGCACAAGTCCCGAGCTGTTGCGTCTCTATCAGGAGTACATTAAAAAGTAGAAAAGTAGGGATGTTCCCGAAAACTCTTTCAACGCACTTTCGCCTTGATTTATTTGAAAGCGTGTTCCACAACGAATTCAACAATTTAAACTCATTTCGACTTTTTATGCATTCTATTTTTTTTTTTTTTTTTTTGGTTTTTACGTTTTTCGGAGTTGTAAAAAAGTGTAATTTCCAGTGCCCTAAATCGTCAGAAAAAATATCATAAATCTCCAATCTAAATGATATAGATAAGGGAACAAGAGATGATAATATTAATAAAAATGCTTATCAGTGAGAGAAATCATAAGTCTACAAGAATTGAAGAACGTTCAGTCGAACCGACTTGGCAATACCCTAACAGTGTTGTAAAGTGGCGTACGAAACAAAATTGTAATTTGTTAAGAATCAGGAGTTAAAATATGTGAAGTGCATGTAAAACTGTAATTTTAGAAATGTGCATTTAAAACTGTAAGATATATAAATTCCCTCTAAATTGCTTGGGCTTTAATCGAATGGAATTGTCAAATTGATTGAACCCTGCTCCAAGATTTTCTTTACATTATTAAAGAGAGAGCCAGAAACCAATATGCCTTTTGTTCACTTCGCGTGCAGAGTATCAACTGTTACATGCCTAATGACAAAACTTGTTATGCCCGAAAAATAAATAATCAATTCGATACCCAATTGAATCAGTTCAACAATGCGCTGACAACAAATTTGTACATTTTTCTTGTGTATAGACTAGAAAATACCCTGTGCCTGCGACATTTGCATTTTAAAATATTTTCCTAATATTTCAAAAATAGTTTTCAATGATATTTCGAAAGTAGAGCTATAAAAAACGGATATGTAATATATAAATAGAATAGCTTTAAGTTATTTATACAATTTTAAAATTTTCAGTGCTGCCAATTTCTAAAAAAAAAAAAGCAGCTGAGTCCAGTGTTGAAAATGGCCATAAATAGCTGTTCGCTAAAAATAGCTAAAGGCAGCTATAAAATAGCTGTATTGGCATTGGAGTTGTCCAAAAATAGCTAAACTAGCCTTAAGCAAAAACTTATCCAGATTTAGCTGGATTAGTTAAGAGTTTTAGCTTCTTCCGCCAGATGAACTCCTAAAATAGCTAAAAATAGCTATAAAATAGCTTTAATGGCAATAGAATTATTTAAAAATTAAGTGCAAATAATATTTGAAATGTTTACAGGGTATGAGCAGAACAGACACACATTTATATATGGGTGTATATTTTAGGAGAAGTGTTTTTTAGTGCTTGAACTCGCAAATTGGCAGACTTTTTGAGGGGCGAAAGAAAGCAACAGGTTGCTGCAGAGCTCGTGCGAGAGCGTCGCCGGGATCGGTGCGGAACAGTTGTTGTCGGACCGTCGCAACGATTACGACACAGAGTCAATCAGCACGCACGCTGCTAACAAATTTGAGAGCGCGCGTCTCTTCGAGAATTGCCAAATAAGATGCAGCTGTGGCTGAGGATTTCCATGCTGCTCTGCTCGTTCGGTTTTCTGCGCGAGCTGCGACCCTCGGAGCCGTACGTGACCGAATATTTGGCCGGCGATTGGCGCAATCTGACCTCCGAACAGATCTACCAGCAGGTGTATCCCTTTGGCACCTACTCGGTGCTGGCCCTGCTGGTGATCGTGTTCCTCATCACGGATCTGTTGCGCTACAAGCCCATCATTGTGCTGTCCTCTGTGGCGGGCATTGTGCTGTTTGTGCTGCTGCTGTGGACGCGCAGCCTGCTGGAGCTGCAGTTAGCCCAGCTGTTCTTTGGCTTCTTCATGGCCGCCGAGGTGGCCTACTATACGTACATCTATGCCAAGGTCGATCGGGCACGTTATCAGATCGTCACCGGGCATACGCGTGCCGCAATTTTGGGTGGCAAATTTCTGGGCGGCATTGTTGCCCAGCTGCTCGTCTCAACGGACTGCATGAACTTTCGCCAGCTGCACTACATCTCGCTGGCCACACAGATTATATCGCTGCCCATTGCCCTGCTGCTGCCGAGTGTGCCGCGCAGCGTTTACTTCTATGCGGTGAAGGATTCGCCGGCGCAGCTGGAAAATGAGAATGCGAAAATGGCGGCGCCAAAGTTTTCGCTGAGAAACGCGTGCAGCCTGCTCTGGTATCATTTGGTCTCCTCCTATACGAATCCCATTGTGCTCATGTGGAGCATCTGGTGGGCATTGGCCATTTGCGGCCAGGTGCAGGTCATCTCGTACATACAGTTCCTGTGGAAGGAGCTGGCGCCGTTGCATCAGAGCAACTACAATGGCGGCGTCGAGGCGGTGGCCACACTTCTGGGCGCCATCGGAGCCATCCTTGCCGGCATGCTGAACAGCAACAGTCGCCGCAGCTTTTATATGCTGCTCAATTCGGTGTGTGCGGCCATATTGGGTGTGCTAATGCTGCTCGCGGCCTGCTGCAACAGCGTCTGGTTGGCGTACGTCAGCTATGCGATCTTCTGTGCCATCTTCTTCTTTATCATCACCGTGGCAGCTGCCGTTGTGGCCGAGAATCTGGTGGACGACAGCTTCGGGCTGGTGTTTGGCATCAATACGCTGGTGGCGCTTGTCTTGCAATCGATATTAACTGTTGTTGTGCTGACCGGTAAGTCGAGGATGCTTTTATTTGTGACCGCCAGCTAATCCTTTCATTCCTGGGCAGACACGGGCTTTGGCCTGCCGCCAAAGAAGCAGTATATTGTTTATGGCAGCTACTTTTTGGTTTTGTCTGCAGTTTACCTGCTGCTGCAGCTGCTACTAAAGATCTTTGCCAGAAAGTCTCCGGCGGCGTGATGAAATAAAATACCACTCGAATATCCTTAATTACATTTTTTATTAATGTTTACCTTTTTTACAGCGCAGACAGCAGTAACTTAACAGGTCTGCGGACTGTTAATAACAGTGCGTAATTGTTTTAATTGAGAAAAAGCGCTTGTGCGCTTACAAGCAAGCCGGTGTTGAATTTTGCATTGTGTATAACAATACCAACATATTGTTGCAGTTATTTAGCAAAAGAAAACCTATAATTGTGCGGCAATTGCCATTTAACAGTTGAAATAAGACCTAACAGAGAGCACAGCTGTTATTCAACATTTCGATCGTGAATTGCTGCAAAAGGCCGCACAATAATCGATATTTTCGATATTATGTTCGTGCAGCCCTGGTAAAACGCAATCGAGCACAAACAAAACAAAGTTTCTGTGCGTGCAGTTCCTATATTTGCATGGCTGCTAAATAAACAAGTAAGTTGATTAAAATTCTATAAATAATGCACGCAGTTCACACAAACTGCTTGCTTATATGTGTTTATGTGTTTGTATTGAGTGCAAGCCTCGAGGGCAAATGTGAGTCATGCAGACAACAACTTTCAGCTGACGAGCCGTGCGTGTGTGTATGTGTGTGCGTGTGTGTGTGTGTGTGTGTGTGCGTGTATTTATTATTCTAGTTTTTCTTTTAGAGTTGCGTTTACCAACAACACGAATTAGCTAACAAATGAATAGCGAAGCCCCATTACTGCCGCCGGCCCAAGCTGTGTCCGCCGCAGCCGTTGTCTCGGACACGCCCCCTTTGACTGAGCCCTATTCGGATACGGATTTTTACATTGGCGTCGGCTTGGCCATTTCATCATGTTTCTTCATCGGCTCCAGCTTCATTATCAAGAAGAAAGCACTGCTGCGTCTGAGCCGCTATGGCGAGGTGCGCGCCGCAGCTGGCGGTTTTGGCTATTTGCGTGAATGGATCTGGTGGGCGGGGCTGCTGACAAGTGAGTTTTGCTTTTGTGATCGGGAGAGACCTTGTCTAAAATAGTGACTCATTCGTTATCGTTTGTGTGTGCCTTGCAGTGGGCTTGGGCGAAGCAGCCAATTTTGCCGCGTATGCATTCGCACCCGCCTCCCTGGTGACGCCGCTGGGCGCGCTGAGCGTCATCATCTCGGCGGTGATGGCATCGCGTTTCCTCAACGAGAAGCTCAATTTGTTGGGCAAGATTGGCTGCTTTCTGTGCATTCTGGGCTCGACAATTGTGGTCATACACTCGCCCAAAGAGAAGGAGATTGAGGATCTGCAAGTGCTCTTCGAAATGCTGCAGGATCCCGTCTTTATACTCTATGTCATTTGCATCTTTGGCTCGAGCGCATTTGTCGCCTGCTTTGTGGCGCCGCAACATGGCCACACCAATGTCTGCGTCTACCTCTTCCTGTGCTCCGGCATTGGCTCCCTGACGGTGATGTCCTGCAAGGCACTGGGCCTGGCCATACGCAGCACAATTGCCAACGGCTCGAATGTGTTCAGCACATGGATGCCATGGTTCCTGATCGTGGTGACCGTCACCTTTATAGCCATACAGATGAACTATCTGAACAAGGCGCTGGACATATTTAATACGAGCATTGTGACGCCCGTTTACTATGTGATGTTCACCACGCTGGTGATCACCGCATCCGCCATACTGCTCAAGGAGTTCCAGCACATGCGCTTCGAGAATATACTCGGCGATGTGTGCGGCTTTCTAATTGTCATCATAGCCGTCTTTATGCTCAACGCCTTCAAGGATATCGACATCACGCTGATGGACGTGCGCGGCCTGATGCGGCCCAAGATGCAGCGCGTCTCCCAGTACGACGAGGAGGTGCTGGTCAGCACCAATCTGAAGGAGCGTCGCTACTCGTACGGCTCCAGCGATGTCTTCCGCAAGGCATGACACAAGCAGCGCTATCAAGTTTAGTTATTCCCCATGGCCCAAACTTGACTCCAACCAACCACATTCAAATTGCAATCCAAAAAAACCATATCAAACGCATCATACCATTGATTGTTCCTTCATTTTTGTTAATCACACTTTCGTTTAAGTCCTAGCATTTTAAGTGTATTGTAAAGCTAAAAGATCGACCAGTTATTATTTGCCTTTAGGATTACGTGAAAAATTTGTATATAATATAAGCATAGCCCTTGCCAATTTAAGTTGTCTTTGAATCGAGTTGAAAAACAGCTAAAAATAGCTATTATCTGCTTGTTAAGACGCCAAAAATAGCTACGTAAGTTGAGAATTTCAAATGTTTTCGGCTGACCACCTCTTCAAAAAGCCTTATTTAGCTTCAAAATAGCTGAATTGACAACGCCGTTAAAAACACTTGAGTCTGATTAGCATCATGATGTTGTATCCAATTAGAACTGACAGTGGGCTACACAAATGTTGCAAAATAGCTATAATTTGCCTGTTAGAATGCCAAAATTAGCTAAGTCAGTTAAGAATTGCCAGCTAACCTCTAAAAATATCCGTATTTGGCCTTAAAACAGCTAAATGAACAACGCTGTTAAAAAGCACAACACTCTTATTGGCATACATGTATTATATCCAATTGGAGCGTTCAGTGGGAGATTAGGCAAGTCGCTCTAAAAAAAACCTTGGCTAGTTAAACAAGTAAATCTCGTATTTGCTATTTGCCTAGCAGGCTGTTCGATCCTCGTCAAAGTTTATAAATCAACACAAATCCAAATTCATATCGTATTCAACAAAATTGATAGCCTGTTTTGAAAATTCGGAAAACATCGATAACGATAACAATTCAACGCGTTCACCTGTGAATGCCAGGGCTGCCAACTGTGAAATAATTGCAATTAACCAAATATTAAAAAATAGTTAAAAGTTCGATTTGGCTTGAGTAAACATTAAATTTGGGCAAATATGAATATTGTGCGCTTGGGCTGCACGCGTGGCGTGCTGAAAAATCCATTGTCCACGCAATGGAATAACATAATCAGGGCTACCGCAATGACGGCTGTCAATTGGAATGCCCTCAATGCCGTTAGAACGGCAACAGCGACAAGCTCTCGCAAAAATTTCGCCATTTTGCAGAGTTCAATTCCAGTTATAAACTCGATACGCAACTATACGTGCAAATCGATCGGCGGCAGCATGGAGGAACATTGTGTAGTGCCCGATGTAATTGCCAAGGCGCCCAAGGGCACGGCTTCCGTTGAATATGCCGGCGGCATAAGCGTGCAGGCCGGCAATGTGCTGACCCCCACCCAGGTCAAAGATCAGCCGTGCGTCAAATGGGAGGCGGATGCGTCGAAGCTATACACGCTCTGCATGACCGATCCGGATGCGCCCAGTCGCAAGGATCCCAAGTTCCGCGAATGGCATCACTGGCTCGTCGGCAATATACCCGGCAGCGATGTGGCCAAGGGCGAGGTGCTCTCCGCCTACGTGGGCTCTGGCCCGCCGCCCGATACCGGCCTGCATCGCTATATCTTTCTGATCTTCGAGCAGAAGTGCAAGCTCAACTTCGACGAGAAGCGTCTGCCCAACAACAGCGGCGACGGACGTGGCGGCTTCAAGATAGCCAAGTTCGCCGAGAAATATGATCTGGGTGATCCCGTCGCTGGCAATTTCTACCAGGCCGAGTACGATGACTATGTGCCCATTCTGTACAAGCAGCTGGGCGCCTAAGACCAAGAGTTTTCCTTGCATTTCTCTAGATTACATAATGTGAAGCACATTTGTTTTTTTTTTTTATTAACTTGTAATTTGAAATTGTAATTGGAGCCAGATTCGAATCATAGACGAAGGTCTGTTTGGCAATAAAAATTGCGGCAGCTGCATTTTGAATAAGTTCGTTTGTTGTACCCGATTTTCAAGGTGAGACAGGTGCAGGTGCACTCAATTACAATCGATATTTATTACCCTGCGAAGGGTTGTTATGTCATGGGAAGGCGTTTCCAAGCCCAGCAGGTGCTTCGATATAGCCAAGTCATACCTAAAGCTAATCAGTTCTAAAGAGGAGCACACAATTTGAAACTTTACAATTCGCCCCCAAATAATCTGTAGAACCAAAAGACTTCTGGAAAGGATTACTAGCAGGGACATTCACAGTGCACTTCACCATCTCCTGCTCCAGCAGCTGATTCCTTATCGCTCCTAAAGAGAAAACATTCTTTCACGAACCTAATTCGAATCTTCACAATTCTCGCCAACTCTCTGTAAAGCCAAGTCTTGCTGGGTTGGGTAGACTCCAAACTCCCAGTGGAAAGCTTACATCCACTCTAGTCTCATCCTGATATTGCGCCACAATAGATAAACCGTGCGTCCTTATGATGTATGCATTTATTTGTTTACTCGCAATCTACAATCTTGTGTTGTTGTTTTTTTTTTTTATGTATTTATCAATTTATAATAAAATTTGGGATGAAAATGCATACAGGACAAGCGGCGGCTGCCTTAAGATGCTGGAGCGGATGATTCCAAGCTGTCGTACTTCTGTTTATGCTCCGGCCACTCCACCTCGCTGATAGCCTGCCAAGATATTTGAATATTAAACAAACAATTCAATTAAATGATAATTAATTAAGTAAATGTGCTTGCCTTGAGTTCGTCGAAGGCCTGCTTGGCTATCCAATGGAATACGGGATTCTTCCAGTCGCGGGTAATGGCCTGCAGCTCCTTGACGCCGGTTTCGGTGGCCGGCGATGAGGTCTTTGAGATTTTTAGATACTGTGCCCACAAGAAGACCATGCTGCGCATTTTGTATGTCCAAAAATCGTTGGGCACGCCGCGTATCATGTCCTGTACCTTTTCGGTGTTCGGCATCTTGAGGTTCTCCAAAAAGGTTACATTCATCAATGTAAATATGGACTTCATGTTATTGTAATAATTATCGGAATTCTTCTCCAGCGCAAATTGGCCCTGGCTAACAATAACATCGACCACCTGATCGGTTGTCAAACGTGGAAAGTCCGGTATAAAGCAATTGCGCAAATTGATGCTGCCAAATGGCTGCAGCTGCTCCTTGATGGCCGCCTCGCACCACTTGTAATCCGTCCACCAGGCTGTCCAAGATGTATACTTTTTGGACTCCTCCTTGATGGCCCACTCGTAGTGCAAACGCTTGCGAATGCGCTTGACCAATGTGCGTCCCGCATTCTTGCCCTCCTGCTCAAAACTGGGCATCTCCGCCAGCGCCTCGTCGTCCAGCTCCTCACCGCTTGTACTGTAATTCGGCGCCTGCTCAAAGAACATGATCGCATACGACTTGTCCTCCGGCTGTGGCAGTGCCACCTTCTGATTGTTGATATACGGCAGCTTGAAGCCGCCCAGCAAAAAGCCGCGCTTCACGGCAAGCTTGCGACGCTTGATGTCGGCCTTGGTGAGCGGCACGGAGACTGCCTCGGCTACGCGTTTCTGTCCGGGAACTGCAAAAGGGTAAGACGTTAATACAAAGCTTGACCGAATCAGGCGAAGTTTCTGCTGGGTACTGAAGCGCTCGGCTTTACCTTTAGCATTTGTTTTGGCAGCTTCTTTCTTGACTTCCTGTGGCTTGTTGTTGTTGTTGCTGCTGCTGCTGCTGATGTTGGCTTTGCTTTTCGCTTGAGTATTTGGAGCTGGCGCCGCGATCGGATTCTTTTGGACCGGCAGCTGAGCTGGCTTCGGCTTGCCGCCATTGAGTGCCACATTTTTGGCCACAGCTGGTTGATTTTTAGCGTTCAATGGATTTTTAATAATTTGCTTTTGTTGCGCATTCTGCGGCCGATTGACAACAACTGGCGGCCTGCGTGCCGCAAGGGGCAGCTGCGGATTGTTGCTGTTGTTGTTGTTGTTGTTGATAATTTGCCTGGGAGCTGGTGGTCTGCCCTGATTGTGCATCTGCGGCGGTCGGTTGCCAACTGGCATGGCATTGGGATTGGGCTTGGGGCCGCTATTGTTGTCGAAATTCCATTTGCTGTTGCGATTGCCGCCCACATTCGGTTTGCCCTGGCCGAAGCCAAAGTTGTTGTTGCCCACCTGCCAATTGGATTGGTTCTTCATCAGAGCGTTAACCGTCTCCATCACTGCGTAAGCCTCGCCAGCGGGCCTAGCATTGTTTGGGCCGCGATAATTCTGCACATTCGAGCTGCCTGCCCCAATTGATGCTTGGCTATTGTTGTTGTTATAAAATGGTTGATTATTGTTGCTGTTGTTGCTGTTGTTTATGGGAAAATCGTTGGACTGCGGCCGGCGAAAGTCGTCATTGTATCCGCGATCGTTAAAGTTGCCAAAGTTACCCGTATTATAAGGCGCAGCAGTGCGTTCATTGTTGTTGAACTTAAAATTGGAGCCGGTGCGCCCCAAATTACTCGATTCCTGGCCGCGCAAATTGTCATTGAAATGATCGGCACGTCGATAAGTATCGATATTGCGATCATTGTTGTAAAAGCGTTGATTGTCAGTGTTGTTAATGTTGCTGCTGTTGCTGTTGTTGTTGTAGCTAAGATCGCTAACAGAGCGACTCATGCCCAAATTTGTTGGCAACTGCTGCTGCTGCTGCTGTTGTTGTTGTTGTTGTTGCTGTTGAGGGCCACGGTAATTGTCGGAACTGGACATATAACCGTTATTGCTCGCATTTCGACTGTTGTCGCCGCCGCTTATATTGAATCGCTGATCGAAAGTGCGTCCCAGAAAATTTGATTGCGTCTGCTGCGACGGTCCACGAAATTTATCATCAAAGTTGCTCTTAATCGGCGCAGCACTCACGTGGTCTGCTCCACGGCCGGCATTGCCGAACCTTTGGTTGTTGTTGTTGTTGTGGTTATTGTTGAAGTTAGAGAAGCCAATGTCGCCGCCGGATCGTCCGTAATTGTTTGATTGCATGCCGCCAAACTTGTTGTTATCAATATCTGCATATCGTTGATTGTTGTAACCGTTGTCAATATTGTTCATTGACCTACGAAAATTATCATCGAATGGACCGCCACCACCACCAACACTGCCGCCGCCACCTCCGCTATTGCCACCACCACCGCCGCCGCCGCCACCACCGCTGCCAACTCCGCTGCGAATTGGCGCAAAAGACGATGTATCATTGGGCTGTCGACGCTGCCCAATGCCGTAGGCGCTGAATCTATGGTCCATACTGCCCGATTAACTGCTCTCTAAATCGATTTAACTAATTATGTGTGACGACAAGGTATGATTTTAACGGCTATTGCAGCTATTTCTATAATTTTTTATTTTTTTTACAATACGCTAGCTGCTTGATGCCGTTCTAAATTGTAATATTTTCACATTTGACAGACACGCACACACGCGCACACACACATACATGCAGACTAGTGCTGTAAAGCGCCGGATTGAGCTGCCGTGAACCTGAACTAATTCAGGAACGATTCCACATTTGAACAAGTAAATCAAGTCATTTTCTGTTTTATTTATTAGCTACAATTAAATTGAAACTGACAATTTCTTTTATTTAATTGACATTTATAATTACGTCATTTTTGGTGTAACCTTACATTTGCCTGACTGGCTCTTGAATGGAACTAAAAGGGTGTTTCAAGCCAGGTGTAACCAGGGCTACGCCATATTGACTGCCGGTTGCTGTAAAAGAAAAATGTTATACAAGCACACCCCAGTGTTATACAGCTCAAGAAATTGGTAAATAATTGAAAGTATTATTATTTTATCTTAAAAACATGTAGTTTTAAGTAGTCTAGGGCTGAGGAAAATAATAGAAAAGCAATCAGCAGATATTTACCCATAAAAATATGCCCCTGCCGATAATTTTAATGAATACCTCAATCCCCCAGATCAGGCCTTTATATTCTGTATTATCAGATTTGCCTGGAACAATATAAGATATTGTCTGTACTTATAGACTTTCGCATTTCCTCTCTATCTAAAAAACTGGTTCTATTTTGAAGTTTTTAATTTTTTTTTTAAGATTTTTATTTAAAAAAAAATGAAGCAAAATCCCATCCCACGATTTTTGCATAATCTAGAGATTAGAGTAAAAACAATTTAAAATATGATTTATACTTCATTTGATTATCATTGCTCTTTATTTTTTTTTTTTAGAATTTCAGTTTTTGTTTTGTTTTATGTTCATGATTAGATCAGAACCGGAATGCGTACTTGAAGCATCTGAAAAAGTTATCCGATAATTAATTGAACTTGGAATATATAAAAAACTCTATGTTAACCTTGCTGGTTTTATCGAAGAGCGCCTGGGCGCGTTCCTGGTTCAGGCGATAGTTGACGAATTTATCAAAAACATAGCCATGTTTCGGGGACTCGATCAATATGCGATCCTCGCCAATGTCCAAGCTGAATTCCTGCGACGAGACCTGTTAGGGAAGATATGTTAAAGTGTTTTCCAGAGAAACATATAAATATATATATTATATAGACTCACGCAATTGGGCATATAGAGTTCAGCATGGATTTCGTCGACGATCTCATCGCGAACCCGGGCACGCAGCTTGTAGACGGGCTCACGGCTCTTGGCCCAGTTGCTCCGGATGCTGGCCGCATGCTCCTCATCGATTTCCTGCACCAATGCGCCGGGTTTCGATGCGGATTGCTCTCCCTGTGGCTGGGACTCGTTGGGCTTTGGTCCGCCCGCCCGCTGCACATCATCGTTGCGGACACGATGCGGCGCCAGGGTTCCGATAAACTTGCGATTGCTCAGGATAATTGTCTTGTCCATGCTTATTTGTATGTTGTACTTTTCGCTCAGCGCCTCGGCGACAATTTGTAGAAAGAAATTGTTGAACAGTTGCGACTTTTTGATTTTCAACAAGAACTTCGGATTGATGGCAATGTCGCACACTTCCACCGTATTGTTGGAGCGATCCTTGGCGCTGCGCATCTCCGAGATGCTCATGGGCACACGGAACGAGCCCGGCTCGCATGATTCCAATATGGAAATTAGCTCCGCATCGGTTATATCCTTGGGTCCTGGCACTTCCGGTGCCTGGCAGACGTTTATGAAGAACTTCTCATTGCTGTTCACTTTAAAGCTTTTCACGCAGAATCCTAATAAAATTGAGGAAAAATCAAAAATAAATAAAAATTCCATGATACTAGATTGCAAAAAAAAAAACTTAAAATAACCTCCGAAACGAATCACATCGTTTTTTTTTTTTAAATTAAATATAATCATAAAATATACAAAAGACAAACGTAGGCTTAAATCAAAGTCCGTGCTCATGGACGTAGAAAATAAGGTTCACGAACCGAACCTAGACCGCGAGTTAGTTTGAACCGTGAACCGAACCAGTTACAATTTATTTGGTTTTGCAGCCCTAGACAACTTAATTGCAAAATTTATCCTGTGATTAGGTACAAAAGCAACTGCTTGTTTAACGTACATTATTTTTAAACATTATTGATTTCAATACGTTTTCATGATTCCATTTAAATTCAAAGGTACTTAAATTAATATATCTTAAGTTTATAGTTATTTTTCAGATTTCAGACGCGCATACTCTTTAGCGTGATCAGGCCACTCGATTGCACTGATAGCCTGCAAATACAGATAGATTCGATTATAATATGAACTTGGAAAAAACAATTTAAAAAAAAATAGCTGCCCACCTTTAGCTCATCGAATGCCTGTTTGCACATCCAGTGGAAGACGGGACTCTTCCATTTGGACTGAATGGCCCCAAAATTGGCCTCATTTCTGGGACTGGCCTTAAAGATTTTATAGTATTCCGCCCACAGAAAAACCATGCTACGCATTTTGTATACCCACAAATGATTTGGAGTGCCGCGTATCATCTCCTGCAGCTGCTCGACAACGGGCAACGAGAGATTCTCGAGGAACGTCTCATTCATGAGCTTATATAGAGTTTTGTGATTACGAAAATGCGAGCTTGTGTTCTCCTCGAGCGCAAAATGTGCCGATTTCATGACCAGGTTAATCACCTGCTCCGTGCTTTTCTTCGGATAGTTGGGCAGAAAAGCCTGCCGAATATTGAGCGAACCGAACCTTTCCAGCTGCTTGTTCAGCTCCGATTCGCACCATTTGTACGCCTGCCACCAGGTGAGCCAGCATTTATAATTATTCGCCCGATACAGCTTCGTCCAGGCCGCACTGATTCGTTTGCGTATGACATTGCGCTTCCTGGTGTCCGGCTTGATGACCAACCGGTTGCCAGCCGTCGGCGGCGCATCATCATCATTATCCGAATTCTCGTCCGACTCAATGTTGGCCATGTCGCCCTCATCATTGTCCGTCACATGAATGCACGTATTGTAGATGGGTTCTTGTTCAAAAAAGGTGATCGCATAGGACTTATCCTCCGGCTGGGGCAACGCCCTGGCACTGTTGTTTATATACGGCAGCTTGATGCCGCCAATCAAAAATCCACGCTTCTCGGCCAGCTTGCGTCTCTTAATCTCGGCCTTGGTCAGAAATCCTGGACCTGTCCCATCCGCTGCACGCTTGTTGGCTGTGAACAGGTCTGACTATATTTCTCGTCTACTCTCCCAAAAAGCACTTAAACATTTGGAGTATGGATTTCTAAGTTTTTGAAGGGTGTGTTGCTTTTTAGTCGCAGGGGTTTGAACCATTAACTTTACTTATTTACTCACACTTTTTTTTTCTTTCTGATTAGAACTGGGACTTTTCTTTTGGTTTAGTTCTTGAAATATGTTAAGGTAACTAATCAGGATTTCGGTGAAGCTTTCAAGTCAAAGGGATTTGAACCAGAATCTTCTCTCTTTTTTTTGTAAGTTTTTTAATTGGAACTGAAACTTTTCTTTTTTCAAAATATGTAGAACTATAATAATTGGAACAAAGCTAAATATTATAATAAAATTCCATCGTTTATATAGGTATAACATGAACTGGTTCAAATCCTGAACTGAACCAACGACCTTTCTTTGCGTTTTATGGTTCTATGGGGTCTTAAACTCAGCTATTAAGCTAAAAATTGTATAGGGTAGGTAAAAATTCGAAAAAATATTAGTGTAAAAAATGTTAAAAAATCGATCTCGATATGTTTAAGTGCTTTGAGAACTTTATAACGGAGCTATTATATAGCTTACCATTTCGGTGAGCTGCTGTTGGCAGATTTGTCAGATTGCCGGCGACATTCCATGTGCTCGGCCTGTTCGGATTTTGGTATCTATTCGTATTAATTTTTACCAAATTGTTGAGAACATTTGGCTTGCCAGCCGGAGCTGGCAGTAAGACCTTTTTGGTCACAGCATTGCCTGTATTTTGCTTATTTATTTTGTTTGGATTGCCGCCCGTTTGCCTGTTGCCAGGTAAATTGGCAATCAGGGTTTTCTTTGTAAGATTATTGCCAGTTCGAATCGGCGATGGCTTTTGCTGCGTCTGACTTGGTCTATTTTTGAGGGAGCTGCTCCTTGGTGGTTTCATGGGCTGCTGCTGCTGCGGGTTGTCTCTCATTTGAGCTGGCCAAATCATGTCCGGATTGCCATCTCCCACAAAGCCAAAGCAGCCGGGATTATTATTATTATTGTTCCAGTTGGGTTGGTTCATGGGATTATTGATATTCCAGTTGCCCGGGCTCACTGGATTATTATTATTACTGTTATTCCAGTTCGTTTGATTTCTGTTGTTGAACATTGGATCCGGCGGGAAATCGAGTATCATGTTCAAGTTCCTGTCCTGGAAATCGGGATCAAAGTTGCAACGTTCGTCTGGCAAACTTCCATCGGAATTATAACGATTTATATTTAAAGCATATTCATTTCCCTCATTCAAGTTATTTCCCATAAAATTTGACGGTTCGCTATCAAAATTGGGTTCTGGCCCAAAATCGTCTGCATATTCCGGGCGTAGCGCCTCATTCCGTACACTCCTACGGAAAGTTTCGTCCAGAACGGACCGTCGACGAAAATTATCCTCCGGATAACTTTGATTGCGTTCATTGTAAAAACGTTGTTCATCTGGTTCATTCTCGAAACGCACATCAATTCGCCTCCGTTCCGAACTAGTTCCACGGTAGTTTTCCACCTGCAGCTGTCGCGGAACAGCTCTCAAATCATCATCGAAATCATGAATATTGGAATTTTCAGAGTTTCTGGGACGCTCTGCGCGAAAATTATCATAAATTGAACGATAATTTTCGGGATTTGGCGAACGACGATTTAAACCGAAATTGGAACCTATTGGTTCACGATTATTGTTAAAAATTAAACGTTCCTCGTCCCTAAACTGCGACTCATTGCATTGATTTGGACCAAAATCGTCCAAATTTGGGCTACGAAATTTTTTCAAAAATCTTGGGCTATCATTAAATGGTTCCGCTTCACGAAAGTTATCATTTCGTTCACAATGTCGAGTACGAAAACTGTCTTCCCGTTCAAAGATTGGATTTCCCCCACGTAAATTGTCGTTTCGCTCACGAAACTCTTCGCTACGCTCACGATATCTGTCGTTTTGCTCACGAAACTCATCGCTACGCTCACGATGGCTTTCTTTTCGCTCACGAGAACTGCCATGCCGCTCGCGGAACTGTTCATTTCGTTCATGTTCATCGAATCGGCGAATCAGTCCAAAATTTTCGGGGCTTGGTGCACGTTGCCGTGGAACGCCCCTATTTCCATGCCAATCGATGTCTCTCGGCGGCGGCGGAGTGCGCGGCCGCTGCTTGAGCCTCTCCTGACGCAAATCAATCATAGCTGTAACTTCTTTGACAATAAAGGCGTCCACATCCGCCTGACGCTCGTCGCCGGCCTCGACGCTCATGCGATATCTTTGCCGCTGAATGTCGCGTAAATTGAAATCGGGCACCTTCAAGGAGCCAATGGCCAGGGCAAAAGCTCGGCTGCGATTGAGGCCCAACTGGCGAAAGTACTGTAAACGTTGATCCACTTCAACGCTTCGGAACGGTTTCGCTTCACTGTTGCCTGCTCAATTTTTGCATGAGTTAAAGCGACATGTAAAGAAAATTGAGACACTTTGATTAAAATCAACACACATGCACATACACACACACACACCCACACGACCAACTCGCACTTGACTCTTTGGTTTATGCTAAGAGTGCCGTGTTGAGTGTGCATGAGTGAGCTGTTTGTTTTTTTTTTGCCATCCGTTTATTTTGGTTTTAAGTTGAGCATATGTTTATATGGGGTTTTTTGTCTCTGTAAACAATACTCAACTAAATCGCTGTCAACATGTGCGTGATGTTCAAATAACGTTCTCTGTTGTTTTTGACACATGATATGAGTCAAACGTCGCTGTTATTTTCAGAACTGTTAACCATGTAAATTGCATACATTTGCTATGTACATACATATATACATAGTTGTGCACATTAAATATATGTATGTGTTTGGCGAGAATAACTCAAACATATGATCGACAAACGTTTGTTTGCTTATTTCATCAGAATGATTTGTGTTGTTTTATCGCGCGCGCGCTCTTATCTCTTTCTCTTTTGCCATCGCTCTTTGGGGGGCCTTAGCACTATCTTTTGGCGCGCGCGTTAAAATGCCGATGAGCAATGACTTGCCAATTAGACGCTTGTGTGTGTGTGTATGTGTGCGCGCATAACTTAAATTCCCAAAGGCTCAACAAGCGTGGCAGTGTGACCAGCTGTGCGTCTGACCAGCCCAAGTCTAGCTTAAGCTGCACAGCTTTTCATTGATCAAGCAAAAGAGAACCGCGAGCCAAATCAGCAGAGAGATAGAGAGCGCGAGAGTCGCGTATGCTGTGTGGGAACGGCAGCAAGTGTGCACGTTTTTTTCACTGCGGTGTGCTTTGCCAGCTCTTGATTAAACGGGTTGCATTGGTATTGGTGTAGAGAGCGGGAGCGCTTCAAATAGAAACAAATAAGTGCCGCCGGTCTGTGCGTCTGGCATTCAGTTGGTTTTGTTAGCTCGACACGAGCCGGTCGAAGGAATATTAAAGAAATAAAAGTGCCGGCAACTCACACAACCCAGCAACAGTAGCAGCAGCAGCATTTTTGTACGTCACATTATATCGCCGAGGTAATTATAAGTGGCTTTTATTGGTGTTGTGTTTGTTGTGTTCATTATTGTTGTTGTGTTGTTGTCAGTCGGGCGCCCGCAAGCGTAACAAGTGCGAACGAAAGTTATTTGACACACATTGTGAAATGCCCACACGCACGTTCTAGAAGGGTTTCCACTGAGAAATTACTATTTCTAACGATTTTCAATGAATCACTAAAAAAAGATCTGGCAATAATTTTGATAATTGACAAATTGTGTGTTTGTTTTCTGTTTGGTCATGCTCAGTGCGATTTTATAATTGATAAAGCCAAACTGAAATGACACAGAGCTATTATATGATTTATATGCATAAAATATATATGCATATGTGTTTGTGTGTGTGTGTGGCTTTAATTTGTTAATGCTGCTATGCTGCGAACAGTTAGAACAGTGGGCAAAACCTGATACGATGACGTCACAACTTAAGCCCAACTGTCGATTAATTTCCCAAAAAAAAAAGGGCCCTGAAATAGAGAGAGAGAGAGAGCGAGAGAGACACGCACGCACACGCACGCACGTAGCTATTATAAACAAGCGCGATAAGCAAGAACAATAAAATTATAAAGTGCAATTCAAAACTAAAGCAACAGTAAACAGAAATAATATATTTGTTTGTATGCATGTGTATGTGTATACAACAGTAGTTAAAAAAGTATGTGTGAGTGTGTGTGTGCGCGTACTTGAGCCTGTAAATGATAACAACGCGTTGCCGCGCGCACGTCTCAGAAACAACTTGAAAGATAATGATAACAAAGTTTGTGCAATCCTGTGAAAGGACACAATAAACAAGACAAAACACACAAAAACGAATGCCCAAAAGAGAGCGGCCGATAAAGTTGAACAAGTGATAGCTAATAAATGGCATGTGCAGCGATAATGTCTAAAGAGACAATCAAGTCATAAATAACACTTGAATAAGTTTCATCGACTGCAAAATGCACTGCTAATAAATAATTATTCGTTCTGTGGCTGCCAAACTGTGAACCGTTCGCTGACGCTCAAACTGTGTTAAAACAAAGCCAGCAGAGATCGAAGAGCGTGTTAATGTGCGATTAGTTACTCTGCAACTGTAAGGCAGTGATCTTCAAACTGTGCAGTTAATTGAAATCGATTTTGGCACTCTTCAAACGGTTCAAGATGCACTCATGCAATGGCTTTAAAACTGCATGCATAAGACTGCCACAGATTTTCTCAGTGACTCTCAAAGTGTGAATAGTAAAAAAAATCTGTAGCCGCGATTGTTCGCCCTTTGCTGCATCTCTCAGCGAAGCTGGGACGTACCAACAAACTCGTTTGAATCTTATGAACAGAGTATGCAATTATTTATAATATGCTATATATATATATATACATCATATACAAGAACGCAAAAGTTCAATATTGAACTTTTCTGATATATTTTTTTTTTATTTTTATCAGTGTGCTCTCTGACATTTTCGTGGAAATCAACAGAAGAGCAGCATCACGATGACTCGACACATGTGAAAGATTCTGCTAAAATGCGAATATTTCTGCATTTGTCGTATATAACACCATTTTCTTCTTCTTCTTCGTCTTCTTCTCATTTTATTGTCTTCTCCGTTTGGTGCACAAAATGAGATATTTGATTCTATTACATAACTTTGAATAGTCGCCGGAACAGGTTTGCCATTAATTACAAATGTTTTTTATCCGAACGAAAAATACTCGTTTTTGTTGTTGTTTACTTTAACCTTGATTCGAGTATAATTCATTTGTCAGTCGGCCTGCAACCGAGCTTATCTCGCATTCCAAACGAATTCGTATTATAATTGTCTCTGGGTTACATTTTATATGCAAGTTGTAATTGGTTTGAATATGGGAGATTATGTATATTATGAGCTGAGTTTTAACTATTTTCGCAAAATATTCATTTGATAAAAGTCAAGTGAAAACGAGAATTCCTAAAGAATTCCAGCTCCGGGTTTAATCAATTAGAGTATTTGGCCAGCGGTGTTTTAACAATTCTCAAAATTTAGCTGCTTATTCTAACATTTGATGCTAAAACACAAACAAACTCGTTTTCGCATCAGGCAAAGATCAATAAAATGTGGCATTGTTAAAGATCAAAATCAAGTGTGCGAGTGTGTGGGGCAGACGGCGAAACGGGTTTCATTAAAATGGCCAGAAGTCCATATACATAAATGTTTATATACATGCAGGCATTAACTAACTACTGAAGAGTTTGTTTGCTGGGAATTCATAATGACAGCGTTCAGATTAAATAAACGCTTGGAAAGACACTTCAAAGCAAATTGAACGCACTCGAGTGAGAGGGAGGGGGGAAACCATGTGTGAGCGATCGACATGGATCGTTAGTGACGCGTATCGCGCAGATAAGCAATTAAAGCTATTGATAAAGAAATGGGGAAAAAGTGTGTTAACAAATAGCAATTGTCATGCAGCAGGAGCACAACAATTGCCAGATTAGGCCAAGTGCAGCCACTTACCGGGCGTCGGTTGTACAATAATAGAATCGCGCGGCGGTGCTCCATTGCCCGTTGGGCCTGTGCCGGCTGCGTCCGCGCCAAAGAATTGATTTATATTTTCTTCAAACTCGTTCTGCAATTGTCAATTAGAAGAAAGAAAAAATAAACAATATTTATAATTGCGCGTTTTTTGTGCATTTTTGCTTACCCTCACAAAGCGCAAGTTTTGCTCGCGAAAGTTGTCGTTGCCCTCGATAAAGTTGCTGCGGCGCGACATGTTTGCGCCTTTGTGTTCAATTCAAATTTGAAGTTTATAAAACAGTAAATATGCCTTTATTTCTATTTACTTGACTATTTCTCTAATTTCTGACAGGCAAAGTGTATTTTTATTTTCTATCATTTGGCACACGCAAAGTGCTTTGCAGGGTTGCCAAACGATAAGTCGTAAATGCGATAACATTGGCAGTGTTGTTAAAGCCGTTTTGCCAAGTATGGATTAGATGAGCAAAAAAGAGAGATGGACTGGCTTAAATAAAAACAGCTAAAAATGGCTGAAATTCTAAACCGGCCAAAAAAGCGTCCAATCTGTCTTGATATGCAATTTTTGAACCTTTATATATATTAAAATGTAAAGAGCATCGAAGAGAACTCAATTTATATTGCACTTCGAGTTAAATATACTTTTTATATATATATGTAGGATTAGTATAAGTTTCTTCAAAACGAGTACTAATTCCTAAGTTCACTTTGTTCTCCAATTTATGGACATAATTAACAAGGACAGAAAATTGGGTTTAAAAGACCAGTTGCAGTTGCCCCTCTGAATAGGCCAGATTTGACGTAATTTCAGCTAAATTGGCAACACTGGTTCTTCAGTGTTGTATTGTCTCTAAAATTTTATCGTTATCGTTTTGGTTTTTTTTTTATATTTTCTTGTTTTTGCTTCTTCTTGTGTTGTGAAATAAACCAGCTGTTTTTGCATAGTACAATTTTTTTTTTTTTTTACATGTTTCACAGTTTCGTTTTTCCCACAGACACGCACGTGGAGGAGTGCTTACACAAAAAGTTTAAAGCCAAAACTCGACCATGGGAGACGCTACTGCCTTTTCGTCCATGGACGAGTTTTGCGGCTCCACATTCTGGGTGAGTGCGAGAGACAAATGCTTTTATTTGGCGCGCAATTTACGCATTAATTTTTCTAACAGGATGCAAATGAGACGTGGTGGACAACCGATCCAGATTTTACACCCTGTTTCGAGCAAACAGTTCTAGTTTGGGCACCCTGTGCCTTCTTTTGGCTATTTATGCTATTCGACTTTTGGTATTTGAAGGCCAGCTTGGATAAGAACATACCATGGAACAGATTGAACATAAGCAAACTGCTCATAAATGTGGGTCTCCTGGTGGTCACCGCCTTGGATCTGATCATGTCGTTTGTCAAGAAGGGCGGCGACTCTGAACTGCCGCTCTACGGCGTGGACATTTGGACGCCCATCATAAAATTGCTCACCTTCGTAAGCCGCACATTACCTGACTTGTTCCATATACCGTATTAACCTTTCCCAATTGCAGCTGATGGTACTGATGTTCATACCGCTGAATCGCAAGTATGGCGTTCAGACATCTGGTTGCCAGTTCATGTTCTGGTTTCTATTGACTATATTCTCCATACCACGCTGTCGGACCGAGGCGCGCTTGCATCAGGAGCGCGGTCAGATTATTGGCTCGCAACAGGCGGAGCCGCACGATTTCACCTGGGAGACATATCAGTTTGCCAGCTTCTTTATATTCTTTGCCTTTACCTGCCTGATGCTGATCCTCAACTGTTTTGCTGACCAGCTGCCCAGGCAGACCAAATACTATCGCGGACCCAAAGAGATACCCGAGCTGTCGGCCAGTTTTCTGTCGCGCATCACGTACAGTTGGTTCGATCGGATGGCCTTGAAGGGCTATCGCAATCCGCTGGAGGAGAAGGATCTGTGGGATTTACGGCCGCAGGATAGCTGCAAGGAGGTGATGCCCACCTTTGCGCATTATTGGAACAAGAATGTGCGCAAGAACTATAAACGCGCGAGCGGCGGTCAGGAGCCGAAGGCACAGTTCAGCAATGGCAAGGTCTCGTTTGAGAATCCTCAGAGCAATGGCCGCAAGAAGGGCATGGCCAGTATTATGCCGCCCATTTACAGATCGTTTGGTGGAATTTTCCTATTCGGCTCATTCTTCAAACTGATCACCGATATTCTGACCTTTGCCCAGCCGCAAGTGCTCAGCCTGATCATTGGCTATGTGGAGGACTTTGCCAAGGTGCCGCAGCCGGAATGGAAGGGCATCATGTATTCGATACTATTGTTTGTGCTGGCCAGCGCACAGACCTTCATACTCGCTCAATATTTCCATCGCATGTTCATTGTGGGCCTGCGCATCCGGACAGCGCTGATCAACTGCATCTATCGCAAGGCGTTGCGCATTTCAAATGCCGCCCGCAAGGCGTCCACAGTCGGTGAAATTGTCAATCTGATGGCCGTGGATGCGCAACGTTTCATGGACCTGACCACCTATCTGAACATGTTGTGGTCCGCACCGCTGCAAATCGCGCTGGCCCTCTACTTCCTCTGGCAGCAGTTGGGTCCCTCCGTGCTGGCCGGTCTCGCCGTGATGATCATCATGATACCGCTTAATGGCTTCATTGCCAGCCGCATCAAGACCTATCAGATACGCCAAATGAAGTACAAGGACGAACGTGTCAAGCTCATGAATGAAGTTCTCAGTGGCATTAAGGTGAGTCCGAGCCTAAAGCTAGCAGCTAATTCCTTTTGACTCTTGTATCTGCCATTGCAGGTGCTTAAATTGTACGCGTGGGAGCCCAGTTTCGAGAAGCAGGTGCTGGATATACGTGACAAGGAAATAGCCACACTGCGCGCGACCGCCTACTTGAATGCCAGCACATCCTTCCTCTGGTCCTGTGCGCCGTTTTTGGTAAGAATTGCCAGAAAATTGGCGCCGCTTTGAACTCTCTTTGCAGCACTTGACGTTTATGGGACGTGCTCTAATCCTGGAATCTGTGTCTATTATCTTGTCCAAAAAAATGTAAAAAAAAAAAACAAATATTACAAAAAAAAAACATAAATAAGGTATCCTTGGTGACATTTGCCACTTACCTGTTGTCCAACGAGGCGAATCAGCTGAGCGTCGAGAAGGTCTTTGTCAGTCTCGCACTGTTCGATATCATGAAACTGCCGTTGACCATAATACCCATGCTGACGGTTGACATAGCCGAGGTAAAGCCCGCCGCAAACGGATCCAACGGAATCTAGATTATATTATCGACACATTTACTTCGGCTATGGGCATCTATCGGCACTATCGGCAACCTTCCAGATTTGGATGAGAAAAACATAAACACAAGAAAAAATTAACCCAAATACCAATTACTATATATATTTTTCTAGGTATCATTAGTCACATTTGCCACATATGTTCTAATCGATGAAAACAATGTGCTCGATGCGAAAAAAACCTTTGTCTCATTATCATTATTCAACATACTTCGCTTTCCGTTAACCATGTTGCCCATGCTGATCACCAACTTGGTGCAAGTAAGTTTACCATATTGCAATTCCAATTGAAAATATCTACCAGCTTTCAGCCTGATATCAGATCGTATCTAGCTGAAACTGGTAGAGCATTTTTGGTACAGTTCACTCCGTGAATTGTTACTATGTGCCGTATTGTGATTGTAATTTATGTTCAACTATTATTTATTATTATAATTATTATTTTATTTAGCTACAGCAACGAACGACTATTATGTATTCAAACCTAACCCTACACTACAATTTTCCTAACTATCCTTAAATTCGTTTTTTTAAATGGTTTTTTAATGGGTTCCCATTTATCATCGAAATGTCCTGTGCTATAAAAAGTTTTGACAATTTAGTGGGGCATTTCTTTAGAAAGCGGCAGCATTGGCTTTGGGCTACATTTTCTATTCGTTTCTTCGGCATCCTTCATTCAGTTTAGTTCAATATTTGCATACCCTTGCAGAGGGTATTTTCAAAGATCCAATCCTAAATAAACTTCGGTGAATATTGTCCGATCATTAAAATACTAAATGTATGCTATTTGTTTATTTTCTTTTTTATTAATACTCTTCTTCAATTTTCTTAAATTTAGGATCATATATTAATAAAATTAAATATACGAATTTTCCCTTAATGTAGTTTAACCAAAAATCTGATCAGTTTCATTCTGACTATCTTATCTAATAAGGAGAAGTTGAGGTTCTGGTTTTTATAGACATTATCCATTGAATACCCAAAGTTCTGCAAGGGTACAGAAGTTTCGGCAGGCCGAGTTTTTGGTTTAATCTTGGGCGATTACGAACTATTAAAAGTACCTTAGAGCTTTTCAAATCCTTTCCGAACATCCCAACATACCAACAACTAATGCTAACCGAACCTGTGTGTTGATAACAGTGTTGTATAACGATCAAAAGTTTTCTAATCGATTTCCTTTTCGCATAGACGCAAGTTTCTGTCCAACGCATAAACAAATTCCTGAACAGTGAAGAGCTGGACCCCAACAATGTGCAGCATGATGCCTCGAAACGTGAGTAAATCCGACGAAGATTCCAAATTAAATTATAATGAAATATTTTTAGCACATCCCATGAGCATTGAGAATGGCCACTTCTCGTGGGGCGATGAGGACGAGATGACGCTCAAGAATATAAACATGCAGGTGCCGAAAAATAATCTGGTTGCCATTGTTGGCACCGTCGGTTCCGGTAAGTCCTCGGTGATCCAAGCACTCCTTGGTGAAATGGAGAAAATCTCCGGCACGGTCAACACGGTCGGCAAAATGGCGTATGTGCCACAACAGGCGTGGATCCAGAACGCGACCGTGCGAGACAATATATTGTTCGGCAAGCCGTACGATCGCAAGCGTTACAATAAGGTGATCGACGCCTGCGCCTTGCGCACCGACATCGAGATACTCTCTGCCGGCGATCTGACCGAAGTCGGCGAGAAGGGCATCAATTTGTCCGGCGGCCAAAAGCAGCGCATCTCGTTGGCGCGCGCGGTTTATCACAATGCGGACCTGTACCTGCTGGACGATCCGCTGAGCGCGGTCGACTCGCATGTGGGCAAACACATCTTCGAGGAGGTGATCGGACCGAAGGGCATGCTGGCCAAAAAGACACGTGTCCTGGTCACCCACGGCATCACGTTCCTGCCCCAGACCGATAAGATTTATGTGATGAAAATGGGCGAGATTAGCGAAAATGGCACGTACGCTGAGCTGCTGAAGAACAGGGGCGCCTTTGCCGACTTCCTGATGCAGCATCTGCAGGAGGGCGAGGAGGAGGAAGAGGAACTAAATCAAATCAAACGCCAGCTATCGCAAACCGATCCCGCTCTGGTAGCGCCCTTCGAGAAAGCCATTCTCCTGGCGCGCACCGAAAGCCTTTCGGACTCAATGTAAGTCTTGGAACCCGACCAAGAGCTGAGATCTTGACTATAGTTTTATTTTCTTTTATTTTCCTTAGCTCTGTCACCTCCGCCGACAGCTTAATGGGCGGCAGTTTGCGTCGCCGCGGCAAGCGTCAGGATTCGTACGATTCGAATGCATCGGCCGCCTCGTTGAAAAAGAAACAAGAGGTCGAAGGCAAACTGATCGAGACGGAAAAATCACAAACGGGCGGCGTTGACTTTGCCGTGTACAAGCATTATATCAAGAGCGTTGGCATATTCTTATCGGTCGCCACCCTGGTGCTGAATTTTGTGTTCCAAGCCTTCCAAATCGGTTCCAATCTGTGGCTCACCCAATGGTCTAATGACAAGGCCGTGGAGCACGATACGGGCCTGAGGAACATGTACTTGGGTGTCTACGGCGCTTTCGGTTTCGGTCAAGGTGAGTTCATTGTGATTCAGTTCGTAATTATATTCATGTTCGTTTTGTCGCATTTATGTTGCTTTTATGTTGTCGTTTCATTTCCGTTTAATGTTTGGCTTTTATGTTAAATATTATGCTTATAAGTTTTTGAATATCGGGCCGAAAAAGCAGATCGAATCGCTGAGAATTTTAAGTGGAACGATTGGAATGAAACACGAGTATACAAACTTCCTGTAGAATGTTTTGAATGAAACACGCTTATATTTTCCAGCGATATTATCTGCTTTTATGGCACTTTATCTTTAGTGTATTTTTTATGGTATTTGGTTGTATTTTATTTTATGTGTTGCTTTTTACGTTTGCCCGCCAAAAATCATGCCTCGAAAAGTCGCTGACAAACAAATAGTCTGTGCCTCAACCTCGACCTTCATCAGATCTCTGTCCGACCAACAACCAACTAACGACTCATAAAGACAAACACACTAGATCTATGTACACACAACTTATTATATGGCTAACTATTAGATAGATAACACCTTTTAATTTGCACAAATTCGCACGCTTAACGACTTTACAGTTTGCACAGCACACAAAATGCTTTCAATTAGGCATGAAATGAATGGGAATAATGCGCGCCACGAATTCGATAGTACGATACATTTCGATAATTGTCAAGAGGAAAACATTTTTGAAACACCGAAATGGAACAGTAATGCGAAATAATTCATTCTGTCAATAATATTTTAAATAATAGAATAATAAGTAACAGTGGTCGCTTCCAATTGGTAACTAGTTCTTTTCTATTTTTATTTTTTAGAATAAGATTTTTAAAAATATTCCTTTTTTGACTTTCAAATTAAGCTTTCCTTTAGAATTTTTCCTTATTGATTTTTTCATTTCTGTTTCTTTTAAATATTTAAAATCTTTTGTTTTTTAAAAAAATGCTTACCCTATTCTTGAATTTCTTTATTTTCTTTTTGACTATCTAAAATCAGCTTTCAATGAAGGGTTTCTAGTTTGCAAGTGGCCGCTGTTAAACTTGTTTTTATATCTAAAGTTCAATCCCAAATTCAATTCAGAGCATGCCTAATAATATTACACAACAAGTTCCTATCGTGTGTGTCGTGATTGTGTGCACAAATTAAATATTTCCAAATTATGTTTACAAAATTTTAAATCTTTGTGTGTTTTGTATTACCCCCTTACTCCTTGAACCTCTATCCTACAAAAACGATGACCCACCGTACGAAAAATTTGTAGTCGGATCGACATTTTTCTCATCGCTCGCGGTCTCCTTGGGCGGGCTTCAGTGCTCGCGCATATTGCATAACAGTCTATTGCACTCGAACTTGCGCTGGCCGATGGAGCTGTTCGATACGACGCCGCTGGGACGCATCGTTAATCGATTTTCGAAAGATATCGATACCATCGATAACGTGCTGCCATTCAATATACGCGTCGTCATGATGCAGGCATTCATGGTAAACAATTTCGCTGACCGACCGCCTGATTGATCTCTACCTAACCAAACCACAATACCAACTAATTACTAACGTACTTAACTCCCGTCTGCACTACTCATCAGATCTATCTGGAACATTCGACCTATCTATCATACATAGCGGTGACATTTAGCTAGACTTAAGCGCGCCTCTGTCTTTTTTGTTTTTGTTTTTTTTTTCGTAGTACTAACCGAACTTATCCCCAACCACAGTTGCGACCAGTTTCTTTTCGACCCTTGCCCTGTCCCTGGGCTGCATATACAGCGCCGCGTATTTGCACGAGACTGTACTGCATGCGGTTTTACGCTGGCCTATGGAACTGTTTGACATGACACCCCTGGGTCGTGTTGTCAACCGTTTCTCCAAGGATGTCGATACCTGTGACAACACCCTGCCGCTCAATCTGCGCGCATCTGTTTCACAGTTCTTTGCGGTAAATCTCAATTTTCATTAAGGGGTGGGCTTTTAAGGCAGCAACTGTACCATGAGATCTATTCATATAAGAGTAAAAGTTAAGATTCCCTTTCCGTTTTCCTTGTTTATATACTTCAATTGAAATCTGAGGAACGTTAGCTAATGTACAATTCTCAGAAATTCCAGTAGGGATCTACTTAAGTTAAAGGGTTGCTTCTGTTTAGGATTCGATTAGGATAAGGCTCTTCGATAAATCATTTATCGATTAATGTTTAGGTGTGGGGAATTGACAGATTAAATATTTTTATTTTACCAATTAAATTCAGCTATCAGTCCCAAAACCCATTCAGGGCATGTCTCAACCACATCATAGGGTCGCATTGTCAATAATCGATACCATCGTTAATCGATGTCATCGTTAATCGATAACGTAATTGTCATTTAATTTAAGTGTCGTCCCGCAGGTATTCATGGTTAACTCATTCGATGACAGACCTACGTACTTGACCATGCACTCATAAGATCCCTCGTGACCTTTGACCTATCATTAATTCATTTTGGTGACATTTAGCTAGACTTAAGTACGCGTCTGTCTGTTTTGTTGGTCTATTACTAACTGAACCTTCTGAACTCCTCCCGAACTGCAGTTGTGACCAGTTTCTTTTCGACCCTTGCCCTGTCTCTGGGCTGCATTTATAGCGCCGCGTATTTACACGAGACTCTTGTGCACTTTGTCTTGCGCTGGCCCATGGAGCTGTTTGACATAACGCCCCAAGGACGCGTTGTCAATCGTTTCTCCAAAGATGTCGATACCTGTGACAATACCCTGCCGCTTAATCTGCGCGTGGCTGTTTCGCAACTCTTTGCGGTAAATCCCAATTTTTTAATATCCTTCATTTAAGGGGCGGACTTTTAGCTTTGACTATTCTCCTAGGGTTTTAGTTACTTGTAGATTCTCTTCCAGACTTTTTCTATATATTTTTATGGGACTTTTTACTAGAGTTTTCTAGATAATAAAATATTTTGCAATTTGTCCAAAAGAATTCCAATGGAAAAACCTTTGTGCTTTGATCTGATCTGATCTGATCTAAAAGCTTACTTTTTATTTTATCGTCTGATATCTCATGAGGAAACTCCTTAAAATAAGTTTCTCAGACCTTAAACGTATTACCATCCGGCTTTGTATCGAGTTGAGCTCTCTTAGAGACTTAGAGCTTTTATCACGCCGGCTTAGCGTAAAGTCCCGTAGTTAGTTTTCCATTATATTTATGTGCACATCCTATTTAAACCTACCTTTCCCACATAGTGCTCGCGTATATGGGCTCCTCCCTGGTGCTGGCGATCGGTTGCATCCGGTGCGCCGTCGCGATTCATGCTCAACTTCTGTCAAGTGTTCTACACTGGCCCATGGAACTGTTCGAGACGACGCCGCAGGGCAGAATTTTGAATCGTTTCTCGAAAGATATTCATGTTGTTGATGCCACATTGCCCATGCTACTGCGCGTTGTACTATTTTGCGCAATTGCGGTAAATTTCGCACCATTTTTGTTTTCACACCAAACACCAAAATACAAAGAACACAACTGTACTTTTCGAGATTAGTTGGGAATTTTAGTGTGTTTTCAATATACAAATTAAAATAGAAGACTTTTATAATGGGAATTTTAAAAATGATTCTGTATAACAGTTAAAATAGAACACTTTTATATTGGGAATTTTCAAAAGGGTTCTTTATAACTGCTTAAGTAGACATTTATATAGGGCACTTTAGAAGGAGTTGCTTATGAAAGCTTTAGTAGTGAACCTTTATATCAGTTCGTGTTTATTTTCCATTTCTCAGTCTCTTACCTTAATATACCATAACTTAATGTGAACCAGAATTTAGGGATTTTTCCACTAAAATATTGAGATTGTCCCACTGTACTTTGAACTACTTGGGAAATATTTTCCCAAGATAATTTCCAAAGCTCTCTATGCTTAACCATAGATTTAATAGCTTGGCTTTTTATTAATATAGCTTAACAATTATTTTAATTGGAGTTTCAAGTCCTTGTACCATTGTACAATAAGGTTTAGTGAGCTTTTCCAGGGATACAAACTTAATTATTATAGGGTTTCTTTTTATTGTGGTTCAAAATGAGAGGAAAGAAAAGAGAGATGAGAGGAAAGAAAAGATGTGAAATGAGAGAAAGGATTAGAAAAGTTTAATAATCTAATAATATATTTACAGTTGTTTTCGAATTTCAAGAATTTGGTCCATTGTACTTTGAGCTGAGGTGATCTTTTCCAGGGATACAGTATTTCGTATTATGCAGTTTCTTTTGATGGTTCGATGCTCTAATAATAGTAATATATAGTTTTTACTTGAGCTTTCTAGTTTATGAGAATCTCGGCAAAATTTGTCATCTGTATAGATTTTTTTTTTGAGATTGAGGTTGACTTGTTCTACAAGTTGGCCTCTTCAGATTCCCAAGATAGATCCATTAACAACGCCCAGTCCTGTGTCCGCTGCAACTAATAAACTCTACGTACTTGGATCTTGTCTATATATCTAACCTAACTATCGGGCGCTCTTATCTAAACCTGTGTGTATAAATAGTATTTAGATGGGCTTAACTACTTTAACTAGACGTAATGCTCGCATGCACAGCACGTTCGGAGTCCTGCCCACTGTTAAGCTATAACCCCTCTGTGATATATATATATATATATATAAGTATGAATAAAATAGATGTTAAGCCATTTGAAGAGGTAGCTCAATAACTTTACGCTCGATGCAGTTGTGTCGCGCTATTTGTCGGGCCTAGCCCTGGCCCTGGGTGGCCTGCACTGCTCTTTGGACGTGTTCACCAAGCTGATACGCATGGTGCTCAAGTGGCCGATGGATTTGTTCGATACGACGCCTTTGGGTCGTATACTCAGTCGCTTTGCCAAGGATATTGACACGGTGGACAATGTGCTGCCCCAGATAGTGTCTCAGTTTTTGTCCACATGCTATTCGGTAAACATATTTTAAGAATCAACCCAACAAAGAAAAACAAAAATCCCAGCACAAGCACCAAATTATCGAAACTCCTCCCTTAACTTTTTCTAACCCCCAAAACAGCTGCACATCTCGTACTAAAAGCTAGAACTAGACGTAGAACCCATCACCATTACATTATCATAATTTTCACATTTTGCAACACTGGAAACTGAAACGCATTTACTTGATCTGAGCTCTAACCTCAAATATAATTGAGTTTTCTTTACTTTTTTGTGCTTTGCTTTAGTTTGTATTATATCATTTTTTATGCTCAACTAAAAATCCTTCTCTGAGAACGCGCCTGTCTCAGAGCCCTAACGGTTAAACCTATCGATAACTAAAGCCGATTAATATCGTTTAGAGTTTGACAGCCTTGGCTTGGGCAGGGTTGGGCCTGGTAAAAGGGGGTTTAATTTTGGATATGCCTAAGTATAACTAGAGATAAAGGCGCGCCCATTTTTCGATTTGCATTAAATAAGTACATACTGTTAATGCCATTTAATGTTTATCGATATATTCTTTTCGCGCCTGGCTATCGGCTGCGCAATTCCATTCCATTCCGTTCCGTTGCGTTTCCGTGCAGGTGTGTTTGCCTACATTGCGGTCGTGATTGTCTACTGCGGCGGTCTGAAGGCCGCAAAAACATTGCACAACCAGCTGCTCAACCAGGTGATGCGCGGCTCGATTTGTCGCTTTTTCGATATAACGCCCCTCGGGCGCATCTTGAACAGTTTCAGCGCCGATATGGATGTTATCGACGAGGAACTGCCCGCCACCATGGATTCCTTCATGACCTTTATATTTATGGTATTTTTCTTACACATTTTATTTGCCATTCTCTTTCTTTTGAGTATTGTTTTCTTGTAGCCCACTTGAGTTACGGTTTGTACTTGGTTTTATTACCTAGTTTGTAGAACTTTTTGACATATCATGTACCAGAAAAAAAAAAAACACTCCTGTCTCCATTTCTCAATTCCACCTCTAACGTTCTCTTTTCACGCATTCACACATTTACGATGCGCAGGCCTCGGCAATTACGGCGCCGCGATCACACTCTTCACATCCTCCCTTAACGCCTCATTCAAAGTGTTCCGACAGCTCTTTAACAATCTCATGCATTGCCCATCCGAGTTTTTCGATACGACGCCCAAGGGGCGCATCTTGGATCGCTGTTCGAACGATATCCACAGCCTGGACATGATCATGCCCCTAAACATACGCATGTGTCTGAGCACTGCGTTTCAGGTAACCAGCCAGCCCCCCGAAAGCCGCAAAGCGGAAAAGTCCCTGAATTGTTTCCTTACTTTTCAGTTGAATTGGAAGTGTATTTTTTGATTTTGTAGTTTTGTACATTTTCTGCATAATTATTTCGTCAAGCGTCGTTTGTCGCATGCTCAAAAAACGAATCTACGCTTCGATAACAAACAAAAATCTACTCATATATATCGAAATATCTAGCCCCAAGCCTCAAACCGAAAAGTCCATTAATTTACTTACTTTTCAGTTGAATTGGAAGTGTATTTCGTATTTTCGTACATTTTCTGCATAATTATTTAGTAATGTTTTGTTGAATGCATGGAAAAAACACATATCCCCCATTTCTAAAACAAAAATTATGATATATCCCAATTTTAAAAAAGTTCTATTGGAACATTATTCTGTAGTATTATTGAATACTTGGGCATTCTTTAAAGAACTTGTTCAATTTTGTTATTATCTCAAAATGTATGCTCTCCAAACTTGGGTGAAATCTTTTTTAGATCAGACGTCTATATCTTAAAGCTTCAGTAGTATGAATCGATCTAAATTTAAGTATTTTTCTAGTATCTGCATAAATTGTTATTTATATCGGACTCTACTATCTCATATAGTGTACATAGAAACAATTGTTGGGAAATTTTCTTTTTTACATAATATCCCCACCACTTTATCTGCTTGTTAGGGTGATTCCACTTTTGTTCCTTGTCATTTTTGCCTTCGTCCCTTTTGCGCAACTGTACTTTCCACTTGGAACTAGGTACAGTACCGCGAAAAATGATGTTCCACTTCGGAACCGGTTCCTTTTTCCATGTTAATACTTTATGATCTTTCCCCACATTGCATAAATAAATAAATGAACACATACTCAAATAGGCCTAATTAATTAAACCTGTTGTTCTGTCCAAGCTCAAAGCGATGTCTTTGTAAATTACCATTCGTTTTGTTCATTACCTAACAAAAAGAAAGTTGATTCGTTTCTAACCTCACACCTGTTATGTCCCACTTGCCTAATGTAATCCTGAATTATTGCAGTAATTAGCAATATAGCCGCCGTACTAATCGTGTATATTGGCGGTCTGATTGGGGCACAGAAATTGTTTTGCCTATTATTTCGGCGCATTTTGGGCGCGCCACAATCCTTTTTCGATATACAGCCCAGGGCCCGAATACTCGATCGATTGGCCAACGATGTGTACAAATTGGATATGGTATTGCCTGAATTATTACGTGTCTTTAACTCGCAAGCCTTTCGGGTACGTGTCCCTCTGTGATCGTGACTAACCTACAATAAAAAGAAAGAAACGTAGAACTAACCAAACTTTTTACTAAACCAATTTCCATTCATCTAAGCGAAGCTTGTAGCAATTGAAGAAACCTTTTTAAAGAGAATTCCCAAGAGTCGATGACTGTACCACATACACAACCATATACCAGGGACAATATAAACACTACGATGTTTAACGCCCGTACAATTGAATGCAACGCAAACTTGCTATCCTGGCTTCTCATCTGGCTTTTCCCCACTTCAAACGAAACGCCAGCCGACTGGTTGTTCGCTCTCCAAAAGCCAGATGAACGAATGCCGAAGCTGATCGATTGTGCTCTGCGTTGATTCGATCGGTCCTCAGGCCGAGCCGCAGCTGAGAGTACATTTTTTTTTTATCGTTTTCGCTCTTTCGGCTGTGAAACTGATTTTGTTGTTGTGCTCAATTTTCAAAAATTAAACATCTTAGTGTTTATACTGTCTTTGCATATACCATATCATAGTTTTCTGAGCGGGCATGCTTTGTACTCTTTCCATAACTAGTCTCTATATATACTCTGTCTAAGAACTGAATTTCCAAGCTGATGAACCAAATCAAATCGCAGGTATTGCCTCGTTATTTGCGGATCTGGGATTATGGCTCGGCGGCTTACATGCCGCCCAGGTGCTACACTCGCTGATGCTATTGCGTATGCTGCGGGTGCCGATGTGGTTCTACGATACCACGCCGGTGGGTCGCGTAATGTCGCGTTTCTCGAAAGACATTGAAACGGTTGATCAGAAAATTGTGGAGGTCCTAACCGACTGTATTTGGTGTGCATTTGAGGTAATTTTATTTTCGAGCGTTACCCAACACTGGCTACCAAAATGATCCAAAATTGCTACAAAAAATACGAATTGGCAAATAGTTCTATAAATATCACATTAATACCCCGCTCCTACCTTGAACTAATCCAAAAACTAATCAAATCTTTACCTGTCGCTTTTGGTTTGAGACTCTTAACGATTGGCTTTTCAAATCCGCATGAAATCAATGTTGATTAATTTCGTAGCAAATGCTCGCCAGTGTTAAAAAACTACCGTTTGTTTTTTTTCAAATTCGTTCAATCTTCAGGTATTTTGTCCGTCGTTAAGTTTGTGGTGCCCACAATTGGCGGCCTGCGTGCGGCTCAATTGTTGCACGCCTTTCTACTCCATCGTGTGGCGGCTGCACCGCTGAAATTCTTTGATACCACGCCGGTGGGTCGCATAATATCGCGTTTCTCGAAAGATATTGATACGCTCGATCATTTGTTGCCGTCCCTCATACTCAGTTTTGTGTGGCTGCTCTTTGAGGTAACATACGTAGAAGAAGAATCTGAAATCTTTTAATTACTTCCATGTTGTACTTTATACTTCTTATAAATATCACAGATCATTCTCCAATCCTTTTCTATTCCTTCTAACCCATCTTAAGTCCAAATTGTACAAAATCACTATTTCAAGTTCACATGTGTTGTGGAGCACAGCATCAGCATTTCTCAGTTCTTTTGCAACACTGCTCCCGACTCTTGAAAGCCACCAATGTGAAGGATATATTTCAATTAATTTCCTTTATAATTCTTATAAATATCATAGTTCATTCTCCAATTCTTTTATATTCCTTCTAATCAATTTTAAGTCCATATTGTTAATAATATCCATTCACGTGTGTTGTGGAGCACTGCACAAGCATCTTTCAGTACTTTTGCAGCACTGCTCTTTTTTATAATCTCAATTGAATGCTAATTATTAATCGCCAGGAACCTTATCGGGATTGGTGGTATTGTTCCCGGCACTTGGAGGCCTTCGCGCTGCCCAGTTATTGCATGAGCTTATCTTGCGACGTATGCTTTATGCGCCCTTACAGTTCTTTGATACGACGCCGGTTGGTCGTATTATATCCAGATTCTCGAAAGACATTCAAGTAGTTGAACTATATCTGCCGTTTATGATAATCAATTGTGTCTGTCTGGCATTTGAGGTAATATCCAACTGTATTCAATTGCACAAATTAAATAACTAAGATTTGTTAACAGATCTGTTTCAGTTGGAAAAGGTTTGTCACATTTCTGAATAAACACTTTTAATTGAACTTTGGTTCGGTTTTCCAGTTATAAGTATAGAGTCAACTTATAAATTTGAAAATATTCGAATTTAATTCAGATAAAAAATGATCAAGGTATAGAAAATAATATTTTAAAAATAAAAAATATAGATATATTTTAGGCCAAAAGGCGTCTGGAATATATATATTAGGCTCGTTTGTGTTTTTGGTTAGAGTTCACAGAACATGTAAAATTGCTGTTATCCTTTTTTTTGTTTTGGATATCCCCAACATTTTAAGGTAAATGATAAGCTGTAACAGATCTGTTAACTTCTCTTTGAATCTGCTTAGCCTCGACTTCATTCCGATTCGCTAAATCGAATAGTTGACAATTGGAATTCTCTAGGAAACGCATTGCTTGGAAATTATTACTAACATGTCAATAGCATTGCCCATTGGAACATTCTGTTAACTTTAACAGCATTGTTAAGCTGAGTATCTTAAAGTTAGGTAAATATGAATATTCTTAGATAGGATTTCAGACTCAAATCAAGTAAAACGCGTTGCAATTGAATCGTATCGAACTCGAATCGATCATCAATTTAACAAGAACAATTTCAGTTTCCTATCATTTGATTTCCAACTAACTCCACACAACACTTGCACCAGCCCCCAACGAAAGACATATCAAGCCAAAGATCTGGATAATAATGTTATGCTATATTTGGGTTAGGTTCTGGCCACAATTGTGGTTATTAGCATATCGACGCCAATTTTCCTGGCCGTCATCGTGCCCATTGGGTTCATCTACTATTTCGCGCAACGCTTCTACGTGGCCACCTCCCGCCAGCTGATGCGCTTGGAGTCCGTTTCCCGATCGCCAATCTATTCGCATTTCGGCGAAACCGTGACGGGAGTTTCTACAATACGCGCCTACACGGTCCAGGATCGGTAAGAATCAATCGAAACATTAGCTGTTGCTGTGAAAAGTTATCGATAATTATCGATAATTATTATATTTTGTTTCCACCCACAGCTTCATCGAGGAATCGGACAACAAGGTGGACAAGAATCAGGTGTGCAAGTATCCGTCTCTGATTGCGAATCGTTGGCTCGCCGTGCGCTTGGAGATGGTCGGAAATCTGATCATTCTGTTCGCCTCGCTCTTTGCGGTGCTGGGCGGTCAAACGAATCCCGGCCTGGTGGGTCTGTCGGTCAGCTATGCGCTGCAGGTAACCCAAACGCTCAACTGGCTGGTGCGCATGTCCTCGGACATTGAGACGAACATTGTGTCCGTGGAGCGCATCAAGGAGTATGGCGAAACGAAGCAGGAGGCTGCCTGGGAGCTGGAGGAAGATAAAAAGAAGCCCAAAAACTGGCCCGAAGATGGACGTGTCGAATTCAAAGATTTCCAAGTGCGCTACCGCGAGGGTCTCGAGCTGGTGCTGCGTGGCGTTAGCTTCAACATCAGCGGCGGCCAAAAGGTGGGCATTGTGGGACGCACTGGTGCCGGAAAATCCAGTTTGACTCTGGCTTTGTTCAGGTGAGTTAACAGAACAAATGTTACAGTAAGTGCGATGTTGAACAGAGTGTAACATTAACATTAATATGTTAGTAAAATTCACAAAACCTTAATATAACATAATTATGTTGTACAATATCAGTAGACTTCAAATTAACATGAACATTAACTTAATAGTAACAGTGACAGGTCGTTAACATAACATGATTATGCCATCAACGTTTAACAGTGATAGATCTGCACATAACACAAATGCTAGCAACAGAGTCTGTTTGTTAACATAATATCCGCGTATTAGTTTTTTTTATTGAACATTTGATGCTTACATTTTGACAATAATATTTCTTGCAGAATCATCGAGTCTGCTGGCGGCAAAATTCTGATTGATGGCATTGACATTGCCACCATGGGTCTGCATATGCTGCGCTCGCGTCTGACGATCATACCCCAAGATCCCGTGCTGTTCTCCGGCTCGCTGCGTTCTAATCTCGATCCGTTTGAGGTTAAGACCGACGATGAAATCTGGAAGGCGTTGGAACTGTCGCATCTAAAGGCATTCGCCAAGAGTTTGACAGCCGGCTTGAATCACGAAATCTCCGAAGGTGGCGAAAATCTGTCCGTGGGCCAGCGTCAATTGGTTTGTCTGGCGCGTGCACTGCTGCGCAAGACCAAGGTTCTGGTGCTGGACGAGGCCACAGCAGCTGTGGATCTGGAAACGGATGACCTTATACAGGTATGTTTAGCTAAGCACTGTTAATTAACATTGGAGTCTCATGTTAACTTGCATGTGAGCCACATGTTAACATACAATTGAGCCCAATGTTAACTTAAATTTGAGCCACATGTTAACTTACATTTGAGCTACATGTTTACTTACATTTGAGCCACATGTTAACTAACATTCAAATTTCTTGCAGAAAACCATACGCAGTGAGTTCAGAGAGTGTACCGTGCTGACCATAGCCCATCGTTTGAATACCATCTTGGACTCGGATAAGGTCATTGTGCTGGATAAGGGTCAGATAACAGAGTTTGACGCGCCGAGTGCACTGCTGGCCGATCCAAAGTCCGCCTTCTTCAGCATGGCCAAGGATGCCAATCTTGTTTAGTATTTTAGCATAAACATGGACGAAACTCATAAAAAAAAGTGTGGCCAAAAAACAACAAAACAAAATGAACTAGAACTAGTTAGGCCGCAATTGAACGCTAGCTTTTAATCAATTTAGCAACACTGGAAAATATTTAAAAGAAATAACGTTAAAGTGCTCTACCTCAGCGGAAGCAACAACTACAAAAACAACTACAACAACTATGGCAACAACAATAGCAACAACAATAACAACAACAACAACAATTTGTGTGTGCGTGCAATTAGTAAATACCATTAAAATGTTCATTAGCTTAAGTCAAAAAGTTGAATAATGCGCTCGCAGGTCTCTTTTGGTACATTTCATCTAAAATGTACTTTTATATGTATATATATATATATATATACATATATTTATATATATGTACGTATGTGTATGTACTTACCTAGGTTCGTTTTATGTGTATGTTTGTATATATGTGCATGGCCATATATAGTTAGTGTATACTCTACACATATATGGATTCGCATGCCCTGTTTATTTTTCTATGCCAGTTTACATGTTAAAAAAAAAATAATAACCGAAAAGCGTCCGACTTAATCACGCAAACGTACTTAAAATATGAATGAAAGAAAACAAAACCTCTTAAGAATTTGCCTTCAAATGATTAAATCAGTAAGCTATTAAATGCCCAGTAGTTAATTAGATTTTGCAACATTTTTTGTAAAATGTGTACTTAACGAAACAGTTGAAATTGTATTCATAAGAACAAATAAAACCCATCTATAACTAATGTGAATTTAAAGTTTCCAGATTTTGCACTTGATTTTTGTAAATTAAATGTTACTTGAAGTTTGATCTTTTCTCTGTATGCAATAATATTCTGTCGGTCTTTTTATTTTGAGTTAGTGCAAACTCAATTAAAATTGAAATTTTAAATGCATTAAAAGCTTTCCGATATCTTTGAGGTATTTTAAATTTTGAAAATCCTAACGGTTTAAATACCGACTATCGATTATTGCTTATCGAACTAGTTCACATCGAGGTGAATTTTTAGCAATTAGTTCATGTTAAAAATGAAAAGTCCGTTTTTTTCTCACTTAGATTAGGTTTCTCCTATTTTTTTTTTTTTATTGAAAATGCAATGCGATTCGAATATATATGAAAATAATTTAGCGTAGTTTGTTAACTAAGATTATTAACATTGCGCGCGCGGGCAATTATCGTTGCCGCCAAGAAGGATCTCGCGAATTCTAGTTGAGCAACAGCTGGGCGACAATATTGTTATCGTCCGCCGGATTGGAGGTGTGCATGCCGGAGCCGCTTTCGAGAAATTCACGCAGCTCGTTCTCCAGATCGCCGCCGGCGTGCACGTCCGGCTCATCAATGTCCATGGGCACATGGCCGACCGCAACGGGCTGGAGCTGAGGCAACGCCACCGGCTGCTGCAGCAGCTCGGGCAGCGGAACGCGTGCAGGGGCTGTCGGAGGCGGTGGCAAACCAGCTGCAAGAAGGTGAACAAAGCATTAGCAGGAAATCGTAAAATTTGGTTAGTCGAGCACCTACCGAAGGACATGCCCATGGCCTTGCGCAGTGCATATTGATCGGCAATGGCCGAGGGCGGAAGCTTTTTGGCCAAATCGCTGAGCTGCTGGGTTAGTTGCTGTGCCGTTTGCGTTTCCTCCTGCCCGGCCGGCGGCACCAGGGCCAAGTGCGCCGGCAGCGGCTGCGACAGACGCTCCTGCTGCAACACGCGCAGCTTCTCGATGAGCGTCAGATTGTTGTTTAGATGCTCGTGCATGCGTCGCGACAGCTCAAAGTTCTTCATGTCGGTCTCCATGCCGTCGAGGAAGTCCACATCGATGCCCAAATCCTTGAGCGTGCGCAAACGCTTAAAGTCCAGCCGTGTATTCTTGTACTTCTCGTATTCCTGCTCGATTTGGGCGCTTGTCTCCGGCTGCTGTTCCAGCTGTTCCTGCCTGCGATTGAAGCACTTCTCGATCTCGCGCTGCTCATAGTTGTGCAGCTGCATGTTATAGAGCTCGTCCAGGGATTTGCTGTGCTCGCCATTCGTGAGTATGTCGAGCAGTCCGTTGGCTATGTTGGTGCCATAGCTGGAGTCCTTTGTGAACTGCAATATGCTCTCGGCGTACTCGGCGCTGGAGGCATCGCCATAGGTGCGCAGCACCAGCTGCGTCTCCTCGGCGCTGAGCGTGGAGAAGCGCGAATCGAATGTGGGAGCAAAGCTGGCAAATGGCCCATAGCCCAGCGGCTTGACCGGTTTTACCGCATTGCGCTGATCCGTATGGATGCCATGCAACTGGGCGCTGCCCGCCGGCAGTTTGCCGACCAAATCGCCAATGGTCACAACCTTTTCGGGACCTTCGTTCTCGTCCCGCATCAGCAGATTGAGCGTGGTGGTGCCGTCCTTACGCTGCCGCAGAAAGCCCATCTTGTGGGCGCGCTGCTTGGCGCTGATGCGCTGTTTGGCCTGCTGGGCGGCCTGCTGCACCTGGGCGAGTATCTCCTCGCTGGTCAGATCATCCACGTACGGTTCAAAGTGCGTTTTGGGCGCATTCTCAAGGCGCAATGCACGTTTGCGCTCCTCCTCCTCCAGCTGAGCCGGCGTGGGCGGCTCCTCGGCGCCCGTCGATGCGCCCTCATCCGCCGAATCGTGCGCATCATAGCCGGCCAGCTCATTGGAGGTAAGCTCAAAGCCCAGCTCTTTGGCAGTCAATTCGCGTATATAGCCGGACAGCGGTTTCAGCGTACGCATTAGATTTTCCGGCTGCAGCTGCTTGAGGCCCAGCTGCAGCAATCGCTTGGCCGCCTTATGGTAAACGGTGTCCACATGATTATAGCGTATGGCATTCTCGCACATCAGCCGGAAATCATCGCTGAAATCACTGAGCGCCGCGTACTCGTGATCATCGATCTTCTGGCGCATTGTCGAAAAGTCCATTGGCTTGCTGATGATCGACGAGTAGCCGGGCGCAATGTCATCGGTAACGGGCCATGCAAAGAACTGATGCGGATCCCGTTTCTCCAGGAATCGGAGCAAATGCTCCAGCAGCTTATTCAGCGGCGATTTCTGTTGCTTCAGCTTCAGCACACAGCTGCGTGGCTCTCGTCCCGATTCACTGCTGCTGCTTGGTGTCTTGGGCGCTTCCAGTGCTTTGGGCGTTAATGCATTCAATGAGCTGGCGCCGCCAGGCGTGGAGGCAGCCGTCGAGCCAGATGGCGAGGGTATCAATAGCTGCAAGAGCAAATTCTCAATATTTAACTGATATTTCCCAGAACAAGGCTTAAACTATTGGGGCACACTCACGTCGGGCAGCGGCTTTGTTGGACTGCCGCCGGCTGTCGTCAGGCCCTGCGACGAGGATGTGGGCGAGCCGAGCAGCATATCGTCCAGTTTGCGCGGAGCTATGGGCTTCGTGACCGGACAATTGGAGGGTGAATTGTCGGTGGTAATGCCCGCGTAGTATAGGATATTTTCTGGCAGTGGTTGTGACTGCTCCGCATCGTCGTCCATAAAGCTAAATCCATCCTGGCTACAATCGGCATCCACTGACGCCGAGGCGGGCGCCTGGCTGCGCGGACTGCGCTGCTGTGCTGATGAGAAGCCGCTGCAAGCGGCATCATCTGCTGCACTGGCTGTTTCATCCAGGTGTCGCTCCTCGGAGCACAGTTCACGCTGCCGGTCACGGCTGCGATGCCGTTTCTCCTTGTGATGCTTGTGTTTCTTTTCGCGATCTTTCTTTTTCTTCTTCTTCTTGGACTTCTTGTGGCGCTCCCGATGGCCCAGTTCGCTGCCACCGCCGGCACACTGCAGCTCCTCGGGCACCGTGGGACTGTCCGGCGCAGCGGCCATCATTGCCTCCGCGGCGGTGGGCGGTCCGTGTCCATCCAGGGCCGTCAGCGGCGAATTGGCGCTGTATTCGGGTGTTGCATTGGAGCCGACCTTTAGTATTAGCTTAAGGCCACGCTGCAATTGCGCAGGATCCTGGTGCTGACTATATTCTGTGAAAGAAATTTGGTTTAGAAACGCGCGCGCTGCTCGTTGAAAAAAAATGCACGCTTCTGTATTTTCGGTCTTTTTACCTTCATACTTTTCGCGTCGCTCCGATTTGTTCTTTTTGTGCTTTTTCGATGAGCCCATTTTTTATGCAGGCGGTTTTTTCTTGTGCAAATTACGCCAACAGTTGGGCAAAACAAAACGAGAATGTACGCAAATAAATGAAAAAACAAAATTATTGGCTACTGAAGGCGAGACAGACGCCATGATTTAGTGATGAGAAACCAGCTATCGATAAGTACAAGACGAAAGTATCGATAGCCAGGTGCTGTATATTGGCGCGCGCAATTCGATAACCAGGGCTACCACAATTCGACACAGTGTTTGTGTTTGTTGCAAATAATATTTTGCCGCGCTATATTTCATACTGTTATTCTTGACTTTTGTGCTCAAAATAAATTACTATTAACCTAATTTGCCGCCTGTGCAACTATCAAATTGATTTTTGGCCAACTCAAAGACGATTGCGACGCTTCGCTGCGGCCGAATGCTGCCGTTTAGCGGTTACATTACCCAGTTTGGAGGCAGCGGATCGGGCCTTGGCGCCCCCCGACCGAGTCGATCCGGGTGCATCGTTGACGACATTCGTCGGCAGCGCAACAATGGCCGCACCCTTTTTGCCCTTGCTAACGCCTGTGTAGAGGGTGCGCGTCGAGTTCAATGTTTGCAGCGATGTGTCCAGCTTATTTTTGATCCTGTCCAGATCCTGACGCATCCGCTGTATGTCCGAGGCAATCGTTTGCCTGTCGCGCTGCAATCTCTTGTGCTGTAACAACATGTTCTCTAGCACAGTTTTCTGCAGCAGCACCTCTCGAATACGTCGCTGATTGCTAAAACTCTTTGGACCAATCTCCGAGTAGCCGCGCCTCATCACCTGCTGCGACTGCCGGTTCATTCTGGCCTTGATCTGTGAAATGGGCAACACTGGCGATGTGTTGCTGGTCAGACCACCGACACCGCCGCCCCGTATACGGCGTATCTTCTTCGAGCTGGCCGATTTGCTGGTCAGACTCGGCGGCGAAGAGATCTGCGCTATGGGAGCGGGAATGGCCGGCACGGCCTTGCGCGGCGGCGACGTGGCTGTGAAACACATTTGCCCCATTTGGTATGTACTCGAATCTCTTGTCAAGTCCAGCCTTTACTCACTTTTCATATGCTTGTGTATGTTGGCCATCATGGAGTTGACGCGATTCTTCACGTCCGACTTGTCCGGAAAGTAGCGCACCGAATTATCATAGCCCAGGCGCAGCTTGGCATTTGCTTTGGCGACGGCCAGCGGCGGATCCAGATTGTCGGACTCGCTTAAAGAGCTCTTCACTTGACTCTTCAGTATTGTGCCCAAATTCAGTCGCATTGTCATCTTTTGGCCTTCGAGCAAAGCTTCTCGCTTGCCTTCAACTTGCACAACGAATTTTGATATCAAATTGTTAAAAAGCCGAAATTTGGCGTAAAATCTTAGTCCGAAACTTTGTGCTCTGCCTCAATTTTGTAATTTATACACCGAATTCCTAGCCTGACAGCCAGCCTGCTGCCTGTTCCCCTGACTACAAATTTCAATTGTCAAAAAACATTTCGCATAAGACGAGTAGCTAAAGCTCAATTATGGACTCTAGTTACGAGCAGATATCCTAGTTAATTAACTAACATACTTTTTTTTTAAATACGTTTTTTAGCCTTGGACTCTTCCAGCCCATAAGGAATATATATCTATATTCTTGATCCAGTCCATCTTTATTTATGCAAGGATCTCACAAGGTAAATGGTAAAACTTAAATAATAATATATATTCAACTAAATTATATATTTCTCTTATTGTTAGCTTCTTTCATTGCTTCAAAACGTTTGCATATCGTTTACGATCTTCAGTTTTATGGGAAATTATACGATAGAGAAAATGTAAGTCGCACACTGATTTATCTTATTATGCACGATCGACAAATACCGCTTACTTTTAATATTTATAAATTTAGATTTATTTAAATCTGAACTCCTGCAGTCCATAGAGAATATATATCTATTTTTGATGCAGTCACGCCCATTTGTAGGCAACAAGCTCGTAAATTAATCGTATTGTTAGCTACTTCCATTTCTTTAAACCGCATGAATATCGTTTACGATCTTCAGTTTTCTGGTAAATTATACGATATAGAAATTTTATCCATCTACTATAAATACTTCTGAAATTTTTATTTATAAATCAAATAGGACATTAATTAACTTTTATAAATTGATGACTATTTAAATCTCCTCTACAAAATATATTCTTTGCATAGCTTATGCTCTAGATATGCTTTCCAAGCGCAAGATAGTATTGTTAACAGCTTGAATACGTAATTCTCTGTTTTGTTTGCATAACCAAATTATTGACTTTTTCGACTTTTCGGCAGGGGCGTGGCACTGGTGCTGCATTCGCTCCCACGAGAAATATTTTGTGGAATTATGCAAGTTTGGTGCCATTGTATATAGACACGGTTATTGGAGTCGAGTTTGCCATTTATTGTTGATTTTTCTTCACTTTCTTGTTTTTTTTTTTTTTTTGTTTTTAATTTGTATTTGTTATTGGTTTTATGACTGCGTTTTTAATGGCACTTTAGCCATGGGCCATTTTACGAGCACGTTAGATTTATGAGAAAAGTGAAATGGAATTTCTAAAAAATAAAAATTGTTGCCCCTGAACTTCTCCATTAATTTGTGAAAATGCATCTCAAGCGCGATCCCACGCATTCAATAGTCGTACACGCATGTAGAAAGGGTTCCAGTCGGGAGTGCCCGACTAGGAGATACTTCTTCATGTATTGGCGCTTGTAGTCAGATTTTTACAATATTTCCAGAACTTGTGTACATGCTAAGGCCTAAAGTTTCATTTGGAGGAATATACATTATGTATGATATATTTATATTCTGGTTAAACCAAACCTGAATCTACATTCCAAGTTTGATGCATCTAGCTCTGCTAATTCTCGAGATATGCCTAAAAAACCATGTCCCAGAATCGATATTTATCGATATTCGAAAATTGGAATGAGTTATCGAATGTAAATAATGGGCTGCATTTTGGTAGCATATAGGAGCTTATTTATTTCAAATTTCAAGCTTATAGCTTTTATAGTTTGCGAGTTTTTCGGGGTCTGGGCTCTATCAGTAACTATTCATAACTCTGCTCAATATAAGTATAAATCATGAGTCAGATATTTGCCAAAGATTTTTGTCGAAAACTAAAGGCAGCTTTTGTAATGCGAATAGAGTTTAATTTTTTCTAATGAAACCTTTTTGCACCACATTGTCAAGTATTTGCGTTGAAGTGCGTTAAAGTAGGAAGTATTTAGGCAAAATTCATTTACAAAATGTTTGCTCAGCTTGCCGCCAATTGGGCAGTTATGAATGGAACAGGCCAAAGCTGGAGAATTTGTATACCAAAACTCGAGAAAAAAAAAAATAAAAACAACTTTTGCTGTAAGCGGCAAAACAAGCAAACGCGTTTGTTGTGGCCATAAACAAGAGTGCAAATTGTTTTCGTCGAGTGTGCGAGGGGGGGGATGAGCCGCAGATGAGACCGAGACCGAGACCGAGACCGAGTGCAAGTCGCACCTAATTTGTGGCCAAAGAGCGCGGCGAGTGACCCGCGATGTTTTAGTTGCGTTTTGTCGCGCGTTTCTATAGGTAACACAGCCGGAAAGCACACGCGCTGGGTGTGGAAATGTGGCCAAAGGATTTGCCCGGATTTGCCAGCTGGCTGTTCTCATTATTGCTAATACCCCTAATCCTAATACTGTCCAGCTCGCACGGTTCTGTGCACGACGAGCTGCCGCAGTGCACGCTGCAGGGCGTCTATCGCCAGCGCCAGAGCCTCATCGAGTCGCCCAACTATCCGGACACCTATCCGTTCAACAGCTGCGTGGATTATGTTATACGTTCGCCATATCGCTGCCCCACCAAGTTTCATGTGCAGTTTCTGGACTTTCAGCTGGAGCTGTCCGCGAATTGCAGTCGCGACTATTTGGCCGTGGGCCTGCAGCATGATGATCGCGACCTGGACGTGCTCTGCGGCCAGGTGCTGGGCATCAAGAAGTACCAAACGCCGGATGGCATATTACGGCTGCGCTTCCTCAGCGACAATTCCCCGTGGACAACGGGCGGCGGCTTCCGGCTGCTTGTGACGCGTTTGGCCTGCGAACGCGAGGATTTAACGGCACGCGGCTTGCCCGCGACAAATGAGCCGGATGATGCGGATGAGCCGGATGATGCGGATGATACGGTACAGGTGAATGCCCAATTGCCGCACAAGCAACACCATCATCATCAGCTGCAGGGGGCGGGACACAACGCAAGCTCGGCGCAGTCTGTGCTGCCCGGCTGGCCAGGCGGCTATCCGGACTATCCGGCTTTTGCTCCGGGCGGCTTCTATTTGCCCGCACCTTGCCCCACAAACGAGCCACAGCAACAGCAACAGCTTCAGCTGCAGCAGCAACAACAGCAACAATTGCAGCAGCTGCAGCAGCAATTGCAACAGCAACAACAATTTGGTCAGCAGCAACAGTTGCTACCGCAGCAGCAACAATTGCTCCAACTGCAGCAACAATTTGGACAGCAGCAACAATTTGGACAGCAGCAACAATTGCTACCACAGCAGCAACAGTTGATCCAACAGCTGCTCCAGCAACAACAATTTGGACAGCAGCAACAGTTGCAACCACAACAGCAACAGTTGCTCCAACAGCAACAGCTTGGACAGCAGCAACAGTTGCAGCCACAGCAGCAACAGTTGCCCGCCATCTCGGATCAGTATCAAACGAGCTCGTTTCACGAGCCCACCGCCAATCTGCGGGATTACGATCCTCAGTTTGGGGGGCAGGTGGATTTGTGCTGTGTAAGCAGCTTTAGTCAGGCGCATTTTTATCTCTCCAGTCCGGGTTTTCCGCGCACCGTGCTCAACGCTCTGCTGCCCAATCAGCAGCGGGATTGCGTCATCTATCTGGAGAAGAGTTCACCCAATGTCGCCGGATTGCGCATTCAATTCAAGTTCTTTGATTTCGGACAATCCACTGCGGCCGGGAATTATCCGGCTGCCGCCTCAGCCGGCGGCTGCTCCGGGGATTTCATTGAGCTGGATGGGCAGCGCTATTGTGGCTGTCGCTCGGGTCATGTGCACAAATCCTTTTGGCCGCAGGGCCGCAAGGCGTTGCGTCTGCGCATGGGTCAGTCGGGTGGCGCGGCCTCCAACGGTTTTCTGCTCGAGATCTTCCACGATCAGGACACCAGCAACTATAGGCTGGATGGCAACAGGCCGCTGAATGGCCAAAGTGCGACGGGCTTGCCGGGTTTGGGCGGACTCCAGCCTCAGCTGGGCGGGTTCCAGTCGCAGCTGGGCGGACTCCAGTCTCAGTTGGGCGGACTCCAACCTCAGCTGGGCGGACTCCAAACACAGCTGGGTGGGCTCCAGCCTCAACTGGGCGGACTCCAGTCGCAGCTGGGCGGGTTCCAATCCCAACTGGGCTACCAGCCGCAGACTACGTTCTGGCAGGGCTATCCCGGACGCCTGCCCAGCTATCCGCTCTCCCCCCTGTTACCCATCACGCCGTATCGGCAGTCGAGGCAGGCGCCTGGTTCCTGGGCTTATGCGCGCGGTCTGGACGCACAGCAGCCGGCGCGCGTCGTGGAAACCAATTCGACGCGCAAGGAGTTCTATTATTTCGATGCCGATCAGGCTTTTGCGCGCGCCGCCCTCGACGAAGACGGCGACAATGAAGATGAGCCAAAGGCGACAACCACGGCGCCGGCTCGACCGGGCACAAAGGCGTTCGAGCAGAGCAGCTGCACCTTTGATTACATGGAGGTGCTGCGTCTGTCCGTGGACACGCTCTGGCTGACCAAACCCATTTGCCTGGCGCCGTTGCGCAGCTGGTTTAGCAATATTTTTGGCTAGCCTCGATAGTTCTGGAAATCCATAAATAAATCCCATTTTCGCTAGTTAAATTTTCTTTAAATATATCTATTACCATTATTCGAAGCGCCTGCTAAAGTTCAGGATAAACTTTTCGCAATATGGCAACGTCAGCTCATTAAGTTGGCAGCACCAAAATAATACGTTGGCAATGCGGCTTGTAACGGCCAATAACAAACTGCTTACTTTTTAAATAACCTTTTTCAGTGTTGCCAGATGCACAAAAACATTGCTAAATGGCAATGCTCATGTCAAATATTAAATATTAATCTCCATATATATAACTATGTTGCTTAATAGGATATCTAAAAAGTCGTTGACTGTAAAAGGTCTGCCAAAAATTAGGGTTAACTCCTCCCGTTCAGCTGTGTGTGTGTATGTATGTATGTGCGTGTGTGTGTGATGTGGGCGTGTCTGTGTATGTATGCATGCATTTAGGTATATATGTATACATGCATGTTTGTTTTCTTATACCAAACGCAGACCAAGCTGCAAATTTAAATAAAACGAATTTCTGCCAAGTGCTCTCCTCCTCGATTCTCAAGAATTCAAGTAGGCCCTGCAGTTTTTGATGCAGTTTTAGTAAGTGCCTGACAAGTGTGTTGGTGATGAAGTCAGGGGTAAGTAGGTTTGTAGGTTTGTAGGTATGTAGGTATGTAGGTATGTAGGTATGTAGGTATGTAGGTATGGATGTATGGATGTATAGATGTATGGATGTATGGATGTATGTATGTATGTATGTATGTATGTATGTAGGTATGTAGGTATGTAGGTATGTAGGTACGTAGGTATGTATGTATGTATGTATGTATGTCTGTATGTATGTGTGTATGTGTGTATGTATGTATGTAGGTATGTAGGTATGTAGGTATGTATGTATGTATGTATGTATGTATGTATGTATGTATGTATGTATGTATGTATGTATGTATGTATGTATGTATGTGTGTATGTTTAATCAATTCGGTATTTATATCGGGCAAAATTCATCGTGGTCAAAATGTATGAGAAAATGTTACCCACAACTATCCTATATAGACATCCTATATAGGGAAATTTCCCACCATAGTGACTAGGTCCAATCTCAAACTCAAATACATTTTCTTTTAGCCAAAAATAAGTGCGTATTAAATTATAAAGTAGCTGATAAACAAGATACCCATGAATTTCACGAGCATGTGCTGACTTTCATTTTCCATACAAATGCGTCGCATTGTTTACAACATCGCATAAGTGCGGTGATTGTGGTTCCAGTACGTCCGTCCCGCACTTTCACACCCTGACATTGAACGCCTGTGTCAGGCGTCGCCTCCTCTGTTATGCCCACAGACCGGGGAGTTCTTGGATATGTTTGCTTGGGCTTCGGCGTCGACACCTCCAGACGACAACTTAACATTAAGGTTAGCTATTTGAAGAGCTGCTGTGCCTGACAACAACGGAAATGTTGTCCGCAACGGCAAACCGGGGCAGATTATCCGGCTAGCAGTTACCCTGTTAATGGGGCTGTGCTTCATCTTCTTTCCCCAATTGTAACAAATCCATAAGCTATTATATTGGGCAGGGGCAGTGCTTCTTCTGCTTTCTCTACTATGGAACATTATTTAATTTTTGTCTGACAGATAAGTAACATGTGAGACCTAATGATTGCAATCTGTTGTGTCTAGATTTCGAAAATCATATTAATTCACATTCATTTCTCTGAACATTCATAATTTGTATTGAATTGAATTGAAATATTTTTAAGCTGCGTGCACCAAGCGACCCTTTTAGCAAGTTGTACAGGGTATCTTCACAACAATGCATGTGACTTACCAAATGCTGTCGCAGCAGCTCGGGAATAGCTTTGGAAACCAGCGATGACTCAGCGTGAAACCTTTTTTGTCATTTTACCAGTGTTGCCAAATGTCTCTTAAAATAATATAGCTAAAGCCAATGTTAAAAATAGCTAAACGCATCTCAGCAGAATTTGCTAAGAAATAGCCAAATCAGCTTCAAATTGTAACTGTTTCCGACTGACGACCTCTTTTAATAATTAGCCATTTTGGCTAGAAAACAGCTGAATTGTCAACACTGTTGATGACGTCAGCAAAGTCGAGCTGGTAGAGAGATCATAGAAAAACAATTGTCGCAAGTCAATATAAATATGTTTGTGCCAAATAAATAAAAAAAAAAGTAGATAACATATTTAGGCCAATTTTTTTATTTGCTGTGTTTAAAGAAAAGTAAAATGTGTTTATTTTTGTTATCAAAGAATTTTTCGCCAAAAATGAAACCTAGTTTAACTATGGAAGAGATTAAAGCTGAAAATAAATAAAATACTAATGCTAACTCTGTCTAGCACATGCTTTATGTTCGGCTTTGAGGTTATGTACAAGAGATTGGCTTATTAAATTGTGAAAAAAACGTTATAAATTTTTTAAAATATCTTAGTTTTTGTTTTTGATTAGAACGTTCCATAGAGTCAATACAATTTAGCTATTATAATCAATCCTATATATAGGATTTTATTTTTTTTATTTCGATGTTGAGGTTAAATATAAAGCCTGGACATGGTGCCCTAAAACAGCTTAAAGCTTGCCCCAAATTTAATTTAAGTTAAAAAATAAAAAGCCTAACAAAAATCTGTAAGCTGATAACTATATCATTTGGCTGAGATTTCTTCTAAATTATTATGGAGTAACACCTCGCCATCTCATCTAAAACCAAAGAGAATAGAACAATTGTGAATATCATTGCGCAGTAGAATATTATGGATATATTTATCATATGTTTATTAGCAATAAGATCTCGTACACATTAGTTATTTTTATAAATAGTTATTAAGAATTATTGGTTAGGTATAGATATATATATATATACACATTGATATTTGATTTTGTACATACAATAGATAATATTCATTTATAATTAGGCTCAATCCATTTTCTAGGTTAGGTTAACATTATAATACTTCGACTACCAACACCGATTGATATGACAGATTGGAAACATTTATTGGCATGTGTATTAACTTGATATTTGCATAAACTAGTAAAACTTTGAATATACACATACAAATACATATATATATATATATATATATATATGTATATGTATAGGTGTAATTATATACAACACATTTAGAGATATAAAAAGTTAAAGTTGTCTAACACTAGAGTTGGAAATGTACTCCATTTAGTGTTGGGTAATTGGCTTAGTGCGAATGTAACGGAAGGCATGGGGGGAAAAGGTACATAAAAAATTATCTAATTGTTGGTTAGTTTAGTTTAGTTAGTTTAATTAGTTTAGCTAATTGTTAGTGCTTGTTGTTCTCCAGTTACGCGCTTGACTTTGTCAGCAATATACAATTGATGCTTGGTATACATATGTGTGTGTGTGTGTGTGTGTCGTGTGTGTCGTGTGTTTGTGTTTGTGTTTTTGTTTCCGAATCTAGCCCAGGAATCGTATATTGGTGAATACCACCTTGGCCGGCCGCTTGCGATTACAAAAATTAACCGTCTTGCTGTGATTACCTTTGCGATTCTCATGCAAATTGACCAGAAGCTTGAATATATCCTCCTTGCTAGGCGTGCAGGCGTATCGCAGTTCCGGTTCATAATTGCTGTTGATAGAATTCATGTAAGAACTGAGATAATAGTAATATTTTGCAATTAGAATTTATGGTTGACATCACGCCCACTTTTCATATTGATATTGATTTTGTGGTATTTCGGTATTTCAGGGTTCTGTGTACGGGCCTAGAGAGACTCTTGGAAATGCAGTTTAGTACAAATTAATTGATTAAATAACAGTTTTTCAATTTTCATCAAGTTGCGGGTTGTGTTCCTGAAAAAGCCAGGCAGCTTCGAAAATTTTATTGAATACATTTCGCCAAAATGTTTATTTGTAGTTGGTTTCCGTTTTGGAATTTATCTTGAATTTATCTGATTAAAATTTTGTATTTGCTTCAAACTAATTGATTTCACAAATTTAGCAAAGGCGAAATTGTAGCGAAAGCGATTTCAGGAACATTGCCCAAGTTTGTTTGTTTTTTGTTTTTTTAAGTGGAAAAAGCGAATTAATCAAAACTACGACTACAAATCAAAACTGGGGTAACATACAATTATATATTTTTTTCGGATTGCTTTGGAGTGAGTGTTTTTTTTTTTTTGGGGTACCAGGATGACAATAGCTTACCCGCGATTGCGATTGTGCCGCTTCCAGGGATAGCGACGATAATAACGCGAACGTTTGGGCTTATTCGGACCCAATACCAGGCTGCCAATGCTGTTGTCCAGCTCGGGATAGTCATCGCCGGCAATTGCCGTCGGCAGCTGCTCCTCTTCCACATAGACCAGCGGCAGCGTATCCAGCGAGGGATCCTGGTTATCGGGCAAACTGTTAAATAAATACGCACGATTTTAGCCGCCAACTCTGCAGACTTACCTCCAACATTTTCATGAGCAAAGCGGATTTGTCGACCAGTTCCTGCTCGGCGCGCAAATCCTGTTCCAGCTTCTTGAGCATGTCATATTTGCTGGCCACCTCCAGTTCATTGTAAACGGCATTCGCAAAGTCTCGTTCCGGCTCTGGCTCCGTCTCTAGCTCCGTCTCCGTCTCCGGCTCCGTTTCCGGCTCCTGGCCCAGCTCCGCGTTCAGTGCGTGCAACAGCTCTGTCCGGGCGAAAGGGAAGCCACAATAACTTGTATTATTTGGCATTTTGGCATTTACGCGACTTTGCCGCTAATCCCAACCACAAGAAGGGGCTGCTGGGCGCGGTTTCCGCCAACTGACATTTGAAAGTTGGCATCGTTTTGTTGCCCAGCTCACGCTTACATTTGTTGTATTGGGGCTTAAAAATACTCATTCATATTCAAATATACGGACGGGTATTTGCTCAGAAGTGGCGGAAATTGACCGGCGGCTATAACCACGACAATAGCTCAGACAGCCGTCAGTCTGTCACAGTCCCTTGCCCAGCCCTTCCCCCAGTCCGTCCCCCAGTCCGTTCCCAGTCCGTCCCCCAGTCCGTCCATCAGTCAGTCTTTCAATTGTGTTTGACGTTTGCCCGTTTATCTTGCAGCTGCCTTTGTCTCACTTGCCAGCTTCCTGCCAGCTCTCTGTTCGGCTTTAATGCCACGCCCATCGCCCACATATTGCTTCCACTCGGATTACAGCTTACGATTCATTGGTTCAGCATTAGGCGTTGTCTGCCTTCGAACTCAAAGCTGATCAACTTTTAAGCAATTTTATTTGAGATTTGCTACTTGTTTATCTTACATATTTGAGAATTGCCACGAAAAATGTTCTCAATTTAAGAAAATATTTTCTACAAATATCTAATTAAGGTTAATTTTTCTAAGAGCAGATACATTGACTCTTTTTCACTTTTATTCAATTTCAAGATATAAAGTGAACTTTAATAAATACTTTTGGATTTTTTTATAATGCTCAGAAAATACTACTTGCTATTGAACTTCTATTTAAACATGAGAAAGTTAATAAAAACGTGACTTTTTATAATTAAGAAAATGGGTATAAAATCAAACCAACTCATATTTTAGAAATCTATTCTATCTATTTTTTATTCTCTCATCAGAGACGGGTACGAAGTATGAATAATAAATAGGTCTTATCACAAGCGGCATTTAAAAGAAAGTGCATTTTGTTTTAAGCAAAATAAATAATTTAATTTAATTTATAAAAAGGTCCTAAAGGCCTTTGAAATTTATTACTTTGTGCAGTGTTGAAAAACATAATTAAAATAACGTTTTTAAAGTCGTTAACAACAGTTCATACTTTGTGTGCAGTGTTGCAAAACATTAGACATTGCTCCAGCCCTGGTTTGAGCGCAAACCTAGCCTAACCTAACTTTAATCAATTGGAAACCCAAACGAATTTATTATACCAAATAAATGGTAATCAATTGTGTTCATATTTTAATTTTATGGCCACACTAGAAGAGTGCTGTATATTTGTGTGTGTGTGTGTGTGTGTGTCCATTGATTGTAGACAAAACGGCGCGACTTCTGACGTAAAACCAAATTTCAAATGCGTCCAAAATTGTTAACATTTTGTGGGCGTGTTAAGTGTGTTGTGCCTCTGTGTGTGGTGTGTTGCCATAGATAAACGCACTTCAAAAATTGTGCACTGACCGTAAATGCCCAGCGACCATTCAAATCAATTGATGCGTGGGAGGGATGGGAGTGGAAAAGAAATGAGAGGCGGGAGGGAAAATTTGGGCACCTGTTGACTGTGCAGCCAAACGTGGTGGAAAATAATATGCAATGCTCTTGTCAAAAGCCATAAGGCCAAAAATGTTCTAATTGAATTCCATACATATTTATGGGGTTAACTGGCAAAAGAAGTCCCGCTTTCATTTTAGATGCAAATGTATTTTTTTTTTTTAACCTTTTCAACTTGGTCCAAGAGTTGGTTAAAATATTTAAAACATTTTGGCGTAACTTGGAAATTTTTTGAAACTTTTAAAACTTCAATTTGCCAATATGTATAAATGTGTAAATATGTGAATTTAAGGGGAAGAAAGGGTTGGCCGCCCGAAAATCGCGTCTAACCGTGGCAAACTATGAGCCCGGTTAATAGCTTTGACATGGTTTACTCAATGGGAAATAAACTTTCATGGCGCACATTGTAGCCCGTCAGTGGAGGCAGTAGACGAAGACGGACAAAGCCTACACACAGAAGTCAAATGTGAGGGCGTAATCCATTCAAGAACAAAAACACAGTGCCGTTATTTAATCAAGGACTCACCATCACCAGGATCGTAAACGTTACGTTGCTGCGCATTCAAGTTGGGTTGTCGCTGCTCGTCGTCCTCAGCTCCGCCGACAGCTCCTGCTCCCAATCCAGCTAAGTAGGCACGTGAATGCTGGTGTTCCCCGGCAGCAGCTGCTCCATTGCCAGACGCTGTCGCGTGGCCCGTAGCTGTCAGAAAGCCAAGGACATGACGCGTGCTGGCCAAGATCGTCAGCACCAGCAGGCAGAAGGTTTGGATGTCGTGCTTCATGGCCTCCTCCTCTTAACTTGTGTGTGTGCGTGTGTGTGTGTGCCTTGACTGATGTTCTCGGGATTAGTGGGCTGTTGGCGCCGTTTGTCGGTTTTTGTCTGCAAGCACAAATGAAAACGTGTTTGAGGGTAATTACCATCACAACCTTTCGCCCACCTTGCATACCGCCCCCCACAGCTTCTCCCACCCCTCCTTACACGTCTAGCAACTGCGTGTGGGTGCTCGCACTTTTTTCACACCCGACGCAGGCTTAAATCAACAACTTGCTGCTCTTGGGGTGTGCTTATTTAGTACAACTTGTGAATACCCTTACGGAGGGTATTATGGCTGTGCCTTGAAATGTGCAACGCATTGCAGAAGACAGCTGCGAGCACATTTATCAATAGTCGAGCTTATATAGGAAAGTTCGTCAGTGTGACCGTCTGTCCGTTTGTATAATCGCGTGTATCTCGAGAACTTTAGGTGCGAGAGATTTAAAATTTGGAACGTAGCTTCTTTTAGCGCTCGAATATATCTTTTTTATTTCAGCACGACAATAACTCTCACCATTTTCAAGAAGTCCATAACAAACTATAGCATTATCCCATTTCTTGAACATATGTCGTAATCCCTAAGATCTCGAGCTCCAAGTTGGTATGTAGAATATCTTATCTTACAGATCTAGAATATTTTTAAAGAATATCGGATGACTGTAATGTTTTGGGCCACTCCATCATTAATTAAGGTTTCATATGGAAAAGTTGTCTTTAGGGGTAAACACAAATCCAGAAGATTCCCTATTAATATCGGATTATTTTAACATAATATTACTGTATAAAACGACTTGTTCAATAATTGAGTTTTTATTTGGAAAAGTTCCTTAAACACATTATTTGAAGATATCTTCACCAAACTCAGCTTTCCTATGCCCCACACATATCTACCTCGTCGTAAGGGTATTTAATTTTCGATATGTTGTGCTTTGTTTTTCTAGCTTGTTTTTATTTTAAGGCCAACATTCGCATCGTTTCATTTAATTAGCCGCGTGGGCGTGGCTTAGGCATTGGCTTAACTCCTTCTCCACGCATTGCCAGCACAAGTTTACCGCCACCCTCCTCTCACTCCCCTACCTCCTGCTCGTACTTCCCCCAGCCGCCAGCATGTCTTAGGTTCCCATTAGCCAGGCCACAACGCCTTCAGCTTTGCCCTTGGCGTGTTCTTTCGCTTGTCTCTAAAATAACTTTGCGCTGGTGAACAATATAAATGAGATGGCTTCAAACTTTTGGCACTTGCGGTCGTGTCTAACTCCTGAAGCCTTCTGATTTGGTTTAATTTCTCAAACCCAAACAATGGAACAACGTTTTTTTGCTTAGGCTCAAACTGTTCTAACACAAATTTACAGCATGCACAAATTTGAAAAAATTTCAATTTTTTTTGTTCAATATGAGTTAACAGGAATTTTATGAAAAATTCGTAAAGAAATGATCTAGCTTTTATTTAATAAATAGACTTTTAAATATTCATAAAATTTATTACAAGATATTTGGCTATTTTTTAAGACTTTTGTAGCAAACATGTTAGCTTTAAGAAACCAAGACTGGTTCATGCTTCCGACTCAATTCCTTCTCAAGCTCGCTCAATTGCGAACTGGTTCCAAGGCAAGTCAAATGAACTGCGCGTGCAGTTTCCAATTGGAATATTTCCTTTTGACGAATTACCAAATGAACCATGCGCAGAGCTTACAATAAATGAGCCACAAGACACGCCCCACAAATTGACGACTGACAAAAAAAAAAAAAAATAAAATTGTTTTCAATTCGTCAACTCATTAAAAATTGTCTAAAAAAAGTTTTGCTGCCAATTTTTTTGTTCGCTGCACGTTTTGATTGGACTGCAGTGAACATTTTTGTGGGAGCTTAGATAAATTTCTCAAATTATCGACTAAATCGAGTTGCAAAGTCAATCTTTAAACTTGATTTTGTCATATTTCTGTAATCGATGGCAGATGGCTTTGTTAACAAGCCAAATATTTTTGTTGAAATATTCTGAAAGCCTATAAATGCTCAACAAAATGGCCATTTACGTGGCTTTTGACTTAAATGTGCTGTGAGCTGGCCTATAATATCGATACTCCAATTTAATACCCCTACTTAAAATAGACAGGTTTACATTAAGCTCTTTATGTTGTCATAAGGTACATAAGAGTAAGTACTCGCAAATGAAGTTAAAATCGCGTTTTCAAATATGGAATACCCTTTTCTTTTTTTTATGAATATGGCATATGCCTTCATTTCGTTAGCTAAAGTTAGTTAGTTGAATCTTACTGGGAAAAATTGCTAGGCACTTTATCCTCATTGTAAAACTAAGCTTGCTGCATAACATCGTTTTCGCCTCCATTTATCTAACTCATATTATTAAGCTGAATCTTACTGGCAAGAGTTGCAAGGTACTTTATCTACATTGTAAGACTAGACTTGCAGTAAACTCTTTCCGCCTTCATTTCGTTAGCTCACATTAATTAGTTGAATCTGACTGGCAAAAGTTGCTAGGTACTTTATGTACATTGTAAAGCTTTACAAGTATATTGTATAAATATGCATATATTATAATATGAATATATCAGCATACAATGAACAATATTTTCCACACTTAGCCAACTAAGCAGAACCTTACCTTGAACATGAGTTGCTTATGAACGGCATTAAGAAACTTATTGTTTACAGGGTATTAAAATGAAAACGAATGTAGACAGCTCAGAAAATATGTCCTATATAAAACACACAATATTGGCCTTGGCATTGAATAACATATTCAATAAGAGTTTTTCAAGCTACTTTAATGCCCATAAAACCTTAGAAAGGTTTTTTTTTGGTCACAATTAGTGACAATATTTTTTTTCTTTATTGCAAGGAATGTTTTCAGAAGTGGATGAGCCCGAGTGGGCGGTCAACAGAACACGAATCGTTGTTAAACTGTTTTAATTAACTTGTTGACACACACTCAGACAGACTCGAAACTGGCCCAAATGTAGGGTAGGGGAAAGAGCTTGGCCAAATTGTTGTCAATGTTAAATGTTATCCCGGGGGTAAAATGAAATTTACCACAAAAATGTGGGCGAACATTTGTACCTGTCCCCTGGCTGCCAGCTCACCTGTTTCGCAATAAACGCACAGTTAATTGTTTTAATGAGAAAATTGAGCTCAAATAAATGGGCCAAGTAGAACAAGGCATAACTGTTGGAACTTGTCATGTGTATTGTAGAAAAAAAGGTGAACGCCAAAGCTTAAATACTCTGGTAGAAAAAATGGGTCAAGGTTCTGTGAGGTGGAGAAATGTAGAGCTCATGGTTTGGTCAAGATATGAAGAAAATTAGAAAAGTTTTCTTAGAAAAAAAAGTGTCGGAAATATTTCTTCTAAAGAGTAAGATATTTATATATAGCGCGTATAACCCGGCCTTGCCCGTCAGCTACCAAATCTTTGATCTCCATTTCCACCAAGGAGGAATGGAATTTTCGAAAAGTGTGAAACAGTTCTCGAATGAATTTGAACAAAGTTCTTTGAAATAAAGTTTGGGGCCGATTGGGTGGTTCACAAAAAAGTAGCATACAAACGTTTTTCACAATTTTTCCACGCTTGCGGGTGGAATTACCCGAAACAAATGGAAACTATCCTGAAAACCTCAGCTGTCTAGCTCTTACGGTTTGGGTTAAGTGTTGATCACCAATCAGTCAGTCAGTCAATCAGTCAATCAGTCAGTCAATATAGAGATTTATATATAGAAGTTTATGTAATTAAGATTTTCCAAAGTTCCACAAAGAAATTAAGGAACATATGTCCGAGTGTTGATGTTGATTAGGAATATAAATATATATATATACTTTATGGGATCACAGTTGTTTCCTTCCAGGCATTACACATTGTTCGAGCTAGTTATTATACCCTTTGCAAGTGTATGAGAACTTGTTTAATTAGCTTTGGGCCAGTGCAAAGGGTCACTGGGTTTTTCCGGTTGGGAATTTTTTTTAGTACGCTTCTGGCCCAAAAAGTTGTTCTTGTTGGCCAAAACTAATGCACATGTTGCTGTCGGCCAATTAGGCAAACGAAATGTGTTTTCCTTTTTCTGTGTGTTTTCCCTTTTTCCTTCTTCTGCACAATATTTCAATATTATATAAATGCGACAATTATGAGCCTGAAGCGCAGCTGTCAACTGGGGAACCTTCTTATAATTCCAAGCATTTCCAGACATATGAGATTCGATTTCTCAAAGTCGAGGAAAAATAACTTTAATAAAAGTATTTAGAAATTGGCAGCTTGGCTTAACAAAATCTTTGCAAGAGTTCAACTGTTTATAGCTAAACCTTATCCATGTGTTTCTATATATTTATGTATCTATATGTATGTGCATCTATATCTGAGTCCTCTGTTGAGGGGCTATTTCCTCTTTCTCGTTAATAACTTTTGCATTTTTATTTATTTATTATTTATTAGAAATTTGGATTAGCCAAACGTCAAGGTACCTCTAAAATAGACTCTAGAAGTATGGAGATGCAAAAAAACGTGACTCGATAAAATCTATTTGTTTATGCGGATCAAGCACAAATTTTGATTTATTGATTCTGGCTTATTAAAGCCACTTCAAGTTGGAAAAAAAAGGTTGCCATGCACTTACAAAAAAAAAAAAAAAAACAACCCGAATATCAAATATTGTTTTGCTCTAATAAGCCCGCTCCCAAAATGTTTATAAACCCAATATATATACATATATTTGCTGTTGTGTACCCTTTGGCAATTCATGATTTTCACGAGTATTCGCATTAGGAGGTCAAGAACTTGATAGCCTCTGCTTCAACTGAACTCTGCTTTCGTCTTTCAATATAAACACACACACACACACAGACACAAAAGCACTCAGACAACGATCATATTTTGCGGGCAAAGGTGCTGTGGAGCGGTAAGTGGGGTAGGCGGGTGTGTGGCAGTTTCTATGCCGGAGGGCTGAAATTTGATCCATGCTCGATGACCATGTGGAATAACATACGCCCACAAAGGCGCACAGATTGGTAGAGGGAGGGAGAGGGAGTGGGGAAGAATGGTAGAGAAGTAACAGCAGCAGATATTTATTATTTTTTATTTTAATACCCTAACCGAAAAGTATTGTAGCTATAACAAAAATCGTATAACGTAGAAATCAGTATATTTTGAAAAGTAAGGGTATGCAAGATATTGTTGTTTATACCGAAAATCTTGTAAAAAGTATTCATTACATTATGGCATACCCCTGTGCTAATATGTCATAAATAACTCTGAAATTAGGATCAACGAGACGTACTAGTCGGGAGCTCCCGACAAAGGGATACCCTGAACATTCTTCCAACAGCGAATGCAATTATATATACTATTCTAAACAAAAGTCAAGCTGTCTCTAAGAAGGGGTATGCAAGATTTTGTGTATTATACTTTAAGTATGTCTGCATATTATTTCTATATTGGAAAAATCGTCTATAAGAAGGGTATTAAATCTTCGTTATGCCACATCTGGGCTTTCATATATTGTTTGACTTTCCAATTGACTTGGACGCGTACGCGTATTGCATTTATGACCCCCGGGATTTTTGTTCAAACAATTTTCTTGCGTTGGTTTTTTTGTTTTTTTTTTGTACGTTTCTTGCTGTTTGGAATTTTTGCAGGTGACACTGAAGGGATTTCAGTTGAGGTGTGTTTGCCAGGCAACATTTACAGCAAATATTTCTGTTTTTCTTTTGCTTCATCTTATTTTCTTGTTTTTAATTTCAAGCTGAGTGTTTCTTTGGCTGATTGTTACAGCAATCCGTCAAATTATTGAGCTCTGTTTGGTTTTCTGATCAAGCAAAATTAAGATATGATTGGGCTTAAAAGCAGATAAAATTATATTGAAAATTTAGTAGAATTTCATATTGATTTAAGTCAAAATTATCTCGAAGGAGTTTCGGGTTTTTATTCAACTTTGTTTGTAAATGTATCCAAGTTATATTTAGGCTAGCCTTTCAAAGTTTGTTTGATTATTCATTCGAGTTAGGTTTGTATTTAATATTTAACTAAGAAAGATATCTAAAGAATTAGCTTGTCAGAAAAATAGCTACCATTTAAGCGCTTTAGCATTAATTCCCAGCGACACTTGCCCATTTTCTCGCTTCACTTGCCTTACTTTCTCTCGGCGATTACACTTAATTCCCCTTTTTTCCTTAAACAGTTTAAATGTGAAGCCATGAATACTGATTTATACCCACACTATATATATATACTGTTATTCGGGCGCAGTGTGACCCACTTTTCTGCAGATGTTTGTGCTCGGAAATTGGCAAAAAAAAAAGAAGAGTTTCTGTGAAATTTTTAAGTTCGTGATTGATTTCTGGCATGCATTTTCCATACGACGCAGGTTTTGTTGCCATTTTCGGGCTTAACTTTTGCTTTGTTTTACATTTTACTAAACCTATTCACCAAATGATTGATATGCGTAAATTAAGTGAAATTGAGGCTATTTCTGGCTTATCTAATATTTATTTATAGCTCAGTTTTTCGGTGTCACAAACTAGTTTGTTCTTTCACTGTGATTCATTAGTTTAATTAGTTAATTTCCTATAAATAAGTTTTTCCTCACAATTTTTGGCGTCTCTTTCCGCTTCAAAATATGCAAAAGTTTTCATTGTAAAACACATGGTAAAGCTATTTTGAATTTGAATAAAAAATAAAAACTAAACAAACTTTAATATTTTCAACGTTCCTTTTAAGTCTGATTAAAGCTATGATTATTTTCTTAAGCCAAGTTAAGAAATTAATTATTAATTTAGCTGTCTCGAGTTTCGGAGAACTGAACAAAAAAAGTGTTTGGAAAAACACTCAACTACTTTGAAAGTAAGGCGTTTATAGTATTTATTTCCTCCGAATTCATTTGCGATTAAAATAATAATTACTTTAGGAGCCCTTTTTAAAAGAGGATTAGTGAAAAAAGTTTAAGAGTAAGGGTCTTAAAATATTTTTATTCTGTTTTCCGCCGAATTCATTTGCGATTCAAATAATAATTACTTTAGGAACATTTTTCAAAAGAGGATTAGTTAAAGCTTTATTTTCGGATGAAGATTAAATATGTAAGCTCTTAATTTAACTTAAAGAATCTTTTGGGCATCACGAAAAAAAACATTTAAATGTAGTTTAGAATCAAATTAAAGCTGCAGAATATTTTTTTAAAAGACGTTTTTAAAATTTCCAAATTGTTCAAATTTTTTTTGAAATTGTCATATTTAATCATTTTTCATAATATTTAAATGTTTTCACATTTTCAAATTATTTCAAATGTTAAAAATTTTTCAAATTTTTAATTGTGAAAAGAAAGCTTTATTAAAAGTTGCCTTAGTTCCCGTCAGCACTAACACACACACCCACAAATATGTATAAGTATATATTTAATGCATTAGATAATTTTAACACGCATTGTCATTTGGCGACGGCACTTCTAAGATTTCGCGACGGTTTTGTCAGTTCGTTAAGAAAAAGTCTCTCGGAACCAGTTCAAATGAAGTGAATGCATTTCTTGCTTAATTGTTCGCTTCTTTATTTTTGGTAACTTTAATTCAAACTTGAAATATTAATTGATGGCGCGAGAACTCACTTGGTTAACTTTCGATTAACTTTCCGGATCCGTTTTTGCGGATATATTGCGCTTTAACTGTTGCAACTGTTGCTCCTGCTACTTGTTGAACACTGCGTAACCGACTCGCGGCGCCGACTTCTTTTATAAGGACCAGGCGGGCCGATGGCCGCACGAGCGCGCGTTCGGCGCACGCACGCACGCACGCATGCACGCACGAAGGCGACGCGCCAAAAATTGCGTAAAAGCTTCGCGAAGCTTTTACGATTCCATTTACAGTTAGTCGGCGCGTCACGCGAGGACGCGCGTTCATTATGTTTTCTTTTTTTCCTCGTAATTTGGCGTCTTTATCAATGAAAAATTTCGTCACATTTGCGCAAAGTTGTTTTGTTTTTTTTTTTTTTTATTTTGTTTTGTTTCTGATATTGTCTTATGAAAAATTATAGGGAAATCGGGCAACGCCTGCGGAATCATAAAAAGTGGCCGCAATTATTTACGCCGCAAGATAACCGCGCGCCGCTAACTAGGCAACAAGTCAACGCGAAAGGGCAGGCAGCGGCGGATGGGGGGGGCTTGAGCTGGGCGGGGCTGGGCGTCGGTCTGGACACTTCCCGTAATTGTTGACATGGCGCGTCATTTGGTTCGCGGAACATTTGAGGCGTAGGCGAATGCGTTTTACTGCGCGCAGTTTACTCGCAGCTGAAATTACGACGCGTAAATCCTCGGCAATCCGGAAGCGTATTTTGAACAGATATCCGCCTGCTTCCTGCACTTTACTTTCTCCAAGATCTGCCTTTACCTTGAATTCCCTTCTTTTTTTTTATCACAAAAAAAAAAATTGAAATATGTTTACTTATTTTTTATTAACAAGAAAAAGTTTTTACTTCTTTTCACTATTTTTCTTGTTTTATCACAAGCATAACTTCTAAGGTTTTTCCTATTTTGCACTATATCCCAATTTTCTTTTTTCTATAAAAAAAAAATATATATATTCTGCATCGTAAATCATTTGATTTAACATTGACAGACTTGCTAATCGCAGCAATTAGCTAGCGATTGCCTCATATTTCATTTTTATACCCTTGTGTGGGGTATTTTGATTTCATCGGTAACTTGATTAAAACTAAACAAATTCTCTTTTAATACGAACCAGGTTCACGAACCGAATCTTAAGGCAAGACATTGGTTCGAAACGTGAGCTGAACCGAACCAATTAAACCATTTGAACCAATGTCTCGCCTTAAAGTTCGGTTCGTGAAGCAAAAAAACGCGTAGTTTTTCAGTCAGATAGTTTCATAAATCGGCATTAAAATCGAATGAAAGTGAGCTGGAAAGATATATGCTTATTGAAAAGGTTCATTGACTCCTAGGTAAAATACCGTTAGCACCTTGCAGGCGACACCTCCCAGTCACATAAACAACGTTAAGTCGCGCTGCCTAAAGTTTTCTTATTTTTTACCCAAGCACAATCTAAGATAGACACTGAAACGCGATGGACTAGGCTGAGTGTGAGGGGCTGTGGATGCTTGACGGGGTCATAAGCTGCAGTCAGCAGGCCACGGGCCCCAGGCCCCAACACTTTAAAGTCAATAGCTGGAAGGAAACGAGTAAGTGACGAGGGGGGCACATCATTTGCATGGGTTACATTTTGCCGACAAGAGTGTGGGCGGGGCCGTAGGCGGAGGCGAAGGAATCGGCCACAGCAAATAAGCAAACACATAAGATTGCAGAGTGGCAAGCTGGGCAATTGCCCGGGGCAACCAATACCAAAATGATATAACGATACCTCCTCCTGCCCTCAAAGTAAAAAACCAATAACAGACGCGTTCAAAAGTTGTCTTCTCCAAGTTCCTGGACGAGGGTGTTCTTAATGGAGGGAGGTAGGTTGTTGAATACGTCTTCGTATGCTGACGCATATTTTTAGCCCAGCGCAAAAACAAAAAAAGTCTATTTTAAGATCTTTCAATACCAAAAATTGCAGTTTGCATTAATTACAAAATGTCACAAAGGAAGATTTAGTTGAAGTCTGGAGCTCCTCGTCAATAAAGCCCACGCGCTTTGAATGCGTCACGGCTTTTGAGTGTCATATTCTATATATCTACATCTATATCCATATCTTTCTGAATAAATAAATATATGTATTCATATGTAGATTATAGTGCGGGCGCCAACATTTCCGGCGTGCAATAGATAAACAAATTAGTTCAGCTAATTACGCTGAGATTTGTTACGGTCGCAGTTCCAAGATACTAAATCGCCACAATTTCGTCCCAATTTCGCCAAGAGAAAATATATAAATGGTTGGCACCAATAGAAATTAAAAAAATAAATACTTAATAATGTTCATTTTTATTGTCCGAATTTATAAAAGAAATAGTTTATAACTTAAAATTTATGTGCAACTCTTCATAAATTGCGTATTTAATTCTATTTTGTTAATAAATTGCTGAGTGAAATGAAAGTGAATTAGGGCTGAGACATGTATACCTTATCTATATGTTATTAATATATATTACATTCAGATTTATAGCTCAGTACAAGACAATTGACATAGCTTTGATTTTAAGGCAATTTATAAAACAGTTAAGGTACGAAATGGGCGAGATTTCAGTTTCCGGAACACAGTTCGCTCGCCTTATCGCAGCTGGCGCATGCAAAATGCAAATATTTGTAGCCTATTTGGCGGCTGGCCTCTGTAAAAGAACTCCTACGCGCAGCGCATAGGATTAGAGTTGGATTTTTTATTTGTACGTGGGTTTTATTATCTTGAACTTGTTACAGGTTTAATTAAACTTGATGCATTGACACTTATATTGACAGGTTTATTTCGCTGAGATTTCGTATCGGATGACAGCCCTTCCCTGTACGCTTTTTGATTAACTATAATTTCAATCTTGCAACCGTGCATTTTGGAAATTTATCACGTAATTTGCTTCAAATGTATTTGAAAATTGTTGTCTGAAATTTGAGTAAAACCCCATTTTTTTGGGAATAATTTGTCCCGTTCAAAAGGGTGAGACGGGTATAGATCGAAATAAAATGTGATGAAACGATTATTAAAACAGCATATTTTATGCGTCCTCATCGGGGTCAAGAATATCGTCAAAGTTGCCCTCTTCCTCGGCGATCTCCTCCGGCTCCTCCTCAATCGGATCGCCCATGATTATTTGCTCGGCCAACTGATACAGCTCGAGAATGTTCTGGCCAAAAAGAGAGAAGGATAATTTATAGGAAAACTTTTGTTAATCCCCAAACTCACCTTGGCATTGCGCAAAGCGACAATTTTCTCGTCCTCGAAGCGCAGTTGATCGTATTGCTGCTTCGATATGAGCAGGCCGCGATTAAACTCATCCTCCATCTCCTCCTGGAGCACCTCGGCGTATTGCTGCTTGGCCACCGTCAAACTGATGAGGCTCTCGCTCTTCAGCGACTCCTCGGACAGATCGGAGGCATCGTCCATGTATTTGCTTTGAATGGCGCCCGGATAGTCACCAAATTCTTGGGATGGCTCACGCTGCATTTCAATGCTGCCACCGCCAATGTCCTCCATGATGAAGGCCTCCAATTCGCTGGTCGCCGGCACCACGGCCACCTCCTTCTTCTCGTCCTCCAGCTGGTGCCGGATGCGCAGCTCCGTCTCCCTGAACTTTTGCCTGTAAGGAATACCCTTAGTATCTATCTGTCTCTCTCTCTCTCTCACTCTCACTCTCTCTTTTGCACTTACCGAGCGCGCACTATGTTCTGTATGTCCTGCGGATCGGAGGAGAAGGGCATGGGCACACGCAGCGAACGCTCCTTCATCTTGGCCCGCTCGTTCTCAAGGAACTCCTTCAGATTTTGTTCACATTCGCGCCAGTCCTCGTTGTCGATGCTGTTTGAAATAAGCATTCAGATTTTCAGATTTTCATATTTGATTAGCTAACAAATTTGCCAGGCATTTATTAATTTCTTTCTACCCCTCCCAGTTTGAATAAGCCGCAACACGTTGCTACTTAAAACAATTTCTATACCCTAACCAAGAAGCTTGGCTAAATGGGTTAGTTGGTTCGAGTAGGCAATTGGGATCGCTAATCTGCAGAAGCTCAGGAGTATTCTCTTCATATTCCGAGTATATGCATATTACAAAAACACAATTATTTAAAATAGGCAAAATTAGAATAGTTTTATGTAAGAGTATATAGTCGTAAACCTTAAATTTTAATTTAGATCGGAAAATAGACACCGAAGTTAATCAAGAAGGCATGCTTAATCGGAATCTAAAGGTAAATCAAACCATTAAAAAATAATTCCTATTGTTTTTTAGCTTTTCACTAAAGTGCACCACTAAAAAATAATTCCTATTTGTTTTTTTTTGTTTAGCTTTTCGTTATATAGAAGATTGAAGAACCTGAAAAATGAAATGGGAATAATAACTCATCCTACTCATCCTCCAACGGTTCTAGTACTGAATTCCAGATTCCAGGTAAGTTTAAAGCTAGATATCGATCTGTAATAATATCTTTAGAGATTCGCAAATATGCATTTGGACTATTTATTAGGGTATTTAAATGTGCGCATATAAAGCCCATCTTGCTCGACTTTTCCTTTAGCCTAAGTAGTTGCATTTTTCCTCGAACTAAAGCCTTGGGCTTAAATGCTCAAAGGGACGTGGCACAGCGCCCCCAAACTGGCCATAAAATGTAGTTTTAATGCTGTTGCATTATTATTTTGCTTTGTTTAAATAACTTTTAATTAGCCACTGGCTCAGCTCGTGGCCTGGATTCCTGTTCTCACTTACCGTAATAGGTCCATGCCCCGCTCGGCATCCTCGAGGCGGTACTGCTCGACGAGCAGCTTTTGTTGGCGCTGGCGCTCGTGCTTCTTGGCCAGCATCTCGGCCTCCTTGGCCGCATGCTGCAGTCTCTCCCGCTCCCATTTGACGCCCTGCACCTTCAGGCGTTCTGCGTTCTTTTCTCGGCTTGTTTTCAGCTGTAGTCAAATTTTTGGCACAGTTTTAATTAGATTTTCTTGGGGTATTGTCGATGTGGTTAATGTTACCTTGGAGCGCTCTTTGAGTATCTCGGCATTGGCATCTTTGTTGACCATAAAGATGGGATCGTCGGCCAGCTCTTCAGGTATTATATCTGATTTTCCCTCTATAATCAGCATGCGCTCACGCTCCACCTCTTTTAACTGAAGAAGAGTTACTCAATTAATTTCTAATACAAAGCCAAAAAAAATCTACATAAAAATATATGTACATATATATACAAATTTTGGGCTACTTGGTTTGTTTAAAGACTTTTTAGGAATAGCAACGCACAAATATAAACTATTTGGAAGCTAGTTCTATAAGCTTCTAAGTATAAGTTCTTCGATATCTGCTAGATTTTCTTTCAGCCTCATTCCACAGATTAGTGTCTAAATAAAATCTTCAGAGACTAAAGAAAACACACTATGTAAGGGAAATGAATTCTTGATTATCTTCGGTGCTTATAGTCCGATTCGGACTGGGACTGTTTCTAATTTTTTTTTCAGTCTAGTATTTTTATAGCCTTTTCAGTGTGACCAGGCTTATGAATTAGATAAGCGAAATGTCCTTGATGTAAAACTAAAATCTGGCAACATCACAATGAGTATGAGTATATAGCTCTTATAATAAGTAAGTTATCTATGAATAAAGTACAAAAATAGGTTTAATAATATGGAGCCATAATCTCTTTCTACATATGGAATACAAAATATTCCTTTAAAGAGCTGGTGCTCTTTTTTTTATAATTAACTGTATGATTATTTATGATATAATATAATATAAATGTATTATAGCTAATCTCAATAATAATAATAATTTTATTTAAGCTGTCAACTCTCCAGCTGGAGCTTTACTATTCTACGAAATCAACCTCTTAACACAACAGACGGACTAATTTTTTTTAGTTAGCTCTGGGTATTTTCTAGTTTTCTTCGAGGAGGGTTATGAAGTCTTTTCTTAATTAAACTTCAATCTAGCAACGATATAAGCCTCTCTTATAAGCTCATGTCTCATCTGGCAACCTTGGATAATTAAACTTCAATCTGGCAACGACATAAGCCCCTCTTATAAGCTTATATATAAAAATTGACTGCCGTAGATAATTAAATTTCAATCTGGCAACGTAACAAGCCTGGTTTATAAGTTTTTATCTCAAATCTGGCAGCCTTGGTTGCCTGAACGCCCCCGAATCGACACCTAAAACTGCGCAGTGCGGCAAAGTAAAAATAATTCTTCTTTAGCCGCGTCTCTGGCTCCGCAAATATCTGGAGCTCTCCGCGCGAATCAAAGACAAACAAATATAAGTGGCCATATCCGGCTTTTGGAGCACTTTTCAGCTGTAGTTTGGAATTATTGCATGTCTCGCAGGCATAAAGCCAAGTTTTGCGATGGTCTAATTCTTTATGATTTTGACGGCTTGGATTTGCCAATTTCATGTCGAGGGCTCATTCAATTCAATTGTTCGCCAGCGAAATTTCTCATTGAAAACTTTTCGCTAACAATTTGTATCTTGTCTTTTTTGTCTCATTTGCCACGCCTACAGTCCATGAAAATCCCTTTTTTTTAAAAAGTTATTGCGGTCCATAAAACGGACTACGTGACAAATTTGCGTGGGACGCCATTTTCATTTTTTTGTATTATTTGGTTACCCCTGAAAATTTAATTAGGCGTCTTGCAAATTGCAGACATTTGTGCGGCCGGCTTTTTGTATACCCTGTAATATGTGGTAAATGCGGGACAGGGGGCATAATTGTTTTGTGGGTGTAAATATCAAAGCGGAAGAATTTCTAAGCGTTTTTTCGCTTTTTTCCTACATTTTTCTTATATCGATAAATATCGATTTGAAGCCAAGGTTTTTGAAGCATAACTCGAGAATTATAAAAGCTAGAGACATAAAATGTGAAATGTGGGTGCTATTCAGATATGAAATATTTCACAACTTGACTATCCTTTCCCGTAACCGTACAAAAGTTATTCACCTGGACTGAGGAAAGAAGCTTAAGTAGGGTATCTTGCTAGTCGAACACAAAGGCATTTTCTCTTTTTTTTGTGGGCTTACCTCACGCGCTCGAATCCTGGCCAGCAGCTGCTTGCGGTAATCCTCGTCGATCCGTTCGCGCAGCTCCTTCATGTAGGCGCGGTCGGTCAGCTTGACCACATTGGTGCCCATGAGCCGCTCCAGCCGGGCGCTGATGCGCGGCAAATTGAAGCTGTGGGAAACACGGTTAATCGGCGTGTCAAATGTGACTCGGTAATCAGCTAATTCCTCGGGCACGCAGTTAATACTCGTAAAATATTTGCAGCTTTTTTTTTTGGGGGGTGTTTTCCTTTTTTTTATATTTTTAGTCTCTTTCTACACGTGGGTCACACGAATGCACCGTGTTCGGCGTTTTCGCGCTTGTAACTCTTGGTAACGAATGAGGTCGGCCACATATTTGGTTTCTATAGAGCTTCTAGTTCTCTGCCTTTTCTGCCTTTGCTTTATTTGCCAAACACTAACGGAAAAAAAAGAAGAAAAACCGGCAACACACAAGGACAAGCATTCGCCCTCCCTCGCGCTGCCTGTCACACTCGAGCCCAAGCTCATAAATGTGAAAATTTTTCTAAGCAAAAGTTAAGGCTACCAACTTTTTAATGCTCTAACTATGTCTGATTTGTTGCAAAATAAAACTGAATTCCAATTCAGAAATGAAGAAAAGATTTTGAAACTATATCAGAGTATGAAGATCCTGTTTTTATTTTTACTATTTTTCAAGTTTGTTCAAAGTTTAATATAATGTATTAAAAATTCGACTTGAACTTAAACCCACATTCTAATACTCTCATATTACTTTTTTTTTTTTTTAACTCTGAACAATAGAAATTCCCCCTGCAATTGAGCGTAATTTTAGCCTGGCAAAGAGGGGGGAGGGTATATATGTGTATATAGTACGGATAGTTCTTTATGTGATTTATTCGGTAGACTTTTTAGCAGACAGTTGTTGGCAACAACTCACAAACATGTTATACGATTTTGACAGAGCTCCATTTGATATGTGCTCCAAATTCCTATATGCTAATACATATTGGGCTCATACATGCGATAAATATATATATATATATATATATATATATATATATATATATATATATATATATATATATGTATATCAGGCATTAAATGGAGCTAGTCATGATATGTCTGAGCTAGTTATTATTTTTGAATAGTGTATGCTTAAAGAAACTACAATTAGTTTGGGTTTTTTTTTATGGGCTTATTTGCAATTTCGCCATGTTTATGATATACATATATTCTATATGCGACATGAGGCGCATAGATAGATGTATTTACCACGCCGCCAACTTTGTCTCATTTGCGGCACGAAACAAATTTGACAGCAGGATAAATATGTTGTGGCTGGGGCGGTGCGGGGGACACGTGAAATCGGACCAACTTTGTGGCGAAATAATGTTAAATTACCTGAATGATATGGCCTGACTGAATGACTGACAATAATCAGAGGCCACACAAAAAGTGCCCGACTCGGGGTTAAGTCTCCGATTTCGACTTTGGTTTCACGTTTCGGTTTGGAACGGAGCCAAGAAACAAACAAAACAAATTGGCTGTTAAACGGTTTTTTGGCCTGCTATTAAGTTAAATGTGGCTTGGGCCAAAGTTAAATGAACTTTTAATAGTTGCACTTGCAAAAGAAAAAGAAGAGGCAGGTGCTTTTTATTTGAAGGTTACGTTTGACTTAAACAAACATTTTTATGAGAACTATAATATTAAATTTGATTTGAGTATAATTTTAGAGGATTTGTCATATTCGGACAAATGAATATCTTATAAATGCATTTGCTCCGTGCACATTTTGAGGTTATGCTAACATTTTAAGGTTATGTTTGATTAAAAAATAAATAAATTTGATAGATAATATAACTGTTTATATTATTTTTATTCTTATTCGAATATATTAGTATTTTTTAGGGGTTTTTTCAAAGTTAAACGATTTAATTACTAATAAATACTTCTGTTAGCTGCACATTTTGAGGTTATGTTAACTTTTTAAGGTTATGTAAATTCAAGTTAAGTTAAGAATTCAAGTTAAATTTGTGTGGTTTAGTTCAATTCGCATATCATTAAATAATTCATTAATATAATAATATATATATTATATTATAATTATAATTATACAACAATATCTAGGCTTGTTCCCACTGAAGCTCAACTGCAACATTCTTCACATTCTTATCTGTTCCTCCATAATTAACATTTTATAGACATAGACCCAGTTTTTTATGGACAGTCGCCGGCATTATGGTTTACATATGCGTGGGCTTTTATCGCGCAGCTCTCAACCCGTTCCCAGCTCCAAACATATTCCCATTTCCCACATACGCCCATATACAGAGAATATACCATAACAATGTCTGACCTCCACCTTCACTGCACATGGCATTAAAGTCGCAGTTACGTACGGCTATACAAGGTAATTACCGTTACCGGAGCATTTATAAATCACGGCCCACCTGTACGTGCGTGACAGGAACGGATGCAGCCAATGGCTGAAATGTCATGGACAGGAGCGGGGGGGGGGGGCCGGTTGGCGACAATAAAAAAAATAGTCGACATCCGAAACTCATTCCAGCCAGGAAATTCGACTAACATACAAGTGTTTCCTCTGTCTTTCCCCTACAATTCTTTGTCTTAGTTTTTATACCCTGCATACCACAAGAAAATAAGAGGGTATATTAAAGAAGCAGGCATTCCGGCCTCATCAAGAATATATATATATATATATATATATATAAGCTTTCGTATCTGTCTAACGATTACACATTTGGAATTTAGTCAACATATATAACATATGTTACATTGAGCATATTTACCAATATCGGTAAATATCGAAATTTTATACAATTGTTCTCTCAAGATCGATAAATATCGATTTTCGGCACACGATTTTGTTGGGCATATCTAAAGAGATTCTAAAAGGCAATATAGACTCAAAAGCTGACATTTAGATGCTTTCTTTAATGGATGCTTTATTTGATAGTAATTTTATTTGATACTATGGTTCTTTCAAGATTGATAAATATCGATTTTCGTTTGTAATAATGTATGTAGATCTATATACAGGGTATCTGTCAGGTGTGGCACCTTCAACTAAAAGACTCGCAACATGCTTTCTTATTGCAATTATTTGGTACACATATCGCAATTGCAGCACCTGACATGACAGATTGCCATAGATAGGTTGGAGGTTGCCCGTTTCCACAGGGTCTCTGGCACAATTTATGCACGTTGGGCTTGACTTATTGATACTCAAAACAATAACAACAGCAAGGTTCGTTTGGAATTTCATTATCAATGTCAATGCTGATGTAACACGTTGAAGGCAGGCGACGAGCGTCAATCGACAGGTGAAAAACTAGTTGCAGAGCACGCAGCCAACACTTAAACTGGGCTGAGAGCTTTTTCTTTGGATATATTGAAAATTGATTGAATTGAACTTTGATGTCTTCGAGGAGCACGAAAGAAGGAGAGGGAACATCAAAGCCCGAAGACATTGTTGTTGGCCACAAATATACGAGACAATGTTGTATCTATTTCGATTCCGCGTAGCTTGTCCCAGTCTCCCACACAGAACCCACACGGATAACCACAAGGCCACAGAAGATTAAATTTCCAGATCTAATTTAATAATTCTAACTAAATTTGGGAATAGCAATAAAATAGTTGACATCTGAATGTGAGTTGATATGAGAATGTTCTAGAATATTCTAGTTGAAAGCAAATAGGTGGGGTCTAGTTTGGAGTGCTCGTCTCGAAAATACTTATAAAAATTCATTTCTTCCTTTTTTCTTACTACACATACATATATGGACACACATACACACATACACTCTTTACAACATACCCACATCTAATGATAAATGCATTTTTGCGTAACTTCGGTCCTTGTTGTCCGATCATTATGAAATTTTTGGGGCATAAATATGTTTGGCTAAACTTTTAAAATGAGACTTTTAGTAATTATTATACTAAGGGATTGGGAAAGTTATCAAAAACGGGGAAATAATCTAAAGGGTAATAATCTTAAATCTTAACTTTAGCTGTATATCATACGAGAGTCTACTTTCTAAGTTTGTTGCCTTAAAAAACAACTCTGAAAATCAATATTTATCGACGTTGTAAAAATAGAAATAAGTATCGAAAATTTGATAAGATCGTGCTGCTCTAAAATTCATTGTCTAGCTTATGTACTTTCACAGATCTACTTTATTTTACCTGAAACATGGACTTCCATAAAGCACTCCCGAGCGGTATTTTTAAACGCATTTCCACTTCAAGGCCAAGCTCATTAATATTCAAAATATGTAAGGGTCCTGCACATGATATCATATGCAGCAGGCTCTCAGCATAATTTGCCATTGATTTTATTTATGACTCAATTAGCGCTCTTCTCCGTGAAATGTCAAGCTATATTAGTTTACAGCGAGAGCTCTGCCGCTTCGGCTAATTGAAAGACGAAAGTCAAACTAATATAAAACTGAGAGCTGAGAGCCAAGAGCTGGAAGCTGCGAAGCCTCGAAGTATGCAGCGTTAATTAATGCGAGAGACGTGCATAAATTGTCGAGCACTTGACTTTTATGCGTTCGCTTCTTCGGCCTCGACTCGTTTGCCACGCATTAAAATTGATAATTGCAACACGTAGCCAAAGGGCAATAAATGCGGCAAAATTCAAACGCCATTAAACCATACAAAACTCTGAGCCCTGACTGATTGAACGCCAGACTGATTGATTGATTGACTGACTGAAGGAATGTAAGCGCGATTAGGTAGCATTTTTTACAGTAGGCAACGTTTAAGCAATTTTTGGAAATTCCACTCGCATGCGTGGAAAATTAGTGAGAAATATTATTATTCAATATTATATTATTTATATATATATTATAACCGCTTGATAGAAAGGGTTTTTAAATATTTTGGTTGTTAAAGTTTTTAGGTTCAAACAGAATTTTGAAGACCTTTAGGAATATTTATATCAATTCACACCTTTCGAAAAATTCAAGTGCTTAAGTGGTAATGAGGGTTCGTCCATTTCTCATCTTGCACGCGCTAAGCCGGGTAATATGTACATAAATTTCATATCTACATATTTTGAGCTATTTAGCGTAGAGTTTACCTTTCGGGCGGCTCCAGTGTGCATTGCACAAAATCGACTAGAAAATCATCCTCTATTTCAAGGGCCTCAGCACTTTTGGGCTTCAGACGCTTTAGCTTGGCGCTGCCCATGTTGACACGCCCCCAATTTGACATGACTTACGACTGGGAACAGGTGAAATATTCCCGTTGCTTGGCTCAAATTTAAACGACTTGCGGCACTGTCGATTCTCGAATGTGGCGCCCAACGTCTGGGGATTCTTGTTTTGTTTCGCTAACGTTTTTTCCTTTTTCCTGAGACACATGTGTGCACACCTGTGCACACACACCCACGCACACACACACACATGTGACAACAGGCGGGTCGAGTGCCATGTGCTGCGGCTGCGATTCACTTTAATGTGGCAGCGTGTCGTGTTACAGCCCGCCTGATACGGCCAAGCCGAGGCACAGTTAAGCTCCCGGCCGAGTGGGCGGGTCTCGGGGCGTCGCATGTTCGCGCTAAGCGTTTAATGTTTGGTTTAATGACATGACACCAATGTCAATATTATGAGAAATACACAACGTTCTGTGTCAACAAGTTCGCATTTTACACAGCCGAAAATCGAAAGTGTTTCAAGATTGTCAGTAAAAAGCTTACGAATGGCACGCAAAGCAGAATTGAAGACCTAAAACGTTCGCGAATAAGCTGTAAAAGGGAATGGAAAACTCGGATGCGCTCAGTAGAGGGAGAGAGAGAGAGGGAGCAAATGTGGGAACAGCAAGAGTGCTGAAAACGGTTAGAGAAATTCTTCTGTATACAAGCTGCAAAACGTTTGCGAATAAGCCGCATGTCGAAATCGAGAAGAAATGTAGGCGTCGCGCCATTTAACCCAAATTTAAATAGAAATAAACTCCTGATAAATGGTTGTGCTTCCTTCTCTTATTGAAAGCATAGCTGCCTGTTGAATGTTTACGAATACGGTAAGGAAGAAATCCACAAATTACTAAGCTCTCAAGGGCATACAAAAAATACACGTTTTTATTTGTAGGAATTCTTGATTTTCTTAAATTGAACAAATATTTTGCCAGTGTAACGACTGGCAATCCTTGAGGGTTGTTCAGGTGACAACTCTATTTTTATAATCGTCGTCCAACTAAATATTGTCTATGAAACTAGTTTCTCGAGTTTCCATTTTCATTTACTCGTTGCCAGATTTTATGGCTGTCAGCGTCGGATTTCAACGAAATGTTTCACATGTTGGACTGCTCACAACGGGACCTTTCAGTGGCAGGGTTGCCACCAGCAGAGAGAGGTACAGTGCGGGCCAGATAACTATTTGGGTTTATGGCCACGTTTCATGCCAGCCAGTCATACAATAATTCCCTCTAATCGACTTTGAGCGCAGAAATTGAGCAAACACTGACATTCCATGCAAACTTGTTGGCCACATTCTCGGTCAAATGCCAGGGTTGTCGGGGAGTATTTACATTTGTTTTCGCGTGGCAATTTATCGTGCACCACGTGCTTGCCTAGCTCGGCAACTTTAAGAATCACACGGCTGCCAGTTTAAATTACAGCCTCAAGAAATACCCTCAAGCCGCGACCGCAAGGTTGCATTTGCAATCGGCAAAAGACGTGTCCGTTGACACCTTGACAACAAAAAATAATTCAAGTTTGCATTTTTATTGAGTTTTGCTTAAAGGCAAACAGGGTATATTCGATCCATTGGAAATTTTATAGCGAAATGCATTAGATTAAATGTTGGGCCCGCTTAAGCAATTAAACAAGGCTCAAATTGGGCACACTTATTCTGTAATCTTTTAACCAGGGCTGCAAAACGTTTTTGAACTTGTAAGCTTACTAACTGAACTAGTAGCTCGAAAGGATGTGAGCCGAACCAGGTTCATATTTTTTTTGAGTTTACAATCGGAACAAACTTTTTATAATCTGAACTATGCTCCCTTACCGCTGTTAATCAACACTGGCCACAGAGCAGCTCGCAGTTGGGCTTCTTTCTGTCCATTGCAATAGTTTTACTGACTTAATTTTTTCATTTTGTTGCACTTTACTTTGTGCAGCTTTCCTTTGTGGCAATAATATGCAGCGCTCCGTCGTCGACTCGAGTTTACGTTGTGCATCTGGCAGCTTAGAGCCGCGCGTCGAAGGCGGAAAACAAAGCAAAACACAGCCAAGTCGACGACATTTCCTAACTGGCTGAGCTCCGGTCTTGGTCAAGTCATCGGAACGAGTTAAGGGTAGCCGGAATATTCATAATGTAATTGCTCTGACAGTTACTTTGCCTCATTTGGCTAAAATTCGTGGAATAAAATATTTTCTGCGAAATTTATGCAGGTTTTTGCTCTGAATTCCTTATGACAACTACAATTTTTATCCATTAAGATTAAAGTTGTATTCTTTCATTTTCCCAATTTTGCTTGTAACGCCTTGTGAAGTGCATCGAAAGCACGCACGATTTTGGTTTGTGTAGCTGCTAAGCTTTTTGGATAGCTTTTTTCCAACTGTATACACTGAAAGTTATTTAAGCTACAGTTAAGTTTGTTTTTACAGTTGGGTAAACCTTTAGAGATATGTATGTTTCATAAGATATGCTCTTTAACATTTTTGAGTTAATTTAATATCCTATAATCTATTAATAAATATTCGAATATATAATGTATATCTATATAAACCAAAAATGTCGCAAGAAGAGTTTAACGTTCATTATCCTAATCATATATCTGAAAAAATATATATAACATATATTTTATAGATTTTAAAATCGAATATTGAGTAATGTTGTGGGCTTCATCATTCCCGCAGTTTAAACATGTTGAGAATTTTAAGCAATTAATAAAAGCTGAATTAAGTCATCAACTCAGCTTCGCGATTTTTTTTAGAGCCGTCTTATGACAACTGAACCAAGAAGCAGGACTCGAATCTCAATAATAATAATAATTCGAAAAAGTATTGCTAAATTTGTAAAATTAGCTAAGCTCGATTTGAATAATATCTTATCAAAAAATAAAGCTTAATCAGCTTTACATATAAATAGATTCCGCCTAAAGAAATATCTGAATTAAGCTAGTAAGAAACTATTGGGAATATCTGAATTTAGCTTAAAAAAAAAGATAAAAGGGCAGCACTGAACTTTCAAAGATATGATGAGATAAATGTATCCACACAGACGCACAGATTAATAATAATAAATTAATATTATTATTTAATTATGTAAAATATTGGAGAACACCTGAACCAGATCTTAGAACCTTTGGAATGGAGCGCAAGGATTCCGAGTCGAAATCTTATGGTGTATGGAATTCTAATAAAGTTTCTTGAACTCTGGACTCAAAACTTACGTGCACTTGACCAGATCCTGCAGATCGTCCTGGCTGAGCGCGTACTCTGCATCCTGCACGGATAACTTCCGTCGACTGCGACGTTTGCGCCGTGGAGCAGCTGCACTCGCAGCGACGCCCTGCAGACTCAGGACCAGATTATCGTTGGACTGGAAACTGGGTATGCCCCTGGCCATGGTGGCGGAGACGACATCCGCAACGCTGCCGATGCCGCGCTCCTCCACGTACTTGGCATTGCCGGCGCCGCTAGCCACCTCCTCCGCCTTCGTCCGCTCCGCATAACTGTCCCGGCGCCAGGACGGGGTTAGGGTGCGTATCAGATGCTGCGTATCCGCAAAGCCCTCATAGTTGTAACGCTTGCGCAGACCCAGGCCGGACAGATACTCGAGCGTCTGCCAGACGTTCATCCTGTTCGCACCGTAACACGGCTCTGCGTCGACTGACCGTGCTGCTATCCGGCGGGCGAGCAGCATCGTTACCGTCGCGCACGTCCCGCCCGCGGGCAAAGCGGGCGGCAGCCATTCGGAGCCCGAGTCGGAGCGCGCAACAGTGCCAGCTGTGAGTGGCATATGGATAACAGAGTTTATTTACGCTGTAGTCGGAGTCCGTACCACACGTCAGTTGGACGAGCGTAAATTGAAATGTAATTAAGTTTCCTTTAAAAACGCGAAAAGTTTTCAGACCCTTTTACGGGTTTGCCTCTCGCGTGCTGCGCCGCTGACGGCCAAACTTCATTTGAGACCGGAGCCAGTAGAAGTCGCCAGTTGGGCCCCCTCCCCACACAGTTGCGAGGCGCGTATCGTGTTTATTGGAGGGCGCCGGTTCAAATTCGGCACCATTAAAAATAATATCATTGTGATTGAGTGACGCGCCGCTTAAGTACTTTCTTTGTCCCGTACTGGGTACTGACACCATTTTGCGCTTTGATTACCATTTCCCTTTTTTATTGAACACGCAAAGTGTTCAGGCCTACAATTGCACACACCCCCCACCCCACCCACAATCACCCATAACGCCGCCCTTGGGCCAAACCCATTAGCAATGCGGCTACGCAGCGAAAGGCCCGCTCTCTAATGGCAGGTTACCTCCTCCTGGCAACACCTATGCGAGACCCTATCACAGATAGGGATTGGAAACTTTTTTATTACTTATTTTGTTAGAGAACGAATGCGGATATTTCATTGGGGAATATGCATATTATAATAGAAATCAATTCCAGCTTGAAGTCGTATATTAATCACAAATTTTATAATAAGAAACTGAAGTAATTATTTATATGTATGTTTATATATTAGATCTGAAGTATTTCTCTATATATTTATATAATAACATTATTATAATATAAAACAATTCCAGCTTGTCTGAAGTATTTTTCTTATAAATTTATATCATAGATTAACATTATTATTATAGAAAACAATTCAAGTCTGAAGTATTTGAAGTCAAAAGCTTTGTTTTCCTCTAAAGTCATCTAATCAAGGGTGCGATATATCTCTAGGAATCGTACGAGATCTTTTTTCAAGGTCTGTCATTTAAGGTCTGCAAAGAATTCAATTAGAAACTCTTGATATTTCTTGCCCGTATATCTCAGCCTATTCCCACAACAACTAATCCTCACGAACTCAACCTTGATGAGAAGTACGACAATAGCACTTCACACTGTCCACATGGAACAGCAAATGATAATCGACCCAGTTAGCGAGCCTCAGACAATCCCGCCATCACAATTTTGCCAATTACTTGGCAAACTTTTGCCGACAGCCTGTCCAAGCTGAGCCCATCAATCCAAACGCTTCGTTAGCATCGCGTGACTCCTGTGGCAAATAGATCCCATACATACAAGCACATAAATTGGCGGCTCTCACTTCAAGGAAATATTTGAAGATTTCTTGCACTGAAAGTCTTATCAATCGACTAATGCTATTGCCTAATGCATTAAAGACAATCACTCAACTTTAAAAACACGTGGAATAAGAATTCTGGCCGCGGTAATAAATATAAAACAATTAATTTGGTTTTTATTTAGCCCGGCAGTCCTTAAAATACTTTTTTGATGATTTTTGGCATATCACCAAATCGACCAAAAAGCAAGGGGTTACACGTCACGTTTTTTTTCAAAATCGGGGTCGGGTCAAAAATCAAAACTTTTTCGATGATTATTGTTAATATCTCCGGTAAATATCGTCTGATTTCGAAATGTTACACCTTTTTCAATTCGTACGGATCCCTACTATAAATTGGCATTCAAAGAAATTCAATATCTATGGGTAAAAAAAATGATTGACCAAAAACAAACTCGTTTTCAAACTCAACCTTTTTCGATGAATTTTTGGCATATCTCGGCCAAATAATGTCAAATTTTGGAATTTTATACCATTTTGAGCTCGTAAGGATCAGTTCTATCGATTGGCATCAACAAAATAAAAATCTCAATTTTGACCACAATTGAACAAAAAAACATCACGTTTTTTTTTCAAAACCGGGGTCGGGTCAAAAATCAAAACTTTTTCGATGATTTTTTTAACATCTCCGGTAAATATTGTCTGATTTCGAAATGTTACACCTTTTTCAATTCGTACGGATCCCTACTTTTAATTGGCATTCAAAGAAATTCAATATCTATGGGTAAAACAAAATGATTGACAAAAAACCGGCTCGTTTTCAAAATCAACCTTTTTTGATGAATTTTTGGCATATCTCGGCCAAATAATGTCAGATTTTGGAATTTTATACCATTTTGAGCTCGTAAGGATCAGTACTATCGATTGGGATCAAGAAAATAAAAATCTAAATTTTGACCAAAATCGAACAAAAAGCAAGGGGTAACATCACGTTTTTTTTTTCAAAATCGGGCTCGGGTCAAAAATCAAAACTTTTTCCATGGTTTTTTTTTTTTTGAATATCTGCGGTAAATATCGTCTGATTTCGAAATGTTACACCTTTTTAATTCGTACTGATCCCTACTATAAATCGGCATTCAAAGAAATTCAATATCTATGGGTAAAAAAAAATGATTGACCAAAAACCAACTCGTTTTCAAAATCAACCTTCTTTGATGAATTTTTGGCATATCTCGGCCAAATAATGTCAGATTTTGGAATTGTATACCTTTTTAAATTCGTACGGATCCCTACTATAAAATGGCATTTAAAGAAATTCAATATCAATGGGCTACAAAAAATGATTGACAAAAAACTGATTCGTTTTCAAAATCAACCTTTTTTGATGATTTTCCAAAATTTTGACCCAAATCGACAAAATGGCAAGGGGTTACATCACTTTTCGATGATTTTTTTTTTCAATATCTCGGGTAATAGCTCCGCGGGGAGATATGACGTTCCAAAACGACATAACTCCGCGCGGAGATATAACGTTCCAAAACGACATAACTCCGCGCGGAGATATGACGTTCCAAAACGACATAACTCCGCGCGGAGATATGACGTTCCAAAACGACATAACTCCGCGCGGAGATATGACGTTCCAAAACGACATAGCTCCGCGCTGAGATATGACGTTCCATAACGACATAACTCCGCGCGGAGATATGACGTTCCAAAACGACATAACTCCGCGCGGAGATATGACGTTCCAAAACGACATAACTCCGCGAGTTTTTTATTTTCAAAATCGGGGTCGGGTCAAAAATCAAAACTTTTTCTCGGCCAAATAATGTCAGATTTTGGAATTTTATACCTTTTTAAATTCGTACGGATCCCTACTATAAAATGGCAGTATCAATGGGCTACAAAAAATGATTGACAAAAAACTGATTCGTTTTCAAAATCAACCTTTTTTGATGATTTTCCAAAATTTTGACCCAAATCGACAAAATGACAAGGGGTTACATCACGCTTTTTTTTTTTTTAAATAGAGGTCGGTGCATAAATCGAAACTTTTCGATGATTTTTTTTTTTAATATCTCGGGTAATAGCTCCGCGGGGAGATATGACGTTCCAAAACGACATAACTCCGCGCGTTTTTTTTCAAAATCGGGGTCGGGTCAAAAATCAAAACTTTTTCGCTGATTTTTTTTAACATCTCCGGTAAATATTGTCTGATTTCGAAATGTTACACCTTTTTTAATTCGTACGGATCCCTACTATTAATTGGCATTCAACGAAATTCAATATCTATGGGTAAAAAAAAATGATTGACCAAAAACCAACTCGTTTTCAAAATCAACCTTTTTTGATGATTTTCCAAAATTTTGACCCAAATCGAAAAAATGACAAGGGGTTACATCACGCTTTTTTTTTTAAAAAATAGAGGTCGGTGCATAAATCGAAACTTTTCGATGATTTTTTTTTTAATATCTCGGGTAATGGCTCCGCGTGGATATATGACGTTCCAAAACGACATAACTCCGCGCGGAGATATGACGTTCCAAAACGACATAACTCCGCGCGGAGATATGACGTTCCAAATCATCACGTTTTTTTTTCAAAATCGGGGTCGGATCAAAAATCAAAACTTTTTCGATGATTTTTTTTGACATCTCCGGTAAATATTGTCTGATTTCGAAATGTTACACCTTTTTCAATTCGTACGGATCCCTACTATAAATTGGCATTCAAAGAAATTCAATATCTATGGGTAAAACAAAATTATTGACCAAAAACCAACTCGTTTTCAAAATCAACCTTTTTTAATGAATTTTGGGCATATCTCGGCAAAATAATGTCAGATTTTGGAATTTTATACCATTTTGAGCTCGTCAGGATCAGTACTATCGATTGGCGTCAACAAAATAAAAATCTAAATTTTGACCAAAATCGATTAAAAAGCAAGGGGTTACTTGAAAATCTGATTCGTTTTCAAAATCAACCTAGTTTGTTGATTTTTTGGCATATCTCAGCTAAATAGTGTCAGATTTTGAAATGTTATACCTTTTTGAATTCGTACAGATCCCTACTATAAATTGGCATTTAAAGAATTTCAGTATCAATGGGCTACAAAAAATGATTGACAAAAACTGATTCGTTTTCAAAATCAACCTTTTTTGATGATTTTCCAAAATTTTGACCCAAATCGACAAAATGACAAGGGGTTACATCACGCTTTTTTTTTTTTTAAATAGAGGTCGGTGCATAAATCGAAACTCTTCGATGATTTTTTTTTTAATATCTCGGGTAATAGCTCCGCGGGGAGATATGACGTTCCAAAACGACATAACTCCGCGCGGAGATATGACGTTCCAAAACGACATAACTCCGCGCGGAGATATGACGTTCCAGAACGACATAACTCCAGCGGAGATATGACGTTCCAAAACGACATAACTCCGCGCGTTTTTTTTCAAAATCGGGGTCGGGTCAAAAATCAAAACTTTTTCGCTGATTTTTTTTAACATCTCCGGTAAATATTGTCTGATTTCGAAAAGTTACACCTTTTTTAATTCGTACGGATCCCTACTATTAATTGGCATTCAACGAAATTCAATATCTATGGGTAAAAAAAAATTATTGACCAAAAACCAACTCATTTTCAAAATCAACCTTTTTTGATGATTTTCCAAAATTTTGACCCAAATCGAAAAAATGACAAGGGGTTACA